TAATAAAATAATAATATTGTTGAGTCTTATTCGATCAAAAGTACTTTTTACTTAGACCGCAAGACTATAACATAAGGAAGATTGGGAACCAGATAGACATAATAAATCATATATAATTCTTTTATTGATTAAATATGTATTTTAAATAACTGTAATATTTATTTATTTAAAAATTGTTTAAAAATATGGTCTAAACATGTCCAGTGTGTACTGTTATGAAATGCTGAAAAACATCTTTATAACAGTGTCTACTTTGTCGATATTCGATCAAAACCCGTAAATAATATATGTAATTATTGTTTAAACTAAATTACACAGTCCGTTCTGCAAAAACAGGGTTTCATCAGCATAAATAATATTTCTACACAAAAAAAGATGCTTACAAACATTTTTAAGGAAATATAAAATTTCCCGTCAATATTTCGCACCGTACATTTCCAGGAAGTATGAAAGATTTAAAGATTGATTTAAAGACAACTTCACTATTAAAAAATAAATAATATAATAAAAATAAACAACGATTATAAAACCTATAGTTATTAGATTATAAAAATACAAAAGTTTGATATTAAAAGTCATATTTAATTTAAATGAAGAATGGTTTGTATGATGTTGGCAGACGAGAGAAAATGAGATGTTAAATTGCCATTTCACCTTGTCATTCCCATGGCATTTTCATTGAACGCAAGGTCTAATCAAATAACTTTCTAAAATCAGTAATTTTTCATAGTAATCAAATTGTGTTCCTTATACACGTGACAACACGATCCGCCAGAATTCCAAGGTAAATGTGTTTTAATTAATTTGGTGACAAACTTGTTATCATTATGAATTCGATTGACTAAAATCTCCTCCGTTGGTGAAAAGTAAAGTATGCTTTTAACATGTCTTCATCTAAAAATGTTAAACTTTCAAAGTATCAAATAAGCGTAATATCAAAATAAGAACTTGTTTAGACAGAACCAAGTAGACCAAAGTTTAAAAAGTTTGTTTTGTTTTACGCTACAAGATAGATTAGATATTTCTTTAAAATATACTAAACCCGCACGACTTGTGAGAGTTGCGAAACAGTTGATCGTTAGCGCCGTTTAGGCAGACATTAAAGAAACTTTTGTTTTTAATTTGCAGTACATTACAAACATCTTCATGGAGGCTGTCACCCCTTTTATGGTTAATTACAGTAAACAGTTTAATAAAACTTCTGAATAATTCAGGTTTCTACAGTCAATTATTTTCAGATGATGGTACCATAATGCTCATAGGTAGGAATCCCCTGACTATGTCACTACAGATGGAAAATGCCATGGGATTGCTTTATGAGTGGTTTTGGGATAAAATATTATCAATTAATCCAGCTAAACTGGAATTGATAATGTTTATCTGGAGAAGAACATTAGGTAATTTTAAAAACCCTAGATTTCAGGGCATAGAATTGAAGTTAGTGATTCAATCAAATTCCTTGGTTTGACGCTTGACAGGAAGATTGAAAAGGTCATATCAATAACATATACAGGAAAGGCACTATATCAATGGTACAATGTAGGAGAATTGTCGGTAAAACATGGGGCATCAAACCATGGGTAGCCAAATGGCTATATACTGCAATTATTCTACTTAGATTATTGTTCGTAGCTTTAGTAAAATGGAAAGGTCTAGAAAATAAAAGGAATAGTAACAAGTTAAGGTCATTTCAAAGACTAGTTTGATGATGACAGGAACATTTTCAACTACACCCACCCTAGCATTTGAAATCATAACCAATACCTCTTCACATTGAGGTTAAAGTCAGAGCACTAATCAGCTGCTATAGATCAATTAATGAAGGCAGCTGGAATCATAAGTGCAATAGCATAGGTCACTCGAAAATCTCTCTATTTAGTAAGGTTAACGGCCAATTATTAAACGTTAGTGATAAAAAGATTAAAACCCCTTCGGGGAAAAAGTACTTTCAGGTAGTCACCCCTTGTGAATATAATTATAGTTTAGATGATGACCATCACAAAATAGACTGCTACACAGATGGATCACTTATCAAAGGTAGAGGGAGTGGTGCAGAATGTACATACTAAAATTAGGAATCATCATCTCCTCCCCTCTTGGCAATAACACCTCCGTTTTTCAGGCGGAAATCTGGGCCATCAATGTGTGTTTTAGAACACTTATGGAAAATAAAATTAAAGGAAAAGATATTAGAATTTTTTCTGACAGTCAGGCTAGTCTTAGGTCATTACAAAAAGATTTGTCAACATCTAGACTGGTAGAGAAAACTGTTAATCTTAGCAATAGGATCTCTTCCAGGTTGAGAACAAGGTAAGTATTATAAAGGACACCATGGCAATGAAGAGGCGGATAGCTTGGCCAAAGAAGGCTCTAATACTGCGTTTGTCGGGCCACATCCATTAATACCTCACTCTATGAGCATAGCGAAAAAGAGTATTAAAAATTGGGGTATGAAACAATTCCTTAAGGAGTGGAATCTATCCCCCAGACACAGGCAATCGAAAGATTTTGTTAAGGTGATCAAACCAGCAGAATCGAATGGCTTTCTCTAACTCAAGAAAGCAAATTAGGAGGCTGATAGGTATTCTGACGGGCCACTGCTCACTGAGAAGACACGTCTCCGTAATGTATATTCTACCAGATCTTTCTTGCCGTTTTTGTGAAATAAAAGAAGAAACGGCAAGGCACTACCTCGCAGAGAGTGATAGGTATGCTAGGTCGAGATTTGAAATCGTTGAAGGAGCGGACATCACCAAATCACTCCCCGAGATAAAATGGTCCAAAATCTTGGGGTTTGTGAACAAGTCCAAGAGATTTATGCAGGACACGTGAGCCGACCAAGTCCCGGACCTTTTAGGGATGGGATACGAGTCTACACAGGCATTTAACCCCTCGGGTCTTGGTCGCCCACCCTGTGTAATATATACAAACCTCTTAAAAATAGGTAACATGTAACAATGAGACAGGAAATATATACAAAATTAAAAACAAGAGTGGAAAAATACCCAATGTTAGATTTCATCTTGAACGAAAAGAATATTTAAGTTTATAGTGTAGTTACGTTCGATAAATAAAATTGGAGGATGTAAAGATTGGGCTTTTTAAATGCGGCGGATGTGCGAATGTTTGGCTGAACTCCACTCTTGCAGTCAATAAATCCAAATCGTCTTATCTATGATGTTGTAAAGCAATCTTTTGTTTTTTAGAGGCTAATCAGCACGTTTGACAAGAAGTACTGCAAAAGCCATATATCGACTCTTGACATTTCAGTCGTACGTGAAGATTTCACGTCAGGCTTTTGTCGATGCACAATCTGAGGTACCGCATCTTGTCCGCAGTTAGGAAGGAAATATCATTTAAATAGACCAAAGAGGAGCACTTTTTATGGAAAGTGAAGGTAATGTGGGTGGATCTGTCTGTGTTAAATTTTATTATTTTCTTTTGTGCGAGTTGTTCTTGGAGGTTACGAATAGAAATGACAGGACAAAAGTTACTATAATGAAGTGTTTTATCGTCTAGAAATGTGTGGTGATGAAATGTCAGCTGTGCCTGGTATAATGTAGGGCCACAACGCTATCCTGAGGAAAACCAACATGACGGAAAAATATGCAGACAATTGCCTTCGATGACGTGGAAATACCGGCTAGGTAGATGAACAATATGTGATAGTAGGCTCAATTTATAATAAGAAGACAATTAATTAAAGGGTCGATTGATTTTAAAATTTGAATTTGAAAAAAGCCTTTTTTCAATTGACCGCATTAAGGTCAACTATTTTAGCTCCATTACCACAAAAGGGTTCGTTGTCTTCATAAAACAAATCGTTTTCGAACCTCAAATGTATGTTTCTTTTTTTGGAAAATATCATTTAGGTCGAAACAAGAAGAAAACAAGAATTTCAAGTGTATTACTTTTACAATACAAACCTAATATATTCAAATACAATATCTTCCCTCACGCATATTTTTGAAATCGTTTGATTGAAAGGCAACTTTCACTATTATAAAACAAACACTATGAAAAAGAATACACATTTAATAGAACGATTACAAAACCTACATATAATAGATTATATAAAAACAAACGTTTGATACTAAAATAATTATTTAATTTAAATGAAGAATGGTTTTTATGATGTTGGCGGACGAGAGGAAATGAGGCGTTAAATTGCCATTTCACCTTGACATTCCCATGGCATTTTCATTGAACGTAACTTCTAATCAAATAACTTTCTAACAGCCATCATTTTTCATAGTAATCAAAATTTCTGTACACGTGAAAACACGATAAGTTAGAATTTCAAGGTAAATGTCTTTTATTTAATTTCGTGACAAACTGGATATCATTACGACTTCAATTGAGGAAAATCTATGCGGTCGATAAAAAAATAAAGTATGCTTTTAACATATCTTCATTGTAAAATGTGTTGGTTCCTAAATAACTGTCAGGTAAGAATTGTTATATATAAATAAATTTTATTTCAGTTTTCATTAAACAAAGAGAGTGAAATACATTTTCTACTGCTATGTATCGGATCAATATAAAACATCAAATAAGCATAATATCAAAATAAGTACTTTTTTTAAACAAGGAAAGCAGAGTTTAAAAAGTTTGTTTTGCTTTAAGCTACTAGATTGACATAATTCTTTTAAATATACTAAACCCGCACGACTTGTGAGAGTTGCGAAACAGTTGATCGTTAGCGCCGTTTAGTACATTACAAATACCTTCAAATAGGTAACATATAACAATAAGACAGGAAATATTTACAAAATTTAAAACAAGAGTGGAAAAATACCAAAGGATAGATTTCATCTTGAACGAAAAGAATATTTAAGTCTGTGGTGTAGTTACGTTCGATACATAAAATTGGAGGATGTAAAGATTGGGCTTTTTAAATTCGGCGGATGTGTGAATGTTTGGTCGAACTCCACACTTCCAGTCAATAAATCCGAATCGGCTTATTTATGATCTTGTAAAGCAATCTTTTATTTTTACAGGTAAATCAGTACGTTTGACAAGAAGTCCTGCAAATGCTATGTATTGTCTTATAACCTCTTGACATTTCAGTCGTATGTGATGAGTTGCGAAGTCCGCAGTTTTGAGAGGAATATCATTTATGTGGACTAAAAGGGATTTTTACGGAGAGTGAAGGTAATGTGTGTGGATTTATCTGTGTTAAATTTTATTATTTTCTTTTGGGCGAATTGCTGTTGGAGGTTTCGAGCGGAAATGACAGGATAGAAGTTACTAGAATGAACCGCTTTATCGTCTGCTAATTTCAGTGTGTACGCCTGGAACATTGTAGGGGCCAGAATGTTATCCTGACATGACAAGAAAATATGCAGAGAAAGAATTGCCTTCGATGACTCGGAAAAACCGGCTTGATAGTTGTGCAATTGAAATTTTTTTTTTTTTTTTTTTTTTTTTTTTTTTTTTTTTTTTTTTTTTTTTTTTTTTTTTTTATTACCATCTGTATATGTTTATACATTTTGTAATTTTGTGACTTATATACACAGCACAGTTCATTTTGTCTTGAGGGGAGAGTGCAGCCATCGCTGCTCTCCCATTTTTCCGAGGGCTATTCCTTGGTGAGGAGGTCCCGGGGCCATCTCCGCTTTAGTCTTCTGACCGGGTTGTAGGGATGGATTTTGTTGGACATGGAATGAGCTAATGGGTTAGGGTGTTTGGAGAGTTTGTCATGGAATTTGGAGAATGTGGTGGGAATTAATTTATTTACAAATGGGATTTTGAGGTCTTTGTGGAGAGTCAAATTGGAAACATAGAAAGGAGCGTTCATAATGATTCTGAGGACTTTAGATTGGAAGGATTGTATTCGTTGGACGTGGGTAGGCTTAGCGGTGCCCCACAGTTCTAGTCCGTATGTCCAGATCGGTTTAAGTAATGCTTTGTAAATTGTCAGTTTATTTTTTGTCGACATGTTAGATGTACGTCCTAGTAATTTATAAAGTAGTCCAAAACGTCTGTTCAGTTCCTGTCTTTTTATTTGTATGTGTCGGTTCCAGGTTAAACGTGAGTCGAGGTAGAACCCAAGGTAGCGTACACAATCGGTTTTTGGGATTGGGATATCATTGAGAGTTATTGAATGATGGGTTTTGTGTCGGAGGGTAAATGTAATTTGGGAGCATTTGCTTTCATTAATTTTTATTCTCCAGAGTTTGCTCCATTCGGCTATACGTTGAACGTGTGCCTGGAGCTCCTCCCAAGCAATTGCAGGATCGGTGTTAGAGGAAAGCACGGCTGTATCGTCTGCGAAGGATGCGAGGAGGGTAGAGGATGTGGTTGGGATGTCTGCAGTGTAGAGAAGGTACAGGATTGGTCCGAGTACGCTCCCCTGCGGTACTCCCGCTTCCACAGGAAAGTAGTCGGAATACTCCGACCCTTGTCGTACTCGGAAGAATCGTCCTGTGAGGTAGGAGCGAAGGATTAGGTACAAGGTGTTTGGAAGGATTCGCTTTAGTTTGTATAGGAGACCCTTGTGCCACACGCGGTCGAAAGCTTGGCTTATATCAAGAAACCCCCAGAACAGTACTCTACCATCTCAACTAAGAAGAAATAAAGACCTCGCGATGGCACTGTCGGACAGTTGAACGATAGTTGTGAAAACAAATTGATGGTCGAGGATTATATTTGAGAATTCAGGATTGGAAGAATTATTTTTAATAAAAAACTAAAATTTTACTCATAATGGGTAGTAGTTTTATTGGACTACATAAAGTAGAACAATTTTTTTAAAGGGAATATTCGGCTATAGCAAATTACGTTGTACGAAAAACAGATTTAAATAGATACACAATGAATATGATAATATTTTTTGGAAAAGTGTTGGAGAATTTTTTGAGTAATAAGATCAAATATTGGAGCTTAATTTGATTTTAGATGTTTTCTGTTAGAATGATCGTCAGAAAGTTAAAATATAGTATTAATCCGGCACTTTTTGATTTATCTAGTGAGTATTCTACAAATTATATTTGTTTCTATATATTTTGTTCAGTATTTAAGTTAAACTGGATTGGAGGTTTGGTGCTAAATAGATAAAACCCGCACCATGAAATATTAATTTCACAAAAATACTAATAAAGTAATGTCTAATAATCTTATATAGTAATAAGTGCAAAGTCGAATTTCCTTGTAAGTTGTTTTGTTTATCTGAGAAATTTGTAGTTTATGTGGCGGACGGACTTATATTCGAACTCGAGTTAGTTAATTGGATCGTGTTAAAGGGGTTTCTTAAAAGATCGACACCGTCTGTTTAGGATCCGGGATGGAAACGACATCTCGTCTTTAACGATCCCCATTTCAAGTCTTAGTGAGCTGAACACAATGGGAAACAGGTGGGTGGGAAAGCACTTTGCCAGAAAGAGATGAAGACAAATGCTCTGGCTCATAAACTAACACAAAATAATAGTGTAAAGAATCAATCAGTAGGAGGTATTGATTGAAAATGTTATAATTTATTTTTTGACGAGAATGAGGAAATTAAGAAACAATTTGTTTATTTTCAACTCAAAGTCAAATAATTTTTTTCATTTTAATTCATTAAATTCACTAATTTCGTGGTCCGCTTGTCCAATTAATTAATTGTAATAAATTAATTGGTCAAGCGGACCACGAAATTAGCGAATTTAATGAATTAAAATGAAATATACTTCACTAAAGCTCTCCGGGGCCATTTCATTTGTCGTCGAAATCCAATCCGATTACCCGACATTTGAAAAATGGCAAAAAGGAGGGAACACTCAAAAGGTGCGGTTGAGATAGGAAGTTGGTGTCCGAGTGGATCGAGGTCACGATAGCTCAAGTGGTAGAGCAGCGGCGTATCAAGCCGAAGATCGTGGGTTCGAATCCCGCTCGGGCCATTGACTTTTTTATCTCAACTAAAAACCTTAATTAATTGTAATAAATTAATTGGTCAAGCGGGCAACGAAATTAGTGAATTTATATGTTAAGAAGAAAATTGTTGGCTATACTTATTTACTTAAGTATTTCATTCCAAAATCAGGGAAACTTAAAACAACTAATAAATGTCAATGTTAATATTTTATGAATAAGAAATTAAAATAAGGAGAATTTGTAATATACAATAGAATATGTTTCGTTGGGACAAGTTTGTAGAGTATACAATAAAATATTTTATTGATTTGTGTACAAAAAAAGTAGGTAAAAAATGTTGAAGAATATTTGCATTGTAATCCATGGCATATTGAGTGTGGCTTATGGTTGGTTTTTCATAGAAAAAAATTTGGTTCATTAATGTCCCGAGAAAAAATGTTACGCTTGGCTGTAATTATCACATTTAAACTGTCAGGTTTGGTCAATGCATTTTCAAACCTTGCATAATTGGACTAAATTTAGATTTTAAAAAACGGCATTGAATCGAAATTATTGGTGGTCTGGAAAACACAGAGCTGGTGTTGAGGCAAATATCGTTCTTGTTTGGATAAACCGAGAGAGCGATTACCACTTGTCCCTCCCAAAGCTAAATTATTCATTAGAGTAGGTTTTTTACCACATTCAAAACAAATCTCAGATCTTAAAACGTTTTTTCTCACGGCATTAACACTAAGGTCAGTGTTGCATACGCATAAGCAATCAGCCAATGCTGACACAAAGTGTGAGGGATTGAAGAGCAAGAAGGTCGAAGCCATTGCCGATTAAGGCGACGAGGTGGGTTCTCGGGATGGGAATGTGTAAAAGGGTTTGAGATGTAGGGTTGTTGGATTGAAAGGTTGGTGTGAAACTTTTGGAACCGGGAACGGATCAGTTCATTGACAAAAGGAATGTTGCGGTCGTTGTGGATAGAGTGGTTAGTCTGAAGCTCTGATAATTTGTCTGAGGTCTTATTATATTAGTTAAGCATTTCATACTCACATAAAATGTGGTGCTATTCTAGAAAAGTAAATTTGTATTTCGCTGTTATGTTTTTGTATGCTTGTGAAAGGGGAACGCGGTAAAACTGGGAAATTTTCTTTGATCATAGGCGGATACAAATTATTATTAGGCAGAACTCTCAACACAACACATGAGAATGACACATCTACACGGAAAACAAACACTTTGAGCCCAGAAGATGATCTCAATAAAGATCGAAACGTTGGCACGATAAAAAAAACTGTTTTTCTAAAACCTACGTCACACCAGACCGCACCTCACGATTTTCAAATAATCATTGGCTAACGGTCACTAAACACCATACATTATCCAGAACAATACAAATTCACATTTCGCAGCATTTCACACGAAACAAATATGACACTGCACGAATAGCACAACACTTTATGTGAGTATGAAATACTCGGTTCAAAATTTATATTTTTTTCAATACATATATATTTGCGAGGTTTTACAACAGCAGAGATCATATAAACCCTTAGGGTGCCGGTGTTTTTGAAAAAAAAAATTGTAAGTATTACAATTAATTAAGGTTTTTAGTTGAGATAAAAAAGTCAATGGCACGAGCGGGATTCGAACCCACGATCTTCGGCTAGATACGCCGCTGCTCTACCACTTGAGCTATCGTGACCTCGATCCACTCGGACACTAACTTCCCATCTCAACCCCACCTTTTGAATTTTCCCTCCTTTTTGCCATTTTTCAAATGTCGTGTAATCGGATTGGATTCTCGACGACAAATGAAATGGCCACGGAGAGCTTTAGTGAAGTATACTTCATTTTCAATCATTAAATTCACTAATTTCGTGGTCCGCTTGACCAATTAATATATTACAATTAATTAAGGTTTTTATTGGGATAAACCTTTTGAATTTTCCCTCCTTTTTGCCATTGGTCAAGCAGACCACGAAATGAGTGAATTTGTAAGTATGTCGGCCGTTGGATTCGAACCCGGGACCTTTACCTTACAGTGATGAGCTCCGTGTCAACGCCTAAACCGTTGCGACACCGACGCCCCTTTATATTATTTACATTTGTATTCTATAATTATTTTTTCCAATCAACGTATGTTTCGTAATTCACCCAGGCCCTGAAGATGACCAGAATAAAGATCGAAACGGCCGCAAAAAATGAAAAAAGTCTTTTTCTTCCTGATTTTCCTTGACGCACCTCACGACTTCAACAAATTATTGAACAACCGGTGCTAATAAGACACATTAATTAAAAGCATTAATTATTTCAATATATTTTGTGTTAAGTTGCTGCTTCATGTTAACGAAAATGTCCAGTTTTGAACGAAAAAACGTACTTTGTCTTCTGAAATATCCTGAATTAATGTATTCAAAATTAAATAGATTTTTCGCTATTCTGTCAGTCGCGTTAATCCGATATCTCTGAATTTACTTAAACCAAGCGAAAAAAACTCAAAAATTGTAACCAATAATTTTATTGTGAATTATTTTATAACAGTTTTATCCAAACAATAACTATGTTTTTATTTAGAAATCGGCATAATGGAAATATCCCGGTTTAATATGTCCCATTGCGTCGTTGTGAAGAAAATAATTCAAGAATGTGCAAAAATGAAGGTACGTTGGTGATTGATGTGATGTTCGTTTTATGATCGTTCCTGACATTTCAAAAAGCAAAAAGGAAAACGGAAATAATTCAATGTGCTTGATTTGCTCCATTGTGCTTGTGTTTGCCATAGAATTTCCTGTAACGACTTTTTCCCGTGTGAATAGAATTGCTTGAAAAATCTTTGAAATATTACTAATATGTTTTTTCTTTTTACTGTTACTGCTTTCTTCTTTTGTGTATGGCGTTGAAACATTTTTGGGATGACCCCGTTAGAATATGCGAAACATACTGCATAAAAGAAATTGAGTCTTGTGTCTTGAATATTTCTGTGTATCATTATAACAAAGCATACCATTCGTAAAAATACTTTGAGCAATAAGTCTAACAAACAAAATTTTTAAGTAACTTTTATCAATTTCTTCAGATTCTGCTACACTAAATTCTGCTTTGCTTACATACCAAGGCGATCTTCCTTATGAAATGATGTGCAAATATTTATGAAGGCGTTTTTTTAATACTACGCTGTTACAAAAGTCCTTGTGCATGAAAACGATAATAATTGATTTATAAAGCATTCAAATATATGTACCTGGATTGTTTTTATATTTAATTTATTATTAAACATTTACAAACATCGAATATTTTAATGATAGAAACCTCAGAAATTCAAGTTGAACCTTGATTAACAATTCAGTAGTCGATGATGCTGAATTAAATGAGAGTGTTAGGCAGTGGTATTCCACTCGAAAGTCGCCGGCCACAATTGGCGCTTCAAATACCAAAGTAAGCGCTTTGAAAACTTACTGGTCAGGAATGTTAGAATCCCAAATTAAATAGCACTTGACTGCACATATTTTCTTTACTTATTATTCATTCAGGGAAAGATTTACAAGTCAAAACGAAAAACGTTTAAGTTCTACAAAAGTATGCACTTATTTCACGTTAAAGGACTTTATTTACTTTAAACTGTATGAACAACTGTTGTATATTTTCGTTTGCTGCAGGATGACATAAAAATAGTTTTTTCAGCATCTTGCTTGAAGTGTTAGATGTACTTTTTAACTCACAAATAATCTAGATCTTGCTATTGTCTCGATGAAGAAAATTTTTTATTTGTTTCTGCCAAGCTTTCGACTTCAATAATGTTACAGTTCTTTGCAATACTGGGACTGAGTTAAATGAAACCATTTATTAAACCTTAATTATGCTATGTGTACACATATTTAAAATTATTTTGCCCCTATGATAACCTTAATTTTGGTCAAAAGCTTGGTAGTAATAAATGATTATCTTTCTTCAGCCAGACTATACCAAGATAACAACTTGCCTCGACCTGCTTATAACCCTGTCCGTCATCTCTCTATGGTCTTTTTCACAGGCCATTAATGTAAATTTAAACACCATCACGGTTTTGTTTTTGGAAAAAGTAATATTTTCAATAAATTCAAATTACAATTTGATCTCCCCGAAGACCACATGTATCAAAAGTATTGAATGTATTTGTATGTACAAGGACTTTTGTTTGTTCATAAGATTACAAGCTTCCATATTGTATAGTATTAATTAGTAAATGACTAATAAACTTATATTGGCGTTTATTGTTAATATTTTAGATATTTTAATTGCTAAACCTCTCATTGTGATCAAAATTTTAAAACATCCTGTAAAGGGGAAAATCCGTTGCAACCTTTTATCTAAAATTATTCTTTGAGTGACGCCGTCAAATAAAGTCCGCTTTGAACTTTACAAGGTGGAAAAGCGTTATAAAATCACATAATGGAAACAACGCGAATAAACACATCAACGCGCACATTCAAGATTTGTCAAGTGGTTAAAAACCGTTCTCGTTGGTGTCAAACGTTGGAAAATTTATTTTTAACGACACCGTTATGGATCGGCCGGCTTCTTTTATTAAAAATTTGTACGACAATTTAAATTTCTTTTCGGTTAACAAAATCGACCAAAAATATCCAAACATTCCAAATAAATGAAACAGTCATATATTATAGCTGATTTTTTTCTTTTTGTTTATTATAGGTTTAACAGTAAAATTGTCGGACTCAATAGCAACCCCATTGAATTTGTTCATGTTTCAGATGGAAAAAATGGTATTAAATAGGTTCAACGAAAGCGATGGATGGGGGGAAATCAACCCTGTTACTTTATCCTCGGATTGGAGCAGAGTCGCAAGGCTGCTGACGCTGGCAGGTCTCTCTGTTGTCGGGAGCCTTGGAAACGTTTATATGATCAGCGCAGTGATGATAGAGGACCATCTTAAAAAAAGAGGTAAAATCTACTAAAGTTTTATGAATGGATTGTGTGATTGAATAGGAAAAAAGAGCGTTTGATTTTGGATTTGGAAATCTGGATGCTACTATATTTGGAATGTTTTGTTGAATACCACAATTCGATGCAGTACAAATGGGCTTTATTATCTTATACATCAGTCATTTGTTGTAAATCGTCAATTTTGATAGTTTGTCTTCAAGTCGTGACAGCCCTTTGTACCGTCTAGCCAGTTCCTGCTTTTTTTAGTCTTGTAAGTGGATTCCATGTTAGTTTTGTCGATATACAGCCTGAGGTAGCGGACGTGGTTAATTGTAAGATGAGATATATGATTTAGGTATAGTGGTAAAACTTATGAGTTAGTTTTTGTGAACATTTATTTTTATCTTCCACTTTTTCAGCCAAGGTTCTATGTCGAATAGGTGAGCATGTAGAGATGTGAGAGGACGGGATCTTTATTGGAGGATAAAATACAGTATCATATGAAAATTGTGATCAATGTGTCAGGATGGATAGGGAGGTCAGCAATGTACTTTGTATACGGATGGGACTAAGCATACTGCTATGTGGGACTTCAGCCTTAACAGGATAGAAGTCAGAGACCTTAGAAGTGGTCAGTCAGGTATAATGGTGAAAGAGACAGCAGGTGAAAGCTCTTGAGCTTCCACAGCGAACACAGCCAGACCCTATCAAAGCCTATCAAAGAAAGCACCCGAACATTAATGTTTCTGCTCAAGAGAGGAAAAGAATGCGTCTAGGCTGTGGCACTTATGGATTGAGATTGGTAAGATGGGATAAGGTTTTGTTCTACTAGGAAAGGAAAGATTCTTTTAAGAAGGAGCTTCTCTAAGGTTTGTCCAAACATCGGCTTATCGGGAGATAAATGGTTTATGGGGTTTTTTGATCATTTTTACAATGCGAAACTTTATAGTAAGAGAAAGTGAGTAGTTCTTAGGGCAGCATTGTATAGGCATGTTAGGAAGAGGATTACTTTTTTAGGGAGGAATCGAAAGATTTCAAAAGTTATAAGGTCATATCCTGGAGCTTTCTTTTTGATGAATTAGATTTCTGAATGATGAAAATCTCTTGGGAGAAGAGAAAGAGATACAGATTGGAGTCGTTTTCTGGTTTCTGTGTGAAAGAACTGAGTGATAATTTAAAATTTTTCGATTGTGGTGCAGAGTGTGTTGCCATGAAAGATCGAAATTTAAGTTTAAGATTTTGGATTCTGAATAAAGTTCTGACTCTTTTTGTTGCCTCCGGAGATTTTGATGTATGGATCATGAAAAGTCTACTAGCGGTTCCTGGTTAAATTCAACTTTGGTTAAAAATTCCATATAGTTTGCTTTGTTTATTAAAACGGATCTTTATGTTATTAACAATATGAAATGAAGGATAATAGTAGTTAAGTATTACCTAATAATCCTTCCATAACCATTCTCAGTATAAAAGTTATGTAAAATCTTCTTGGGAGGGGTTCTTCCGTGTTAGCTACGCCTTTGATCAATATGGATTTAATAGTCCAGATCTTTCCCGTCTCTAAATGACAGATTATGCTATATGTTTCTATACTTGTCACGATTTGCTCGAAGGAACTACTATCAAAAATGCACACGTGGCTTGTTTAATGAATGCCGTTTTTCTTCCTTATATATTTTCTCTATTTTCCCAGCCCATCTCTGATAAAGTGTTGTTTATTTAACGAGAAGACATCCAGACAGATACGAAGCGGCGAACTTTTCTTCAAGCGAAACGTCCGACTTGAAAAGCGTCGAATCCTCGACCGCCAGGTGAAACAATTACCGCTGATAAATCGAGGAAACGCTGACAGAGCCGGGCAGGATTAAAACGAGAGCGGTGAAATTGATAGGGCCGATTCTTTTCCCCGACAATGCCCGTCGGGACGTGACACGAATGACTCTGGAAATACACCGACTGGGAAAGACAAAACTTCATACTCCATCAAAATTTTTAGCCAATTTTAGCAAAAAGGAATAAATTTAAATGGAAAACCCGTTGACATAAATGAAAAGAAAACTTGAATGGGGCTTTTATTCAGAAAATAAATTATTAATTAAGAGATTAGGTGTAAGTTGAAAACTCAAAAGCCTGTTTTTTACTCCTGTTTATTGATGGGGCGCGGTCTGGACTGGTGGCACCCGATCCCATGAAAAAAGTTCTAACTTTTCCTTGGTCCGACGGGAAGAGTATGGCCTAGTGTTTTGTTGCTACCTTTGTAGCTGAAATGCGCAAGATAATGGTAAATGTTCATATTAAATTTAGGCTTTATTCATTCTGACAGGGGATGCAATTGTATAATTTATTTGTAATTTTGTTGTTACCGATCATCCTAGTGTACTTCCTAGTTGTGTTGGTAGTGTTGGGTCTGTGTGTTTTCTCTAATTTCAAGTCTTTTTTATAAGATCGTGAAATCATTCGGCATTTCTCCATGTTCAATATATGGTCTATGTGATTTATGTGAATTCAAGTCTCTTTTACAAGATTGTGAGAGGTGGTGTGCACGTGTCTGCTATATCTTTGACTTTTCGTGGAATAAGTCTGGGTTTTGTTATTGTTCCAGTCCATTTTTCTGCTCGACAGTCTTTTTTCTTTTGAACTAGCAGCAATCACATAATTTTTGTAATTTGGTCGTTACCGGCCATTCTGGTGTGCTTCCTATGTTAGTAGTGTTGGGTCTGTGTGTTTTCTCTAATTTCAAGTCTCTTTTATAATATCGTGAAATCATTGTCTGCCAGTCCTTTTCCGGGAATATGTCTAGGTTTTTTATTGTTCCTTCGGTCCTTGTAATCGTCCGTCCTTCTCCTTTTAACTATAATAATTATTACATTCGTATCGTCGTTTGTTCCACGGTTTTTTTAATTTTATTTATTTTTTATTTTGATGGTTTGTGGAGAAAAGAAAATCCAACTGTACTGTGACATAAATATTGCTTTATCCCGACGTTCGGGCTCATTGGACCATCCTCAGCAGTTACAATTAGTTCTCAATTCCCAAACTGACTCTCCTTACAACGTGCAATTTATTAATCGTAATAAGAAAATTATTATATACATCCGGAAGTATATTTCCACATATATAGAATTCTTTTTCATTTCCTGGAGTTTTTGTATTGAGTATTGTTTCGATGTACTATTTAAAATTTGTGTTTACTATTAATTTCATGTTGATTACTTTCAGGAAATACTTTTATTGTTAACGTGGCATTGGCTGATCTACTTATCACCGGAGTCGTGATGCCAGCATCTGCCATAGTCATCCTTGCTGGACTAGACCCAGCAACGGAGGTGTGCAATGTACAGTGGTTCCTCGCGATACTGTCTTGGCTCGTGACTGTCCTGAGCTTAGCAGCGACTGCAGCCGAGAACTATTCGAGATTATGCCTCTCTCCAGAGACCTATGCAAGACTGACTACAAGAAGAGTCACTATCATTGTCCTATCGATTTGGGCGGTTAGTATCATCGTCGTCACCATTCAACAGATATTCAACGTGGGTCCGAGCTACTGCAAAAGACCTTCCGGCATCCTACTGTACCAGGCGATGACCGCCAGTATTTTTTTTATATTGCCGGCACTATTGACGACATTTTATTACGCGAAGACCATAATGCAAGTCCGTTTGGCCAGAACCCACCCCAGTTTCAAACCGCCAGTAGCGTTCGGTTGGGATTATTCCTTGATGAAAACCAACATGTACAGTTTCTGTTTATTCTTTCTCTTTTGGGTACCTTTCGGCGTCATTCTCTTTATTGACTCGGTCAAATCAATATCACCGAAACTTTTTTACAATCTAGCATGGATCGCGCTGAGTAAATCTTGTGTAAATAATTTCCTTTATTGTATTCTAGACCGTCATTTTAGAAGCGCCTATATAAATTTGTTTCATTACTGTTGTTGTAAAACGACAGTCACTTTTTCTAGGAGGACGAGAGAAGTTGCGAGGCCTTCTGGCGATGTAAGGGTCCACATTATCCCAGGGTACAATATGTATTCATACACAAGCCCCCAAAGGTCCGGACGCGAATGCACTAAAGTTACTTCTGGGAAAAGAACGTCGGCAAATCGTCCACCGAGGCCTCACCACAATCGTGACGTTTATGAACTCTAAATCGCTCAAATTCTAGAGACAATTGGGGCATTTTAATTAACAAAAACGAATCAGAGTTAAGCAGAAATGACTTGGAGAATTTATTGTTTTAATCGCAGCGAGGGATTCCATCCAATTAACTTTTAATTGGAAATTCCTTATCGTCGACCATTTATAGAGAAAACAATTGCAACGAAAAATAATACTCTTCGAAAGATTCATATTGACCAGTCAAACAATTAACAGCCTAGTTCATTTTCTCTCTTGACTCACCCAAACACAAACACTTATTAAATTATTATAATTTCTGGTGTATGCAAAAGAAAGAATAATAAACAGTGCTTCCCCATATGTGGAGTAATTATTATATTCTCTTAATAAAGGAGAAAAAAATTTTAAAAAAACTTTTCATACGCCCAACTTAATAAAAAAAATAGTAGTTTTAAGTATTACTAGGACTAAGAATTTCATTCGTCCGTTTTTCATATATTGTTAACTCTTTAATGATCGTTTACAATCGTTTATATCCCATTTTCCAATGGTTTATTTCAAGAAATACAAAGTATAAGCAACAGTTTCCAAAAAGAGTGTAAAATTGGATCTTTTTACTTTATTATGTACCTGCTCCCACATTGACTGCAGGTTAGAAAAAAAGGCAAAATTGAATCGACAAAATTTGTAATTAATTTTCTGTACAACCTAGCCAAAATATTCACTCCCAAGTCAGTTCTGCTTTTGATCTTTGTCTTAGGACTTATTTTTAATAACGTACGGACTGTCTAACCTAAGGCCTATTAGAAAAACATTATTCTACTACTATTTTTTGTCCAAACCAACTTGACAATAGGACTATTGGGTGCTGAGGTGTAAATTAAAATAGATAAAATAACTATCCTTATAAAAAAAAATGGGGTATGAGCCATTCTTAAAAACAATTTCGACATTCCATAAAAAATTTGTTTTTTTATAAAAGACTAATTCTTGCATTTGGTAACTTATAATTTTCAAGGGCAGACAGAACGTTTATATAGAAACCTATACATCTTTTATATGTGTATTTATTAAAGGAATATATTTATATATGATATATATTTGTATATATCTTATCTTAAACGCATATCTAATACATAATATATCTTTTAATGATTTTTTTTAGGTAGGATATATATGTTAAAAAATATTGATGTTCTAAATGTTGGAATTATATTGAATACCTGATAAGTGCCTACTAGTGATTTCATCTTTTATTATCAGAATCTTAATTAAATCTTTTATTTAAAAATTAATTATTTGTTAATTATTTTTATAACTATATATAATATTTCTATGTATATGCTAGTAGATCGATTCGATCAAATAACCAACTTGTATATTTACTTCTTATGCCATGAGATGTATATTTGTAGTATTTTTCATTTGTTGTCCAGAACCTTTAACGTTTCCAAGTTAACATTTTCAATTCTATTTAAATAGTTAAGTGAAATGAGAGTCAATACAAAGGGCCAAATATATGCGTACATTCTAAATACAACATTGGCTTGAAACATGTTTAATTTTTTATATTTTAAGCGTTGAAAATATTCAAATTATTTAAAATTATGAAAAAACAACTAAGTGTGATTTTCACTGAGCTTTTAAATATAATGGGTAAACGTCTTTGTAAATTGGAACTGACCAATTTATATCGTGTATTACAAAACGTTTGATAATAACTCTGAATAAATTATATATTAATAACACAGAATATGTGTTTATAATGTTTATAGATAGATTATATTTATTATATACCATCTCTTACGAGATCTCTTAAAATATTTTAGTAGTAAATGTTCTATGTCTCCATGGATTCTTTTATCAGACTGCCTTTATCATGTCTGTGATGTTGTGATGTGTTTCAATGTTTACAAAAAAAATTGTTAACAATTTTAAAAAAATAAAAGGGGACCACTTAAGGTGAAACCCACTGTATCTTGAGTGTAAATGCACATAAAGTAACTGTAACAGGAAAATAATGATAGGTAATAAGAACCTAGAAGCCAGCACACAAGGCATTTTTTTAAATGGCATGTGACAATGCATTTCATCATCTATAAAAAGACTATTGAACCATCATCTAAATTACTTATAAATCTTTTCTACTTAGAATATATTAAAAATATGTCTATAAGGTGAAGACCAATTGAATTGTTTCAAAATTGAATTGTGTGACAATGGTGGTAACAGTATTTTCTCTCCTAAGACATTCTCAATGAGTAATTTAGTTTAAAAGTTATTTTCTTAAATATAAACCTAAGCCTTCATTTTGTCCTTTATTTTGCTGTGTTTACGAGAAAAATGGAATTAGAGAATAAATTATTTCTTTCAAAAACCCTGCTGGCTTCTAAAATAATTTAAATATTCACTCTAAAAGCAAAACACTTTTCTCTTTTGGATGAAAGGGAATGAATCAATTAATTTTCTCATAAAGTCCTGAAAAAGCTAATTAATAAAAATAAAAATCCGCCCATAAATTTACTTAAAAGATCTTCTTTTTTTATATATATGTAAAATTGTATGAAATATAATTTACATTTTCTTTTAGCATTTCTTTACAGTCTTACTACAACGTCCAACCCACTATTATTGTACATAAATAAATTTTCCTATAACTGTGCAAATGAACATTCAATTTTGCCATGAAGAAAATGTTGATGTTACAAAACTAATTATTAAAAAACAAAAAAAAATTAATGTTAGTTATAAAAGACTGTTAGTTTTAGATAGTGGTCTGTATAAATAAAAATTGGTATAATGAATCATTTAAGATAAAAATGTCTTGAAAGGGGAATCTCTAATGCTTTATGACAAATATTTATCTAATGATACATCTACAAATATTCATATAATAACAAGCATACATGCTTTTGTGTGTATAATCTTCATTGCATGACTGTGTTGTATAATAAAAAAATTTAACAATTTTTTTTTTTAACTTTCATGTCATAAAAGATTTATGAAAAAGAACCTAACCAGAGGTAGAGAAAGGTTGCTTGATGTGTCCACTTAATTGAAGGGTGCCACTCCTTGGCTTCATATAGAGAGCTTGTAGGAATTCCGCTTGATATGAGAATTGTGCCTGAGTTATAAAAAAACTGTTAAATAAGGAATGAGGAGCTGCCACAATGCTGAAAGGGTGGTAATACAACAGACACAGGTAATCTAAAAATATCCTAAAACAATTTGGGAATTAAGTATATCATAATAAAAGTCAATAATTTTTAGAGGTTTTTTGGTAGAACACTAAAGGCTCAAAGGAAATCTGAAAAATATTGATTTCAACAAACATGAGGCAAAAGAGCCAGTTCAATTATCAGGTTATGGTTTCTCAAAAGTAGAAAATATTTTTAACATTTGGCGCACATAAAACAACAATGGAGGAAAAAATAACCAGTGTAATGGTAGCAATAATAAAATTCATTTATTCATTCATCATCTTAAGAAAAATGTTAAAAGGTCAATAAAAATACACCTTGAAACCTATTTGTAAACAGAATATAAAGGGAAAATTGTAATCAATTGGAATCTCTCACAGTAGATAACCAACCTAAAAAATCCATAAAAAATGTTACATTTCAGACCGGCCAATGAAGATCGCAAACAGATAGTCCTTGCATGTTGGATCGCAATCGGTGTAGATGAAGATATTATATTGAACTGTTAATGAATCCTAATGAGAGCCTAGAAAAAAATTTGATATTTTTTGCTGTTTTTATTTTTATATGAATGTAACTTTTTTTGCGAACCAAACTTTGTGACAACGAAAAGAAATTCAGGATTTCAACAGATATTGTAGTAGGGCACAGTTGATTCAATGCAATCTGGACATATTGGCTTCATTAGCACAAAAGGGTGAATCCTGTAAAGAAATAGACAAATCTGAGCTGCCCTGGTCATGGACAGGCAGAGGTGGATTTTGATGCTAGAAATATGGGCACCTGGTCAGAGCTCTCAGAGAAACTTATTAAGAAATTTTAAAATCACCCTAACCAACCTTATATGTAGGAACATGGAATATGTAGATTTGACAAAGGAAAATTTGCCCAGATATTCTATGTCTTTAAATTTAAGATATAGTCAGATGAAATTCACAATTTCAACAGATAAACTGACAGGAAATAAGTGTAAAGATTCCTACTTCTGGCAGAGTAAAAGCGTGTGCCTGAAGGATACACATTCCTCAAAAAAGCTTTGGAATCTGGAAAAAAGTCTTAAGATTGATGAGGAGCTCCAAATAACAATAGAGACAACAGACCAGTACTGGACAGGGTGCACAGGTCAAAATGAGACTGATTCCATTTCTAATTTGAACTTTTTTTTTTTGGCATTATGAACTATGCATATTAGCCATGTGACAATTCGTATATGTGTGTTCAAATTTGGGGGGGTTATTGTGAAAAAAGGGCCAGAGGCGACGGTGGGAATCGAACCCACGACCGCGGCGTGAGAGTCTCTCATGCTAACCACTCGGCTACCGCGGTCCCCTAATTTGAACTTACCATGCAACTTTTTGGATTGATTTAGTTCATGGTTTTACATTAATTTACTGAATGAATGTTATTGAATTTACTTTTGTTTATTTGTCAATGTCATCTGAATACCCTTGTATGAAGAAGAGGGGCTGCTATACCTCTGATAGGACCCGAGCCCTTCTATGGCAGAGGAACTCAATGAGCAACTCAGACAGAAGGATAAAAGGAAAATGATAGAACCCCCCATTGGATACAAACAATCCAAGAACCTCCTAACAAACTTTTGAAGGAAAGAAGTAACAGAATGCATTAAAAAAAAATTAAAGGATACTAAACTACAAACTAAATGAACAACTCAAGAAGATTGCCATAACCCAACAATGCTATGTGCAGATTCTGCAAAGAAGCAGAGGAAACACCAACACACCTACTAACAAACTGTGGCACTACACTTGCCCACAGAAGGAAGTGTTTTGGGACGTACAGTGTAACCGTAGAAGACAATAGACATTCAACCACTGAAACCGGGTATACTTATCAAGTTCCTTGATGAACTAGGACTCACCAGAGTGCTATAAGCACAGAACAGCATACAAAAGCTCTTAAAGGGCACAGTATATACACACCCGATTAAAACATCTTCATCTACCCTTGTATGTCAAGACCCTTTGTGTTAGGTTATAAACTACATCATCCACTACTAGTTACCATAAGGTACTCTTCCTTGGCTGCAGCATCAAAACATTGCTTGAACAATTAAGTAAATTTTTGAAAGCAAGAGGATACTCACCATTTTAGCAGATTTTTTTAACAATGGTACCAATTCTGATAAAAATTGGCATCAATGACAAAAAATATTTTCAAAAATAAGTTATAATTGGCCCAGACACATTTAATATGTCTTACATTTAAAATACAGCAGGAAAAAATTCAGAATTTTAACAGAAGGGAACAGAATTTTTTTTTATTTATACTTAATTTAAAATGATAAAGACTAATAATAATGTAATAAGTCACATTGTTGGGACATTCACTGGACATTCGAATGTAATTAACATGGAAGAGGTCATGATGTCGAAAATGTTCTGTTAATAAAGAAAATTTGATGCTGAAGTAGTACTGTTCAACAACTTACAGTACAAGTGATACTGGTTAGATTAGATTATGTAGTAGCCAGCCTCTTTATGACCTGCACACCACGACCATTATTGGTCTATTATGCTTCTCCATTCTCTTTGTTCTTTTTTTATCTAGCGCTCCTCATTAAGCTTAAGGCTTTTTACCAGACCCCAAAGCTTCTCTGCCATGTGTATCCTTCAGGCTTTGGCTTTTCCTCTCCCAGGATTAGGAATCTCACCTACAGGCCTTGACGACACCAGAACATGTTCTGGGTTTCTTCTTCTTCTTGGCAATATCTGCACATGCTTGTTTCTGCCACTCCGAGTCTATACATATGCCTCCCGAGTCTGCAGTTAGTGTAGTTGTAGCACATCCTAGATTTAGACATTATGCATGCCTCTGTCCTGCAGAATCAATCCCTATTTAAAAGAGGAATTTCCATTTAATGGATCTTCGTTTTTTGCAGTTGGGTAAGCCACAAAAGGGTTCAGGGCCATGTCCTCATCGAACTTTCCTTGGCTAATCTATCAGCCTTTTTGTTGCCCCTCTTTATGCCCTTGTACCCAGACAAGGGTAATTTTGTTATTTTCCCCAATGTCTGACAGAGCTCTAATGCAGTCCCAAGCGACTCTGGACTTTACCGTCAAAGCGGCAATTGCCTTCAGTGCCGCCTGGCTGTCCGAGTATATGGCTATCCTTTTGAAGACAATCCCCAGCCTTTTTATCTCCCTGGCACAGTGTTCAATAGCCACAGTTTCATCTTAAAAGACGGTGGCATATTGTCCAAAGCTTATATGAATTCCTTGGTTTATTTCCATAAATGACAGCTCCTTTCGGTTTCGGAGCCTTCTGTAAACCAGATATGGTCGGAATTAACTGGGATCTACAAGGTACAACTGGTACAGCAGTTACTAGCTGTAATTGACTAGAAAGCAGACCATAATGATCAAATAGGTAAATAAACTATCGTAAGAGCTAGTAAATAAAAAATTGAAAGTTTGTACATGCGAAAGAAAATGTTGTATAAAAGCTGAATTATGCAATTTCCATTTTCGTTCTTTAAAACTGATCAAGCCGAACATTTCTGTGAATCCATCTGAGCTTTTCAAAGTAATCGATTATACAAGCGGTACAAAGTTTTAGTTTTAGTAACCTGCCGCCTTAGGACCCTTACATCCCGTATGACCGCAAGATTCTAGTTTTATTTTAGTTCGTCCCTTTTAGATAATGTGCATTTAAATTGCTTAAGTTGCTCCTAAGTCGAAAAAAAAATACATAAAACCCTGGTCAAATTGTATAATAAAAATGGCAATAGAAGGACACAACCAGCCGACTCCTCTCCTCCACACGATAGGCTTCAGGATATGTACAAGCACCCTGTCTCATCCTCTGGAGTATGCTAAATTCCTCATTCAGGTAAAGAACATCTCAGAGGAGTCACCATCAACCTTTCCTAGACTACTGTCGAAAAAAAAAAATCAGCTTCTCGGAGCTAAATCGTTTGAAAAAATTTCGATATTTTTTTTATCTGTTTTATGAAAGACAATTGTCAAAACTCAACTGGGTAAAATCGCAAAAAAGTTTTTATGTTCGATTCTTGCTATGTAAAAAAACCTTAACTCCAAAGTTTGAGAATTACAGTAGATTTACAAGTTTACCATAGTCATTGGAATCCTTTTTTGGAAGAGAAAAGTCAATTTATACCATTTTCAACATTACTGTTCAATGAATATACCAGCCAAGTCATCCATAGTTCCACTTCACTACAACAAATACAATCTACATTCATTCTTGTCATTATTATTATTTTATTTTATTTATTCATTTTTGTTTTTAGATCGGCCATGAACCTTTGCCTGCCTATCCAACGACAACATTTTTTGGAAAGCCGAAATACATGCTACCAAATGTATTCCAATACGGTAAAAACATCTTTTTTTATGTGTTTGGTGTTAATTTTTTGAAACATATCAGCCTTCATTGCATAACTATACAAGCTGCCTTGTTTGCCTTTCTGCCACCCTCCGGACTTATGTAAAATATGCATTATTAACAAATAATCCAGTTCATGGTATGGTCTTGATGAAAAACCAAATTTGTCTGTTATTGCCAAGCTTTCCGACCCATTTTAAGATTATCATCAGGGAACAACAATCTTAAATATGTCTAAAAATTGACATAATTTTTTCACAAAAGATTTCAAATTTCATTGAAGACCAACTCAGTCCCAACATTGCCGAGGACTGTAACATTATTAATTTATTCCAATAAATTATTCTTTTATCTAAGGTTTTTCTCTGAGATGAAAAATTAGTGTCACAAGCAGGATTAATATGGATTATTATGGAACCATTAAGAAAATATGGATTATTAAATTAATTTGCTTTTTTGTAATGAAGGCCATACCATGGTCCAGTATACTAGTAATTAAAACCAATTCGATCATACAGGAGGGCTTAATGTTGGAGTCTTGGACAAGGGTTCAAACTACTTAACAATTTTTTCCTTCGAATTATCAATTAAAACTCCATGGGTTATGCCAGTATTTAACTGAGAACAGCTAGTGTGGCAAATATGAGTCCGATATCTCAACCATTGTGGTCACCACAGTCTGTCCATGCTTATTCATAATAATTATACAAGATTACAATGAGCTGAAAGGTGATGTCATCTCTGACCATTGTAGCTATTTTTATATAAATTTCATAGTACTTACATTTATCATCAATATGTAAATTAATATAATGAATCAGCAGATTTGTCCCTTTACGTAAATTTAAGCCTGCCATTTGTTTTTTTCTGTCAGACACGTTTCTACTTTTTGCCATCTTCGTTGATGTGTTTGGACCAAAATTATTATCAAAAAATGAAGATAGGAAGAAGCAAAATGGCGAGAATAAACCAAAATATTCGGAAATGTCCAAATTGCCTCTTCAGCCCAGCTTTTCGAAAACCTCCTATCTTTCCACATTTGTCCAAAAATCTGAATTTTTGCTTTTCCAAACAAGGATTGTTCCCAATTAGTTCCAACTATTGGGTCTCTACATATTTGTACTAATCTGCAAAGCCTTGGGGGTGAATAAGTTTTTTTTAATGTATAAATGGACCAGGCAGCTAAGGCTGAGATGTTTCAACCCCAACTTCCAAACTTGACCCTGCGATCTGGCCCTCTTGATGCTAGAAAATGCATTTAAAAAAACATGTAAAGAAAGTGGGTCAGATCAGCAGAGATGCTCTCACATGCCTTCAGAGGATTTGTCTCGTAGAAGAGGGGTCATCCTCACTCGATTAAGAATAGGCCGTGTGAGGTTAACACACACGGATGCTTTTGGGCCAAAACTGGCCTGTGTCCAGCATGTAGAAAGGTGGCTTGATGTGTTCAATTGAAAAGTGCAATTCCTTAACTCCACATAGAGAGCATGTAGATTTGAGAATTGTCCTTGAGCAGCAAGTATTTGGGTCCCCTGTTCTGATTCTTGGAGGAAACAGGGTTTTTTATTGTGTATATACAGATGTTTTGTCTCCTAGTGTGTATTGGGTAAATGTACTTATTAGCATGAATGTGTGAGAGGGTCATTGGTGTAATATTGAGTATCCTTCACCCTAACTGAAAGAATGGTATGTAAATATTGTAAATAGGAAAGAATGTATTTAATAATGAGTGAGAGTGGGAATGGATTTAGGAACTTGGAAATTGGAATGAACAAGATGTTGAAATGACCTAGTTGACAGCTCAACCTCAGCAAACTGGGCAAATAAAATCGAGGTCTGACCCCGGACTGCCAACATTTGGAGTGTGGGTGATTCTCAAGGCCTGTGGTAATTCATTGTAAATTACAAAGGATGGAAGGTGGACTGCAAGAGTGATAGGCTCAACTCTGCTCCTGTGTGTATTTATATAAATGCATGTACAGATTTGAGCTTATAATAATAATAATAATAATAATAATAATAATAATAATAATAATATGGAATGTCGGTGGCCACAACAGTTTAGGCTCATCACTGTAAGGCAATCCAGTAGCCCTGCATTAGAAACCGACATATTTACAAGTGGGCTTTTTTCTATTTTAAAAAACACTGGTACCCCAAGGGTTGATATGACTGCTGGTGCATATTCATATATGTATATATATAAAAAATAATAACAATAAATCGTAAATTGAACCGCAACTCTGTCTTGGAGCTGGCACCTTAGATACAGCGCTACAAAGGCAATGCTCTATACCCATGGCTATCCTATCGATTTGAGCTTAAATCAGTAATCATTATAATTTTGACTTTGTATTTTTTTTTTTTAATTTGGCCATTTCCAATCATATGGCCTATCATACATGTTTCAGCATTTTACAACACCATCTTCATACAGACTAAGTTGATCAGAAATTAATTTGTTAATCGAACAATGAGTTCTAGCTTTACATTACCTATATTCATCTAGGCTTGAATTTTCCTGACTATATTACTATTTCTATCCTTCTTTTAATTTTTTATTCTTCTTTTTTATTGCAGTTAAATATATCAAAGGGATTGATGGCTTTACCGGTTGCTACAGAGGGTTTGCACCAAAATTGGCTGGCCAAGTCGTAGGAATGTTTTCAGCTCCTATGGTTGTGAATCAACTGAAACAAGAGTTAGGACCCGACTTTGACTTTAATCCAACAGATGATGAACTTTCTGATGAGGAAAAGTAAAACTTTATGGTACATTTTTTTTAAAGAGTTAATATCACTTATTTGTTCGCGTTTTGTTATAGGATAACAGTATTCAAAAGGACTCTTATGTTGGACATTGTCGGTCGAAGCATAAGCATTGTAGTGAGCCATCCCTTTTCAGTCATATCAGCAAGAATGATGGCCGAATTCGTCGGAGGTGAACAGCAATACAGGTAAGTTGTTTTATTTAATCACTTATCAATTTTGTCAATAGAATTATTATTTTTAAACTTTTAACAGTGGTATTTTTGCTTCAATAATGGAAATTTACAAAGAACAAGGCATTGGAGGTTTCTTCAGTGGCTTAATGCCTAGATGGCTTGGTGAATTGGCGACCCTTATTGTGTCAAGCTTTCTAATATTCGGTGTCAACAATTATGTAATTCAGGACCGAGAATTAAAAGTATTCACCATTCCTACCTTGCAGGTAACGACAATAACACCTCTATTCAAAAAATTCTTGTTTTATAACACTTTTTTTTTAGTACATTACGACAACGATGACATATCCCTTAACTGTAATTTCATCCTGCATGCAAGTCAACAATTGCGGGTAATTTATACATAAATTATTATTAATTGTCATAGTGTTATATTTAATTGACTACTGTAAAATTTATTACAGGCTGGCTGCTGGTATGCCCCCACACATGCCAATCTACAAAAACTGGAGAAGTTGTTTTAGTCATTTATCAAAAACTGGCAAACTCCACAGAGGGTCGGGTCTCTTTTTCAGGTATTGTCCAAGCCCAAGCCCAGCGATAGGCAGCAACCCAAAGTCAAAATATTTTTTCTAGTCTAGTTAAGTTTAGGACATAATTTCAAATTTCATCAGCGATTGTCTCTAGTTTGTGTTCTTTATGAATATTTAAAAACTGTTTTTTGTAAATCACATATTGAAAGTGTTGACTGCATCGAATTCATTCAATATATAAGCAAGAATTGTGTATTTGCTTAGCTCCTCAAGTTGTGGATACTGATGTAATCCGTTAGAAATATTGTATACAATATATACTTTTTTTTTGTTCAAGTATTTTCTTTATATTTTCTCTCCCATCTGATTTAAAAAATTCTTTTGATTTAAAAAACAAAGATTTTCTACATGTTTCTTGCATTAATCATAATGATAGATAAAATTATACTTGTGAAGTGCTTGATTGAAAATATATTTCATAATAAGCAAACTTACTTCACCGTCTTGAACCAAGATGGGTTCGGTTATTATTTTCTAAAGCTAAACTAGTGATTTTGTAAAATTTTTAACTTTCTTATTTCTCGTAAAGAAACACAAGTCGAAGATTATTTTATAATAAATAAATCAGTAATTCAGTAAATCTGCCCAATTTCTAGGCTAGAATAATCTGTACAGGTAGAGATAATATCAATATTGTAATGTATGAAAGATCATTGATTTTTTAAAGGAAATGAATCTTTTGGTTACTTTATTATTTGTTAAAATTAACAAAAAAATCCAAATAAAATTTTTTACCAAATTGTTGGTTTGAAGAATTTTTGTATTTTTCATTGTTCTCTGTTCAGCTGTTGAAATTATTTCATCCTCTTAGCCCATTCAGGTACTTCAAGTGCTCAAGTCTTCACTTTTAAACTGAAGTTTAAAGAAACATTGCGTTCCTTAAACTGGTAACCAATGGCATTAGGTTTTGTAAATTTCCCACTCTCTAGCGATAAATAACAAATAATGTAAGATCAGCACACTGCTTTTATGAACTTGAATCATGTTCATCAGCATATCATAGTCACGGTACCTGCTTAGAAGTAGGGATGAGTGCGATATCAGTGTCAATATCTGTGTAGAGGGGTAGGGATGAGCTCGATCCAAGAACAAATAGCCTGACTGTCCTGAACTTATTATTTTATAATAAAAATAAAATTAATTTTGTAGTTTGAAAACTTACCTATATAACTACCTTTTACTTTTTATAACGGCCATAACTATTTGTCATAAAACAAAATCTTTAGGTTTTTAAAAATAAAATAAAAATTACCTTTTCAATATATCAAATTTTTATTTTCTCTATTTACCTACATTTGAACTTTGGCAAATATTTTGTAACAAATTCAATATAGACAATACAAAAAGTAATTTCTGTGGGAATTAATATATTAAGATAACTTCATTTTTTAATTAATTTTTTTTTGTTGGAAATTTTTATTTTAAAAATCCTTAGCTGATAAATCTAAGCTGCCACTTCAGACACCGCCATAGGTTCCAAATCAAAAAAGAAAAAATAACTTACCTACTTAATTTACTATGTACTTTATTTTAGGTTTCTTGAACATGTTTGACATTGAAATGAAGAAAAAAAATTGTCACAATTTAATTTTTATACTATTAAGTTGAAAATTTAAAATTGAGAATGAATTGAGACTAAGTTTTCCCCCCAAAAATAGTCAATTTAGAAGAAACGGTCCCTGAACAAACTGGACATTTACAACTTTATTAGCTAAATTTTGTTGGTTTTTAAATTGCTATTGTTATCTTTTGTCATTCTTCCCCTCGAAAGTGTTTCAATCATACGCCCCCCATTCAGTTTTTATCAATATGATTCACACAGTTAAATTATACACCACACTTATAATCAACAATTGGATAAATATACACAGATAATTTAGAAGCACCAGGCACCCGCCTGACGAGAGGAATACTCAGCTGGTTGAAACCATAGAAGAAAATAGTTTAGTATTTTGTGATTAAACTGTTTAACAGAAAGAAAAACTCTCTCTTGTCAACTTACAAACTAATTACAAATTAATACATAAATTTAAATGCACTCTATCGACAAATTAAATAAAACGTTGTGTATTTAAATATAAACATTTCCTTAGATTCAATACGTGACAAATTTAGTAACAGTATACGTCGGGTTTCTTATGTGTCACTATGTACAATAACCCACAGGAATCATAACCCTAGTGTAGGATAAATAGCTAATTCAATTACATTATATTCCATAAAACTACTGTCGCACTCTTGAGTGTCCAACAGCTGAATGTTTACTCTTATTTCATTTATTTAATTTTTTTTTTTTTTCATTCAAAATTCAAGTCAATTTGCCACTTTTTCCAAAGCTTTAGATAACAAAATATAGCATCTGTACAGATTTCTCCGTCATTGTTGTTCCTGCAGCACTATATTTACACAACTGAGAAACAGTTGGTCTTAAAAAGAAAAAATGGAGATTCCAAGGCTTTTCAAGGCCCAGATCACTTTTAAGACCTGCATGTTTTCAGTACCCCATCACTAACTTTTTTTAAAATTTATTTGCTGTCTGTTATATAGATAAAAGAACAAATATACAGTTATGTTACACAGGCAAAAATGAAAGCATTTTAGGCTTCATCTGCCATAAAAGAATTTTGAGATTTCAACTCTTCAAGGTTTTTAATCTGCTGACGTAAAAACAGTACTCTGTAAACATAAATTAAAAAATTACAAATCCAATTGAATAGTAGCAATTTCAAAAAAATGCTTGTTAAGAAGTACCTTTGCTCTTGAAGTGTTGCTTGAATCTCTCGAAGTCTTACAGTAGACCGTGCACTTTTCAACTCTGCGGACACCTTTGTGCACAAACTACCGAGCCCGTGAGCCTCCTCCCCCATTTTTTGTGCCTGAAATAAAGCGACAATGCAGTTCGAACGAAAATTAGCATTTAAAATGCAACAACCATACCTGTTTTTCCAGGACATCGGCCGGCCAACCTCTTACGTGATTAACAAGGTCGTCCCTGTAGTGGTTTGCTAACGAAGGTGTCAAGTTTGGAGCTTGAGGCCTTATAGCGGCTAATGTCGATCCCGCAGCCAAACTCTGTAGTGAACTTAAGCTGCTAGGTGGGCTAACAACTGCAATGCGAAAAATTATAAATCAAATTTTCATTAAAACTGGTAAACTATTGGTCGGCCATTTTACATATTTTAGGGCAAAACAAATGGATAATTTGAAAGATTTAGCAGCTAAAAAAATAAAAACAAAATTGAAGATCTAAGTATCATTTATACTAATACTTATGTGTAAAACCTGGGTTTATTTTTATCTTTTGTTTTAATCATTTATTTTGAAGTATGAGACCCACCTAATGAAATTTTTGTTTGTTTGGCTTTAAAATATTTTTTAAAACAATAGCTACTGTATAAAAATATTAAGAAGATTGAAAAAGTTACACACCTTCATGATGATAATTATTAAGAAATATACAGCACTTTACCCTCCAAACCAAAATTATTACAATTGTAATTATATTTATTCAGATATCGTGAGATGCGGTCGGGTGTGATGTAGGTTTCAGAAAAACATTTTCTTTATCGTGCCAACGTTTCGATCTTTTATTGAGATCATCTTCAGGGCTCAAAATGTGGGCACTCTCAACACGACACGCAAGGATGGCACAATTACACAGAAGACAAACACTTTGAGCCCTGAAGATGATCTCAATAAAAGATCGAAACGTTGGCACAATAAAGAAAATGTTTTTCTGAAACCTACATCACACCCGACTGCATCTCACGATATCTGAATAACTATCGATTAACGGTCACTAATCTCTACACATGTAATTATATTGTTTTCCCGTTTAATTTTAAATTATGTATAAAAGTGTACTGCTTGAAAGTGAAAAACATAATTATTGCAATGTAGTACCTAGTAGTATATAGTGCAATATAGTATCAAATCTATGATTTGATAGATTTAAAAAAATATGAGCATTTTCTAGATTTAAAAAAAAAAAGTTGAACGGTTGAGGACATTAGCTAAGCAGTAAGGCGTCCTGCCTTGCTAGCAGTTCTGGGTTCAAATCCCAGCCAGAGGTTGATTTATGGATTATAGTCTGAAAAATATATTGTAAAGTGGTTTGACCCTTTGTCCATGACACCCAACGGGTAGTTGTATAAGCCCTCCTGTATGACAGGAATTACTTTAACTATGCATTTTGAGTTGATAGATAAAAAATATGAGGATGATTCAAATTAGAAAAAAAAAGTTTAATTGTCAAGCAAATTATCGTAAAAGAATTCTGTTTTGTAAAAGACAATTTTAATGAAACATGCAAAACATCAGATCAACAAGACCTGAAGCACATCGTAAAATTCCAGTTACTACTTACCAACTCTTGCTGAATCAAGTTTGCATTCATAGGAAAATAAGTATACAAAACTAATCTGTTAACAAGTTGGAGAGACAGAAAAATATTGAAGAAAAACTTCCAACGGAAACTAATGACACTAAACCCACTGTTTTATAAATATTAATCTGTGGACTTCAGGAAAAACACACACCACGGAAGTATGAAAATTAAGTTAAGTAAAATCCAAGAGTAAAACACATCAAGTTCCATATATAAAATGACTCATTGACTGAATACACTGATCCAATACAAGAAAATGTAGTATGAACCTACAATTAATAATTCACATCATTAGCTGCTCAATACTGACCACAGTAACGACAAAAAAGTACAATAAAGTTTACAGAAAACAAAAGATGGCACAACTCTTTCGGCCCTTCACATCATAAGTAAACAACTGAAAAATAGCACAGATCAACCATTAAAGGTGGCAAAATTTTGTTAGAGAAAACCAGCACGAATGACCAATTGTGAAAACCAATGAAAAATTGCGCTAAACATTTTGTTTTGATCTAATTGTACCAGATGGCAATACAACCAAAAGTTCAGCAAATCAAATAAATAATCATTTTTTTATTTTTTTAATGGCCTTATGAACTTATTAGCTAAAATATGCTATGCTTTTTTTGGGGGAGGGGGGTTGCATGAAAAAGGGCCAAGGGCGACAGTGGGAACCGAACCGTTGAGTCTAGAGCCAAGAGTATACCACACTGACAACTCGGCTACCGCAGTCCCCCCCATGAAATTCTTAGAACAAACAAAATTGTGTATTAATCAAACAAAAATTTGGATCAACTTTTGACAATGGAAAAACAAACAACAAAAATGTGAGATTTTATCCATAAAACAGAAAGTTACCATTCAATGTATAAAATAATAAGATTTCTGAAGGTTTAAAAAAAAAAAAATTATGACTACAATTTGTTTTAAGATAATCTTGACAGGAAATCCAATTTTCTACAGTTCCTAGGTTCTTTCATGAGTAAAGCAATTGAAGAACATCTTCCCACCTAATAAATTAAATTGAACTTAGATGTTTAACTACTAATTATGACTGAAAGTCTGCCCTAGATTAAAAACAAAAAATTGGAACGAAACAACCAATTTTTTGAATAACACATATATTTCAGGACTCCCAAGTCTCTTCACTAGCAACAACTTTCACAAGCCTGGAAAGATCATTGATAGATTGGGTGTCCCGAAATATATACATGTTATATTAAAAAAATAAGGTTGTTTCCTTTTTTCCTTTACCTGATCACAGATTACAAGAACAACAACTTAGGAAAAAAGATATAAATCTATAATTTAAAGTTATAATATAAACATCGTTGCAATGAATAACCTTTTGTGACTAGTGAAGAGTTTTTTCGTCCACTTTTTTTATCCTTCTTCTGACTGAGAATCTGGCCTCTCTCTTAAACTTTTCAAAAATTGCAGCACATTCCTTTTTCTTTAAAACCATTTCGACACAATATCTATGTCTTATACCTTTCACCCCTGCCATCCCACCAACCCTCTATTCTTTCCATACTACCCTAATTGTCTTTCTGATTTTTCACCCCTCCCCCCATCTGAAAAGTTACACCAGTTTTAGAATTTACATCATTTATACATACAGCAATTTTCAAAATATATATTTTTATTGTCCTTATATATTTTTTTTGCAACACTGTACTAGTGTGAATATATGTACATTTGTGTGCACAGTTAAGCTTAAATAAATCACTAATCAGTATTCATTTTGTTTTTTTGTTATTACACTTGAAAATATATAAATAAAAACTCTGAGTCAAATAAATATTCAATTAAATACAACTATTTTTCCTCTTCTTACATTTACATACTTACTTCCATTATAAAGTAAAATATCTGAGGAACATACTGACATATTTTGAACGGAAATGGTGCATCATAAATGGAGTAAGAGCAACCCAAGGCCATGTAATGGACGAAGCTATAGGCAGAACACGATTTAGCATCGGAAAGTCAGTCCAAAAAGATTAGGGTTTTGGAAAATTTAAAGAGCTTTTGAAATCAATTATAAATTCTTTTTTTTTTAATTTCTTAATATGAATTTTTATTTATTTTTTAATTCCCTCAGACTGAAAATGAATACTAACATATACTTTTAGAAACAATGTACATACAATATTTTCAAATTGACCAGAGCAAATAGCTCGAGTTCTCGCTTTACAAACCCCAAACAAACAAACACTTCTTTTCACTGTAGAGCTTCAATGTTATCTGGCAATAAAATGTCCATGACAAAATTTATTTGATAGATTTACTAGTAAAATTATTATAAACCAAGGTTATACATTAGAATAATTTTTTCCTCTGGTTAAAAACGCAATTAAAAACACTTTTAAAATGAACCAGGCAAAGAATATAAATGTAAGTTTTATATTATAGACACACTAAAAACAAACTAAAATGTAATTTTAAATTACTTACGTTTTCTTGCATCGGTGCAGTCTTGTGTCTCTGAGTGTGTAGGTGTGGGAGGTCCTGGATCCTGTGGTATGGAACTGGTGTCAACGTGAATAGGCGTATTGTGCGTAGGTGGACCTGGTGCATTTGCAGTTTCCACTCCACCTATTACAACCACCCCACCAGCACCTCCCCCACTACACTCAGATGTTGGAGTACTGTCCCCAGAACAGATCTCCATATCTGTTGCCTGGCCATCGACTCCTGAAATTTGTATAAGAAAAATATGTCTTCATTTTCAAGCTCGTGTTTCAGATAGTTTCCAATTTTTGGAACAAGTTGAAAACAATCAATACAGGCTTGAATGGGCTAAGTTGAAGAACTAATGTTAACTACTAAAAGCCACTTTTTCCTTCTTTTTTTTTTACAGATACAATGCTACATAACATTATAAAAATGTATCCATTAATGGATATTAATGATGGATTTTTACATGGCCAAATCAAATTACAAATTCTACATTTCTATTTTTTTTTTAAATACTGAATTACATTTTAACTATGAAAACTTAAAAATAAAGCAAGGAATACTTTACGTAATACTATTTATATACAATTTTTTTTTTTTTTAATTAGTGGCTGATTGTTATAACAATTAAGTTACCAGAATTTGATAACACAATTAATATATACTGCTACTGCACTATGAACTACGATAGCCGATAGATGATAGAATGGTAGAAAAAATTATTTCCAAACTATCTATTACCAAATCTACTTAGTATTGACCCTACTGGAGACTGTTAAGATTATTATTTCATGTAAGGTATGTTGCTACGTACCACTGTTATTTGTTAAATCTTGCTTTCTTGTGTCAACAAGGCTCGAGTCATGATGGGCTGGCTGTGGCCAATAAGCGTTACTGGCCGTTGTCGGTTTGTCAGTCCTATTGCTCGGTATGACACTACTTGTTGATTTCACCGGATTTGTGTTCACACTCGAACGACTGTTGTTGGAATGTTTATCCAATACTGTTGTAACTGTAAAAGAAAAATGAAATTATAAGATAAGAAGTTTGAAATGAAAACTGATTAACTTTGCTCTATAAGATAGAGCAGCATTCACTCAAAAGTCTTGAGTGTATGATAATTCCGGACCCAAGTTTATCTGATGAGTCACATGAATAATTCAACTTGTGTTTCATGATGTGTTTGAATAATTTATCTAACATTTATTTTTATCTATGATATAGGTTTTTAATTTTTAAATTACCTGTTCTATTGGTTTGAGGAGGGTAATTGTGCCTAGGCTGAGGCCTAGGATCTGACCATTCTCTCGGCTTTTCCCATTGGGAAACTTCAGTTTTGCAATTGTAATAATATTTCTTTCCGGAAGAGCTGAGGTGTTCGGACCAATCACCAACCCTCACTACTCTTTCTCTCTCTTCTCGTTTGTCCTGTGGTTAAAATAGCATAACATTAAAAATTAATATTTAAGCATAGCTATATTTAAAAAAATCTATGAACTGCAACCATTTTAAATAGACTTGCAGGTTCAAATAAACAAGTATACTGAAAGAATGGCTCAATTTTGGCAATTGTTTCAATAAATAAAAGATAACCTAGCTAAAAATAGCATATCTTCACATTTTATCAGACCAGATGGATTTATAATGAATAAATTATTTAAATACAATCAAATTGCTTAGTTAAATAAGCCAAAAAATAAAATATTGAGGCAAAAAGCAAACCTGTTAAAATATAGATCTCGATCTACTCTGACAAATGCACACAACTTGTTAACTCTCAAATGTCGAAAATGAGACATATTTCAGGGATATTATCAATGGTGTAGAGTGGGATTATTCAGCCAAAAGAAGAAAAAAAAAAGTCACCTTGTTTTTTTTTGCAAAGTACGTTTTGGAACATTTTGCTACTTTTTCAGTGTCTGGGGGTCTAGGACAAGATGTGACAAAACTTGTTCCAGACACTCGTTTCAGAGCGTTTTGCTCCATTTTCAAAGTGTCTGGAACAACTTTTGTCATACTTTGCGTACTTCGAAAAAAGGAGCAGAACACTCCAAAACGTTTTGTACAAAGAATAAAAAAGTGAAGAAAATCTATTGTCCTTTTTCTGGCTTAATATCCTAACCATTTACAAATATAGCCATCCACTGCTTACATATATATCATACAGTACAATAAGCAATATATTTTGGAGATATTTCCATCAAATCAACTTGCCAACTTGGTACCTGCAAAGATCGCCAGAAACAAATTCTGGTACCTGGGAGAAGCCTGGCAATTTCTGATGTACCAATGTTTTCCTGACTAATCTCAAAGATTCATTGGAAATTTGTATAAAGGAGACTACCAAAAGAGAATGTTATTTGGTCATCATAACAATCATTTTGGCTTATCCTTGCAATTTCAGTATTTCGCCATGTTGCTGTGTAGAAATTGCCAAAATGCAGACCAACCCTGCAAGAGGCAGACCAAAATGATCAGAACACCCAAATTGCGGGTTTGTCACCCCACAGACCACACAGAAAAACCTCATGCAAAATTGTTTTCATTTACAAGTTACTACAGGAATAAACAAGAACCCTTTACTTTTTTTTAGAAATAAATTTCAGGGAATCCTGCCTCATCTCATCTGTCTAGTCTTCTCTTTGGATACAAATATTTTACTTCTAATTTTATATTTAATCATAGGTCATATGTCAAAATAAGACAATTGTAGAATATTAACATGACACAATTAATATCCTAATAAACTTGTATTATGTTGTACTTTTTTAAAATATGTTCTCTCATTGCAGGGAGCAAAATGAAATAACAACTTAAATGACAAGAGTAAATAATTTCCAATACATAATTCACCACTCCAGGTAAAATATGAATAATTTTCTGTCGTCCAAAACAGTCTATTCAGTTTAAAAAAATTAATTATACAGTTGAGGTGTTTTTCCAGTTTACAAGTTAAAATAAATAATCACTAACCTGGCAAGATGAGTTCAACTTCCGTTGTGAACTGTCTCGAGAAGAATTCTGATTTATCTTCATCGTATGAAGATCATTTTTCTGAAACATTATTTTATTGATCTAAAAATCTCTATCAGTAACAATGAAGTGCAGTTATAAATCCAAAATAATATTTTTCATTAACTCTGTTTTTTATTAATTACTTTTAGATTAAAATTGTCAGGCAGGTTGATTCTTGTTTTGTTCATAAATAACTTAATTTTATTTAATAAGTTCTCAACATATTTTTGAAATAATTCACGTTAAAGGTAGACTATCTAGACGAATGAGTGCGTGTAGTTTGATTGTTTCCAACCATCCTGGGGTCTTTCAATTTTCATTGGTTAATATCAGACACAATTTGGCATTTCTCCATCATCAGTGGTAAGCAGGTGTCACAAGACGAAGAAAAAATGCCAGATTAATTAGAGAGGATCGAACTACAGATCCATTACCTAATCCACAGTCCATAATAAAATATCTAAAAACGAGTATTTCAAAACAAAAAGTTCACCCCAAAAGGATACGATAAAAAAAAATGGTCCCTTATGCAAAATGATATGAGTACAGATGAACTTAAATAAAAGAAGAGAAAATAATTTAACTTGAATAAGTTTCAAAATTGATTAGTAGTGCCTGATTTAAAGATAAATACACTGGTAGAAAAAAAATGGAATAATGTTTTGGCCATATTGTGTGTTCTGTTACTTTAAAAATTTATTTATAATTACAATTAGACAGAAGGTATTTGTTTTTGTCACCGACTGTTATGGGAAAATGCTTAATTTCAATTTAAAATCTCCATTTTGTTACATGTATATCATCAACCTGGGCACAAAACAAAACGGTTATTAAAATTATCAAAGTGCAAGTAGCCAGGGCCGCCATTGCATTGATAAAAGAAGTCTGCGAGCTTTTGGTTTGCCTGAAATGACAATCCATTAAGCAAATGAGCAATACAGAGACTGAAAGGTCTCTCGGAGATCAGCTGATGACCAATTTATCAGATTGCACACTGAAAACCACTTTTCCACTGTTTCTAAAGTATTCTCAAATACTTTTTAAATCCAATTGTGTGAAATGTGGCCATTAGCGCCAAAACTAAGACTTGCAGTTATTACTTCTACATCCCAGGCCATAAACAGGTACAGCACTAACCAGAGTCTATGTCAGGACCTCTTAGAAATTGCAAGGGAACACCGATATTGGATAGAAACTGAAAGGAGGAATGTTTTCAGATGAAACCTTGTTTCTTTCCATTCACAAGATTGACATATTTGAGTTTATCAAGGAGCTAAACAACAGCAAATGCAATATTGCTGGAAAAATGCTATTCAGAGATGGTACAGTTATGAAGTGCAGTAGAATTTCTTTGGAGGCAAAGGAGTTACACATCACTTAATTCACATGAATAGGAATATGTAGTGCCATTTATTCCTGTAATTGGCGAGCAATTCTTGTGAAAGATAATGCAAAACCACATGCCGCCGCCAGTCTACATAGTGCTTTCATAATGTCTATATTCGTATCATTCTAACATGGCCAATCGATAGCCCTGATTTCAACCACATTGAGCACTTTTTGGATGAGCTAAGGTGTCTGGTAAAAAGACTAAAAACCCCTCCTATCACCTTAGCTTAGCTAAAAGTTATTAATGAAGATTTGAGATGAAATTCCTGGATACTTGATTAAAAACATGATTATGAGCATACCCAGAAAATGGGAGTATGCAAAAAAAAGAGGAGGTAATACAAAATTGTTATGTTTATTTTATAGCGCTTTATGTTCATATGCAAAAACAAATTTTTTTCCCTGAGAGGCATTTTTATTTTCACTATAACGAAATCTTCGAATAAATATCTGAGTTAATCATAAAAAATATTAAAGTGTTAATATTACTGAAAATATTATTTTTATTTATTTATTTTTTTGAACAATGTGTATTATGTACTTATGGAATTATATTATTTATTTTTATTAGTAATATGAGGAACAGAGACCAATAATAATTAGGACAAATTATCTCACATAATTTAAGGCAAAAATATTATTTATAAATATGTACAGTATAATAAAACACAAATATGAAGAGGTTTAAAGGGGACAAATGTTGTTTTAAACTAGCTTGAAAAACAAATAATCTGGAAAACACAAAAACAGCAAACTGTTAAATTAACTTCATAAAGTGTATTTCTTTAAAGGGAAAAAAATTAAAAAAGAATAAAAGCATACCCTTGTTACTTTCTTTGCTGGCAGCAGATCGATGGGTATAAGAACCCAAGGAATTTTGTCGTCGGGCATTTGAGAAATCAAAAACATATGTCAATCGAAAGTTAAGAAGTGTAATGGTAAAAAAGCCGTTTATTATTCTTGTTCCAACATCTCTAATCAAAGTCAAAATGATGATGATTCAGGAGTGAGAGGAAAAGCTCGTACTGGAACAAACTTAATGATGCTGATAGCACAAAAAAATCACTACATCTGCAATTTCAAATTTATGAGCATCCCCCACCCTTATCTTGACATCATATCAACAAGTGATTCGATTGTTTTATTCACTGGTAAAACAAAATGAATCAACTTGTAACAAATTTGAAACACTGATAAAAGCAAGACGTTCTGTTCTATTAAGAGAAATATGCTAATTTAAAACAAATATTGTATCAGTTCGGGAATCAAAAGAACTAGTTTTATTTTTTACACGAAGGATAATACGCCTGTATTAAAATTGTGTAAAAAATCATCAAAAATTCTGACAACCCATCTCAACCAAACGAAGCAGAGTTAAAACTACTTGAAGACTTACTCATCACATCACAGTAAGAAATGAAGAAACTAGCCTAGGCAAGACCAATAACATGGTAAGCCAATTACTTCAGAGTGAATTTGAAAAAAAAAACCAAACATATTCACACACGCATGTAAATACTAAAAAGTTTTAATGCAAATTTTTTCAAACAAAATTTAAATTATGACAACTAATCACTTGGTAAACAAATTTAAAACAGGAGATTTCAAATACTGAAGTTAATTTTTAGATAAATTGTTTTATATGAAACAAATAAAATCCCCTAAGTCAAAGACAACAAACTAACAATTGAACACAGCATAACTTTTAATTTAATAAATCCTAGAGCACTTTTTTTTAAAATAAACACATTTTGTTGTTGCCTAAGTACTTTACATTGGGGCTAAAGATTAAAAGGTTTCTATTGGGTGTTATCTTGTTTATTTTCTACCTGTCCTAGCACGTGCTGAACTCTACCATTACAAATTCTACTGTTGTACACGAAAATACAATCAAGAACAGTAAAATTTAAATCAGATACCAGTGTTTGTGGTAAGGGCTTTGATTCATAAGGTTTTATTGTAAAATGGTCAGACTCCATGAAACATAAATCCTCACGGAACGACATCAGACATCAAAAACCAAAGGATCATAGTGTTGCAGTCCTCAGCACTGTTGGGACTGAGTCTATTTTCAAAGAAATTTGAAACTGTCTATTAAAAATTTAATGTCTGGTATTTAGTGACCGTTAATCAATGATTATTTAGAGATTGTGAGGTGCGGTCTGATGTGATATAGGTTTAGAAACGCATTTTCTTTATCGCACAAATGTTTTGATCTTTATTGAGAATATCTTCAAGGCTCAGTGTGTTTTCTGTGTAGCTGTGTTCATCTAAACAGAAAACTCTCTTTGAACCCTGAAAATGATCTCAATAAAGATTGAAACATTTGCGTGATAAAGAAAATGGTTTCTAAACTTACATCACACCAGACCACATCTCACAATCTCTAAATAACCATTATAAATTTAATTATGTAAATTTATAGACATATTTAAGATTATGTCCTGATCATGACCTTAAAATTGGTCAAAACCTAGGCTGATATGAATTGAACGTTTTTTCTTCCAGACCATACCATGCAGAATATTCTTAAGTAAAAAAGTGGTCGATCTAAGTTTAAACAAAAACCAAGAACCACACTTTAAGTCTGATTGGGTCAGGAAACAAGATTTTCATTGCCGAATGAGAACAAAATGACATAATTTTTCAGTCTAAACATTTCCCTTTCCGTTAAAAAAACTCGTAGGCTACTTACTTCCGTACTATTCCTATCGTGGTTAGTTCGGTGCTCTGCTTCTCTGGATTCCCGCAGCCTTTTGTCTTTCGGAGACCGTACGCATTCTGAAAACGAACAACGCTCTAGATTAGAACTGGGCGTTTGGTTCAAATTCCGGATCGACTGTCTTGAGATACATTACCTGAATACTTTTCCCTATTCTTATAGTCTCTGTTCTCCCTCTCCTTATCCCTGCTTTTGGACATGTAAACCGATTTACTGTGATAAGAGGAACTCCTTTCCCTCGGGCTGTCGCATTCTGGACTGTCCGATCTGTAAGAATTCCCGTTGGGGGAGTCCCTATCCCGCATCCTATCCCTGTCATAGTTCTTGGAACTATACTTGGAATTCTGGAAATAGAAACGTTTACTTCTACACCTCCCAAACCTATTGACTTTCTTCATTGTGAAAACCATTTTCTTATAGAATAAGATATCGTTTCCTCAATAAACATTATAATCAAGGGGGTTTCAAAAACGTTTCAATCACTAAAACATACTCGAATTTACGGAAAATAACAATGGATAATTAATAACAACAAGTATTATAATTAAAAAAATGAATAACATGTTTTTCTTAATCATATTATCGATCAAGGCATCACAAATTGGGGGAAATAAAATCTGAAAAGGTCCTTTTCTACCGTGCGACACCGTCCAAAGGACGGAAAAGACGTGCGTCCCGATAATCGCGTCAAGTCCAAAACGGCAATAACGAAGATTTTCCCAAATAACAAACTATACAAGAGAATACGTCATTTATTTGCAATAAAAAAAATTTTAAAAAACATATGTATTTCTCGGAGAAGTTATTTATACGAGATTTAGGTTAGTGTGCGAATAAACAGGTATCACGTCGTTCTATGGGAAAATATAATTATCGTCATAAAATCCGAGTGAATCGCGTTCAAAGCCGACTTCCCGTGTAGGTAGGGCCTCCTAACATTCGAGACGAGTATTTACAATTAAGTACTTTCGACACTTGGCCGTATTGAATAATACCTGATACGGATGGGCTTGGTGTTTCTCGAAATACCTGGAACAGAATATAAAGAAGAGAGAGATTAAAAAGTGTCTGTAAAACCGTGGAAAACAAAGAAAAAAAGGAGAATATGGCGATAAGAGGTTTGTTGAAAGCGAAACCCCCAAAATACAATTTATACCGTTCAAAAACCCAAAGGACTCACCCATCGCCGATCCGTTGTGGTTTCCTTGCATGCATTACCATCAATGCGAGTCTCTTAAAAAAGTGAGCGGCTTTAAATCAAGCCCTCCCGTCAATTTATCATGAAAACAGCATAAATATAATTTTATTTACTGACAGACTCTCTTTGCGGACGCCATGTCACATTCGGTGGACATGAACCGCAGCTCCTCACTCGAAAAACTCATCCCTTCATTGGAGGGCGTCCTCCCCGACCGCCAAATTCAAAAACGGAATTCGGAACCGAACGCCTCCGCCCTGCGCTGGCCCCGTTGCTCTGAGCCGCCTCCGCCGTTCGATTTAAGCCCCACGACGAAGGCGGGAATGAGAAAAACTGACGCGGATGAGAACGAACGAAGAGAATAAGGGAATGTCGAGACGCTCGGTCGACTTCAGCTACTCGGGGCGGCGGCCAGGGCGCGTACGTCCCTCCGGCGGTCACCGTGCTCACTCATCGCCGAAAAAGCGCTCACGGCTCACGGCTCGTCACGGTGACGCGTACCAAAACTAATCCTGGGGGGCGGATCATTTTGGTTAATAGCACATCCACATCGACACCGGGATCATTTCTTTCCGTCTATCCCACCATCCAAAAAATCAAATACAAATCCATTATGTTTAGTGAATGCAATTAACCAAATTACTTGTTTCAATTAATTATTCTTTTTTTTTAATGTAAAGTCTTGGTCGAAATGAAAAAGATAAGTGTCACGAGCGGGATTCGAACCCACGACCTTCGGCTGGGTTCAAATCCCGCACATGACACTTTTTCATTTCGACCAAGACATTACATAAAAAAAAGAATAATTAATTGAATTAAAATTCAAATATCACAACATATCCAATAATTTAAAAAAATAATAATAATACACTTACGTATTAAACAATATGTAAAATAAAAAATAGCTTAAAAGAATATTTCATATAAATATACCTAACAAAGACTACATTTATTATTATCGTAAATTGTTAAATTTTCATTGTAAAATAATATAGCATATTTTAAAATATTATATAAACAATATTAGAAAACAATTACATAAAAATGTACGATTTAGTAAGAATAAACAAAAGTATTTTGCCTACATTTAGATGTATTATATTCAGTAATTATTTTAATTAGAAATAATATAAGTGAAATATGGAAAGATATACATATATCTAAATACACATTCATAAGTGCAAGTTAAATAATTTATATGAAAACTTCTAAATAAGTAAATAAATAAAGTAGTTTAGTGGATTTTCTATCGGCGACCCTAACCCCATATTAATACAAATGTGGTTTGTAGATCCAAGTTTTGTATATTATAATGGTACCACTCACAGATTTGTGTTCGCACCCTTTGTATGTTAGTAATGGTTTGCATCTCTGAGGCACGTTGGCGCTGGCGGCTTGAACGAAAACGGTCACGCTCTAAATAATATTAACTCTGTTTATTTTTTGTATAAATAAATATTTATCTGATTTGTATTTAATGTTTTATCAGTTAAATTATTATCTGAGCCCTCTTCGTGGGGAAATCGTCGACTTCGATTTTCGATTTTATAACCGGTTTCGTCATCAGCGAGGGGGGGGGCATTTCGGGGGATCCGTCGCTCCCTCAAGAACGAAGAACCGTACTGTAACGTTATAATTAGAACACAGCAGTGAAACAGACACAAAAATAGAAATACACTTTTTAACCATGGCTAGCATATAAAACGCTCGGATTCGTACATTTTTTTTAGTTTAATTAAAGTCAAAGTTTGTTTTTAAAGTGATTCTTGTAAAGTGATCCGCGCCGAGAGGAGAGACAGAATTCGGTTTTCGACTCGGACGGTCCAACGTTATCGCCATTACGGAATTATGTGAAAAAAAATGAAAATGCAGTTGTTAAAGGCGTTGATTTGAAATTAAGTCGATTTTAGTTACACGGGAGTGAGCCGGGGTGAAAAAACTGTCGCGTTCGAGTTACGTCCTTCCGACTTTCTACGTGAGGCCGACGTCAAAATTCCAAAAAAGTCTTAACCTTAATTGATTTTCCTGCTTTATGACCAAGGTAAATGTAGTTTTATTATATCTATACACGATAAAAACTCAATCAACTACGCTTTTGTCAAATTGGCCTTTGACAGACCCTGTCAATTAGGCGTTGCACAATTTCACAAATCGGCTTGATAATGGTCATCACGGATCATTACAGACCCAGTTACTATTCTTCCCAAGACGTTTTCCGATGGCTTGTTACAACAAAAATCTTTTTTCTTTTTTTTTACAGGTGCTGGTTACACCATGTTTTGGAACAACAATCTCTCTTCGCCGTCAATCGACACAGTCCTTGTCAAACATGTAAGAGAAACCTCTTTTTTTATATAACAATAATGTTTACAAACGATTAAATCTTCATTGGCCAATAATTGAAAACGCCCAACAAAAAATTTCTTCCATTTGACTATAAATCGACTTAATAAAACGTGCTTGTACTATAATATAACAACAGATTGCTCAATGCGTTTCACTTGATTGAAGAGTGCCATCTTTGGCTCCATATAGAGAGCATATAGGAGGAGTGTGCTTAAGCACAGCAGCAGGTACCCTGTTCCAATTTTTAGAAGAAAAAGGGTGGTTTTTATCGTACATAGTATCAATAGTTTTGTGTACTTAGCTTATGTTGAGAGTGAATGTATTTATTGGCATGAATATGTAATGTGTGAGGGCTAATGGCAAAATATATTGGGTACCCTATCAAGAAGTGTCATCTCACCTGTATAAGAATAGGCCATGGAGGTTGACACATGGAGACTAACGTCTGGGCCAAAGCCACCTGACATGTAATGAAAAGGTTGCTCGATGTGTCCCACTTAATTGAAAGACGCCATCCTTGGCTCCTTATAGGGAGTTTCTAGGAATGCCACCCAGTATGAGAATTGTGCTTAGACACAGCAGCAGGTATCCCCTTTCTGATTTTTAGAGGAAAGGTTTTTTTACTGTAAATAGTGCTGATAGTTTTGTGTATTTAGCTTATATTGATAGTGAATGTATTTATTAGCATGAATGTGTAGTGTGAGAGGGCCGATGGCGAAATATACGGATGGAGAAATATCAAGTACTCCACCACTGTGTATCAAGATCACTGCATATGTTGTATGTAGGATCTGACTTGGAGAAGGGTCTTCTCACCTGATTAAGAATAGGCCATGGAGGTTGACCCATGGACACTAACATTTGGGTCAAAGCCGTCTGGCACAGAGTGAAAAGGTTGCTCAATGTATCCCACTTGATTGAAAGACGCCATCCTTGGCTCCTCAGAGAGCTTCTAGGAATGCTTCCAGTATGAGAATTGTGCTTGAACACAGCAGCAGATTTTTATTGGAAACAGGGCTTCTTACTGTATCCTATCGACCCTCATTTAGGATAGTTATATGTGTACAAGGTGTTGGAAGAATATCAAATACTCTACCATCCTAATTGAATGAATGGAACAAGTAAATAGGATAGGAAAGTATTTAAGAATGAATGAGAGTTTGAACGGCTTGGTTTTAGGAACTGATTATGGCTTATTATTTATTATTGATGGCTGAAATGACCTAGCTGTTGATAGCACCCTGAAGCCCAACCTCGGTTGCTGGATGGATAACACAGAGACCCTGGACTGCCAACACCCAAGGTGGATGATTCTCAAGGCCCACTGATAATTTATTGTAAATTACACAAAAGTTGAATTGCTGACAAGAAGTGATAGGCTCAACTCATCAACGTATGTTCATAATCCACTTAATTAATCTTTTTATCTATGGTTTTCGGCTGGGATGAAAAATTAGTTGTACGAGCGGATTTGAACCTTCGGCTCAATACGCCGCTGCTCTACTTGAGCTAACGTGACTTCGATCCACTCGGACACCAACTCCCCATCCCAACCTACAACCATTTGAATTTTCCCTCTTTTTGCCATATTTTCAAATACTGCTTGTGACTCTAATTTTTCATCTCAACCAAAAACCTTAGATAAAAAGAATAATTAATATAGTCAATTATGACCGTCAAACAAATATGTACATACATATGCAGATTTGAGATTATATAAGTCATCAATCAGTTATAACATCATTGTTGTTTAGTGGCCATTCAATAAATGTTTGAAGTAGTGAGGAGGGGTCAAGTTCAATGTATTTCTGAAAAACGCATTTTTCATTTAATTGCTGATGTTTCAACCTTTATTCGGGTCATCTTCATGGCATAAATTGTAGTGTTATTCCTGTAGTTTCATGTTTATTAAGTGTATATGGGATGAAATTGTTGTAAACAACAATGTAGGACAATAATCAATGTGTCACAACACAACACTGTTATGACATTCAGTCAAGGTCATCTAAGTGATGACCAGACCAAAACTGAAGATACTGAAATGAAAACTGTTTGACAGATAAAACCAGCCAGAATTGGTATAATTGCAGATGATTTGTATAATTTGTGTGTTGGTTAATGGAAGAATATAAATATTACACTTTCTTGAATTCTGGTGTGATTCTGACACCTAGACTGTTGTAAATAGTTTTTGGTTTAAAATTTCTGTATGGGTGTATTTATTAGCTTGACTGTATGGCTAGAAGTACAAGGTATAATATAAATTTCCTATTGATTGTTACTCGAGTTAAATTATGTAGTTTCTTGTGACATTCAGTTGTCAGCTTGGTGATGAAAGACCAGCACAGAAGTTAATGAAATGACAAATTGTCTGACTGATAAAACCAATGATAATTGGCATATTGAGGTGATTGTGATTATGTGTTTGATTGATTTGTGCAGGCTAAGGTTGCATATAATTGTTCAACAATCTAATAATGTTTCATTTGGTGTAACACCTAGATTATCTTACATAGTTTTATGTTTTAAATCCTTGAATGAATTATTTATTTTAACTTTATTATCATGACTGTATGGGTTGAGAGTGTAGAGATAATTTCAAATGCCCATTGACTGTTATTGATCGTGAGACTACCAAGATGAATCATGATGATCATACTGATTGTTTTGAATGTAGGTTAATGGTGGGATTTATAAATACCTTTAAATCAATTGATTACACTTTTAACACAATGATGTATTTGGCTCAATGTTTCTTTAAATAAAGTGACTAGGCAAGTCTACTTTTTAAATAAAATAGGAGCCTTTCAAACAACAAAATTGACTTGTGTTCACCGCTGTCTATGGTAGGTCACATGTTTTGGTTTTTAGAAGAAAATAGGATTCGTTCTTGTTCTGATTGTTTTGCATGAGTGAATATATTTGACAGTTGAATGTGTGACATTACCATACAGTACCATATAATAATATATTATATAAAGTATTTACGTAAGGATGAATTTATTTAAGAATCAACTAGAGCAATTTCTGTTTAACTCTCAATAAAAAGTTTTAATTTCAATAATGATTTATTTGTCTTCAATAAAATTAATGTTATTGAATAAATGATTGGCCAGGCTTCCTACAAATAAAAAAAGGAGATAAGTGAATGGTCTAGATAAGAGAAATTCATTTAATTGATGAACTTTCTGTGATTATATCACTAGAACCAGGATATTATCAACATTAATATTATTTTTGTAAAAATTAAAAATTCAATTAACAATAAATGTAAGTTATTAACATGGTTGTGCTTCTTAGAAAATATATGCCAGATGAGCAAACCTGTTGCTAACAATGCTAGCAATCAATATTTGTATCATACATTCTAATTATTCAATTTTCATTTGCTTTCATTTATATGTGTGAGGTTTAAGGGCCAACAAAGCTGAGGTCATTGACTCTCATTTTTCTTCTTTTTCTGGTGTTTCACGTGTATTTTTAAACCTGCAGGCATTTGAAGGTCTTAATCGACTCTGATTTTATGTGAATACTAAGTTGATATTCTGAAATGTTACCTCTTGAAATAAATGTTGTCAGGTTGTCCCCAACCCAGAGTACTCAGTATTCCTCGGGGAGTAACCTTCTTTTACTCTCCATATGTCACATACTCACCCCAGAGTATTCAATATTCCTTGAGTCATGGTTGAACATACCCATCCCAGAGTTTTCAATATTCCTTGGGTCAGGGTTGAACATACCCAACCCAGAGTACTCAGTATTACTCTGGGAGTGGTCAAACCCATTCTATTCTCACTAATTACTTACTTTCACACTCCATATGTCACACACTCACCCCAGAGTACTCAATAGTCCTAGGGCAGGGTTAAACCCTTCCTTTCATATGCTAATTGATTACATTAATTAAAATAAATTAATGTGAACACAACACAGACAAAATAAAGTAACACTATTTACATTTAAAAGCCCTGTAGCCCTGAAATATTGGGTCTGTGCCCCAAGACCCAAGATTACATTCAAGTCCAACAATATATAAAAATATTGCATAAACATCGAGCCTTCTACCGTTGAAAGTGCTTGACCAATATTCAATCCTTATTTTAGAAGGTGCTCTTGAGTTATTCTTGTATGACCTATGCGTAGTATTGTCAGTATGGCCTTTCCATTTTTTTTTATATATTCCTTTTTTTACATGGTGTAACATTTACAGGATTTGAAACTTGGCGAAATTTTAGACCATGAAAACATCATTCAAGACCTTCGGAGTCAAAATAAAAAATTATTGGAGTTGTAAGTTATTCGCCTATTATGTTTATGTTTCCAAAAATTTCAAGTAAAATATTTTTTTTTTCTAGTATTACAAGGGCAGATGTATTGAATGATCTGGTTACTTTAGTGACTGAAGAGCCTAGTCTCGAATTGGATGAGAATGAGCGTTACAGGTGGCCGAACTTGGCCTGTGAAGTCTTGACAACTGATGTACCATTGCTTAACGAATGCCTTTCCGAAAAGGATCTCTTAGTTAAACTATTTTCTTTTTTTGAAAGTGATCCGCCCTTAAATCCCCTCTTGGCGTCTTTTGTGAGCAGGACATTGAGTCTATTAATTAGTAGAAAGATAGATCAGAATTGGTACTCGTACCAACTTACTTGCCTTAAAGTTTTAGAATTTTTAAAATCCACTGAAAACAGCTCACAGTTACTTTTAAAACACTTAGGCACATCGGCAATCATGGATTTAACACTTAAACTCCTGACTCAAATTGAAGGAGATGCCATGCAAAAAAATCTGCTTGATGTAAGTCATTGGAAAAACAATCATAAATTATTTTTATTAATTTTTTTAATTGTTTTTATTTCAGTGGATAGAGAGTGTACACTTAGTGGAAAATATAGTTGCCTTGTTTCACCCAAGTGTTGATGCTGACCGACAAGTCAATGCAGCTCAGCTTTTATGTGATACTATTGAAAAATTAAGAGCAAATGAAATTCCAGCTAATGAATACACAGTTTTAAACCACATTCAATCGTAATTATTGCACAGACCTTGTGACATAAGTTAAATATTAATAAAAAGCAAAATATATTCCATAGGCCTGAAGTAATTAAAAAGCTTTTATGCAACATGTTTGATGAAGATGAGATATCAGAAAGCAGCATTGCAGGAGGGATTTCTGTATTGCTTACTCTTCTAGACACTTCCCCTGTGTATGTCCAAACAATTTTATTAATTAATTTGTTCATATTTCAATTTATTTTTTTATTTTTTACTTAACAGGGAATCAAATGTGATCGTGTATAGAGAAAACCCTGAGTCCTATGATTCAGTTAAAACTTCCAACCCTGTTTTGCCCGAAGTCATTTCCGTCATTGTTCCATATTTGCCTAAACTTCACAATTTGCTCATAAATCCACCAAAGGTACTATTATTTTGTGCCAAGTATAAATTCGGCCTCAATAATTTTCTTATTTTGTTCTAGAAAAATCCTATTAAATTAGCCTGTGGTTTGATAGAGCCCCCTTTAGGTACTACACGACTGGCTGTGATCAAATTAATTTCCGCACTTATTGCAACAAACACTCTTGAAGTCAATGAGATGCTCGATAAATTGAACACTGTTCAAGTTCTTTTGGTAAGTTGTTTATTTTTTCTTTTTGTTAAAACGAGTAATAATTATTTATCTCATGTGCAGGATCTCTTTTTTCACTATACTTGGAATAACTTTTTGCATACCGAGGTAGATAAATGTTTGGCGTTTGCCATCAACTCCCCTTTGGCCCAAGAAACCAATCCGCTTATAACAAACGTAAATATATCAAAATAACCAAAAAAATGTCTATTAAAAATCTGGTTTTACTTTCAGATATTTGTTAAATGTCAGTTACTTAAGAGGATTCTAAAGGCATGGGAAGACAACGAACTCGACCAGTAAGAAACTGATTAACTGATTGTTTACATTTTTCAGTGTAAGAAGTATCAATCGCTTTTTCACTGACGAACACTGGATCAAGGCATGGTTTTAAATAAAAAATCAAATTCAGTTGTTACTGCCAAGCTTTCGACCTATTTTAAGGTCATCATCAAGACAAAACAATCTCAAATATGTCTACAGTGAGGACTGTTGCAGTCTTTGACAATGATAGGACTGAGTTGATCTCCAAGAAAATTTGAGATTGCCTGGGAAAAAACGAAAACAATTATATCAACTTGTAGACATTTGTAAGATTGTTTTGCCCTGATGATGACCTTAAAATACGTCAAAAGCTTGGCAGTAACATTTGAATTTACTTTTTTCTTCAAGATCATACCTTGATCCAGAGTGTTCATGTGTTTATATTTTATTAATTGTTCACGCTTTAAAGGGGTAAAGGAGGTAAGAGGAGAGGCTACATGGGCCATTTGACAAACATCGCCAACTCTATTGTCAACCAGAAAGACGGAAATTTGCAAGTTTTCCTCAAACAACATGTTGACGATGACACTATGAACCTATGGCAGAATTATGTCAACGGCACTTTACAGCCCATAAACAAAGTCCACCAAAGATACCTTGTATGGTATTTTCTATTCTTCTATTATACAGGGTGTTAAAGGGTTAAATGTCAATACCCAATATAGGGGGATTCAGTAAATAAAACGTTCAATGCCACCAGAATGGGGTTTCTATCTTGACTCTTTCTTGAGATATTAACATTTCTGTGATTTTAGTCTAAAATCAGATTTTTTGAAAAATAAAAATCGTAAATTTTCAACTTTAGCATTATTAAAATACAAATCTGACCTTTATTTCACAAACCATACTAAATTTTCCGCAAGATAATATTTTTGATCATAAGGTATAATTTTTGGAAATACTCAGCACTCACTTGACATTTCTTAGAACTTTTCTTAGCGTCTCCTTTGCAAGATTGAAAATTGTGATAACCCAAGAAAATCTTAAATGTCATTTTTTTAATAAAAACATTTATTAGTTGGTAACAAAAATTAGATACATTCTTCTGGTGGCATGGCTTGCGAGGAGCCCTGATTTCACCCCGCTAGATTTTTTCATATGGGGGACTCTGAAAAGTGTAGAGTACAGCACACCTATTAAAACGAGGGAACAGCTCATAGGGAAAATTGATTAAATCACAAGCAAAAATATGAGGGAATAAGTCTCACATGCAGTGTGTTGGTTGCTCTACGTTCACGTTTGTGTATCCAATACGAAGGAATGCTTTTCGAACTACTTAATGTGCAAAAAATGCATAATTTAAGAAGATTAATTTTTATTGTAATTTTTCTGTAATTATGTATACTTTATGAGAAGAATGGATCTGATTTTGTTACCAACTTTTAATGTTTTCATTAAAAATATGACATAAATAATGTTTTTGTAAAGGAGATATCACCAAGAAAAGTTCTAAAAAATGTAGAAGTGAGTGTGGCCTTGGACTACTGATAAAATAACACAAATTTGGTGAAATCCCTGAAAATGTTGATGTAAAAGTCATTGCACTAGTCACAATTGAGTATTTCCAAAAAAGAAAGTTTTGCCATTGTTATTCTTTGAGCAGCTACTGTGTATTCAGAAGCCCAAAATTTTCAACAGAAATGTTATCTATAGAAAATTTAGTATAGTTTGCGAAATAAAGATCAGATTTGTATTTTAATCATGTTATAATTCAGAAATTACAATTTTATGTTTAAAAAATCTGATTTTAGACTAAAATCACAAAAATCTTAATATCTCAGGAAAGAGTCAAGATAATAGAAAACTTGTTCTGGCAGACTGGACTATGTTTTATTTAGTGAATCCACCATGGCAGGATTGACGTTTAACCCTGTAGCACCCTGTATACTACTCTTTTGGAATGAAAATAAACATTGCAATTTTTAGGGAGGAGTTCATCCAGCTCAGAATGTCAACTCTGATGACCAGTCTCATTATAGGAACATAGTTTTCTCAAGCGATGCAGTAATGGTATATTTTTTTATTTTTACTGATTGCATTTCTGTTTGCTAACTTTATTTTTACTGGTTTTTAGGACTTTAACAATTCTTCCAACTTCAACGACTCAGTTGGCATCGATAAAGATGAACTCACAAGGTGATTTCTTGAATATTTTACAAAACTAAACCCGTGCACTTTTACTGTAATGATTATTTTTTGTACTAATATTTTTTCTGTGATCCATGTTCATATATTTTTTATTGGGGCTGTATATTCTATTTTCAATTTACTAGTTTGTTTGTTATTTTTGTTTTTTAATGTATATTTTTACAGTTTTGATGAGATGGAAGGAAGGGAGAAACAATTCTCGGATTTGTGCACAAAGAAAGACTTTAGTTTAGATGACAGTAAGCTTATTTCTTGCAGTTTTTGTAGTACTAATAATCATAACTTTTTCGATTAAAAAAAAAAATATATATATGTTTTTTATTAGTGATGAGGCAATCGTTTATGTGTGATTTCAACCCTTGGCAACAGGCTGAAACAGGAGATTCGTCTGTGAATGACGGTTGGGCCGATTTTGCCAATGTTATCGAACAAATAAATTGCGAGCCAGATTTTAAAAATCACGTTGATGGTAATTTCTCATTAACACATTTAATTATAGAGAAAGGTTATTATTACAAAAAAAAATTTATATTTTTCATAGATGAAGGTGACAGTAAAGAAGAGAAAAATTGCAAAGAGAATCATGTAATCATGGAAGACAAGTGTGAAGTTGAATCTGGTGACCTGGATAAAAAAAGCGACAATAATGCAAATTTAAATAATTTTAATAAAGACGCCCCAAACCATGAGGAAGAGCTTATTGACAACTTTAGGTAATTGTAATAGTTTGTTTTTTAAAATTGTATATATATATATTTTTTTTTAAATATTTAAATTGTTTAATGTTTTTAAAATTTGTTCTCACTTCTCTATTTTGTTTTTTCTACCTCAGGTATTTATCAAAGCAAGGAATGATGTCTGAAATACCGGAAGTTCCTCAAAGTCAAGGTGATGGTGTAAATAAATCTTGTAGTGATAGGTAAGTCATTTGTTTATATAAGTTGTTAGGTTATTTTTTGTATATTACAGGCGCTATTCAGAAAATAATCATTAAAATGTGGTACAATCGCAATAAAGTTTGATGACAATTTAAAGAATTGGGTTGTAAATAAGTCTATAGTGTTTTTTAAGGTAAATTCAATTAAAATTTCATGTACTTTTACATATCCCATGTAATTTTCTAATTTTCCTTCCTCCCAGAACATTTCTGGTTTTTGAGCAATGAACTCCTAGGTGTTTTTCCCCTTAATTTGTTTTCCCTAATAATACAGTTTGGCAGTGGAAATCTAAAGGGGCATTGTCGCGCAAATAAAATGGGTGGGGTAGCACATCTCAGCAAGCTCAACAATTTCTGTTGGCGAGAGTTATCCTGGTGAAAAAAAAAAAAAAAACCATCCCCTTGCAATTGGCCAATGATGGTCATTTTTGGTCAATTACTGATTTTAATTGCTACCATTGTGTGATATAAACATGAGAATTATTAGTTTGATTGGGTGGAAAAAAGCTGATAATAAATCTACCCTTCTCATCCCACCAAATGCACAACTTTTTTGAGTGTTGTAATCTGGCTTTTGGACTTGTTAAAATTAGTTCAGTGATGTAGTTTATCGACCAGCTACTTCAATGATGTATGTTCGCAATTATTTATAAATTTATGACATTGTTTTTGTAAGTCCTAAACAAAAAAACGTTATTTCTTTTTGTATTATTATATTGATAATCGTTTTTGTTATTGTAGCGCCTTGAGAAAGACTAAATATATAGTTGAAAGCTTGGCAATAAAACAAAACCTTACTGATTATATTGACCACAAACCCGATAACTGAGAGCATTAAAATTAGTTGGCTACGTTCTTCGCTCTGAATATTATTGTAAAGGATCCATTTTTCATCAGTTTTTTAAAAATAGGACATTTACATTGCATTTTAGAAAGGAATGTCGGATAGAGATGTGATCCACTACCTCAGTCACACATACGGAACCAATATATCACTCTGACAAAATATCTAGTTAATTAATAGAAATAATGAAGGTGGGGTGAGTATGTAGATTCACTTTTTTTAAATGAACAGATAGAACTAGAATCATCATTTACAAAAAGTGAACATATCCAGCTGTTCTTCTATGCAATGTCTTGTGTCTTTGAGTGTGGGTTATCTTTGATAAAGTTTTAAATTCGGTCATCATCAATGGTTGATGGGAACACTTTGCATCTTCCAAATTAGTAGAAATGATAAATAGTGGGGTGAGTTCAATTTAAAAAGATTCCAAATCGGTTTCTGCATCTAAACTAAGCAAACCTCTTATAGATGGTGCTTTATACTAAAGTGTCATCATCATACACATTACAAATTTTCCAACCAGCCTGAGCTGCAGTTTTCTCTTTGCAGCAATAAAATAACCTTTAATCTGACGAAAATGTATTATTTTCCTCTATTTTAAATTAGGAAAATAAAAAAATAAAAGATCTCATTTGAGACTGACCAATAAAATGTCTACTAATTATCCCAATCATATCCAGCAGCTCTCAGATGCAGCCCTGTATGAAGATCAGTTATTCCAACCTCTATACAGATACTGAGAGATTGAGATTCAAATTCGTAGAATCATTGTGCTGTTTGTTGTTATCATTATTAGTGTTAATCTAGTAAAGTTGGAGGATGTTTCGTAGTGAGCCGCCCTGCTGTCGGATGTTTAGTGCACATCAGTGTTTTGCATTGTTTTCTCTCCATGTAAATGCACTTTTCTTGAGTATGAGAATGAACCAGAACTGCATTCACCTTATCCGAATGTATCATGGCGATTTTTGTGAGATGCTAAAGATAAACTCAACATAACAAGAATAAGAGAGGAGGGGATGTGTGGAGGGAAATGAGCATCAAAATGGGACAAAGACAACAAAAAATATTGCCATGACAGCAAACGCAGATGCAGCTGTCGGTGAAGTTATAAATGACATGCTTGTCTCGTGCAAACTGATGGTACACCTTGTTTCATCTCTAGGCTCAAAATGTTTAGCCTCGTAGAAATGGTTAACCCGAGACGGCGTTTCGTGAGTGATTCTCACGTTTAGTTGCAAAAGCGATTTTTCCGCATAGTGGAAACCCAGCTTAAGAGTGGAAAATATAAAAAAACATAACTGCTTCTTTGAACTTCAGTCTAAAAGTGAAGAGACAAAAGCATGATATGCTCGCAGTGCTCAAATAGAGGTAGGGTTATGTCACAAGGGGAATGTAAAAACTTAAAAAAAAGAAGGTAAAAATGGCTCACTGCACTGTATGGGTAATTAAATCCAATCATATTCGGATGAGTTGAAACGCTTGTATGAGATATGTTAAGTTCTCTTTTATGTTTATAATTGCAACCATAGCTTGAATTTGGTTATCATCAACATTTAAAGGTTGACCAGAGCGTTTTACTTCTAAACTGAGCATACCATGTTAGGTGGCATTTTCTACTAAAGTTTCACCTTGCACATTAAAAAAATCAGCAGTTTAAGCTCCAGTTTACCCTTTGTACTAATGACAAATTATTACAATAACGAAAATTCACATTTTCCTTAATTTTAAATTAGAAATATTAATACAAGACACTAGAGATAAAATTGAATTATTGAAAATGCCAGGACTTATTATACAACCCAATATATCATTTCTCCTCATATGTACATCTTAGCATTGTTCTGGAATTGTCTTCTTTATTTCAATTGAAGATTGAATTATACATGAGATTTTACAGATGCAATACTTGTTCTTTTTTTTCCAGTGTGCCTCAGCAAAGAGTAGAGGAGAGCATGAAAGCAGATGCTCCTCAAGATCCTGTGTGATACTTGTTGAAAGATTATTCTTGTGCTAACTGCATATCACCTTTGTTAAACCCTGTGATCAATTCCTATTATACTTTTATGAAACTGTACGTTAAATGTTTTTTTCTTAGGGTATTAGGTATTTAAAGAAAAATAATAAAATCAAGAGCCGTGATATACTTTCAAATTGGAACAGGTTTTTCCTTTTGATTTCCATCCACCGTTGGTTTATTGCAAAATGATCGGAGAATGTGCAAATAAGATTTATAATTATATAATATTTCTTAATATACAAATTTATTAAAATAGGGTTGTATATAATATTGATCTTTCCTTGAAACCAATTATACCATCAATTGTTAAAATTTATTGTTATTATTTATTCAACCACAGAAAACAATTGTAGATAAATAAATATGGTGATGGCAATATCAAGTGATATCAGCTTTTTTTAATAATACAGCCAAAACATCTAAGCTTATTAAAATAAAAATGTATCTATAATTACCATTGTTGACAAGACAGCACAAAATGTGGGTATAAAAACAGTGCCTATTTAATCTTTTATGTTATAAATTTTTTTAAATTCAATGTAGTAATTTTTTTTACTAGATCTGTTTTTGATATCTGTGAAACAGTTAAATAAAATATTTTCACTCTTCGCCAGTTTATTCCATTTCTTTTTGCTATCACCAAATGTTTAAAAATAAAATATGTACAGGAAGGAGCATAAAACATTATCACGTCATATTGTCATGGAAATTGGAAATAAAGTAAACACTGATATGTTTAAACATGTTTTAAACAACCAAAAACAATGCAATCAATGTTGAAAACACTTCAATTTAGACGTTTCATCATTTGTGCCATAATCACTTACGTTATAGATTGTATTTGTAATAACAACCTACAACTTTAAAACCAGGCGTAATAAATGACAATAAAAATAATCTATAATGGAAAATGTGTTACAATCCGCTTTCATTGCAAAAAAGTTGGCCAAATTGCATAGACTTTATTAATAATAGCAATGTCTGTGAGGTTAGAGATCTGCTAGTTAGAAGTGACTTCAACAGTTCCATTTCTTAAAACTGATATTAATTTGGTTGATGCTGTATTCTCGTCCTTTAAATTTTGTGCACCTAATTATCTTCACGGTCTTGCTTTCATACAGAAAGTTCTCAATTCTCAGATCTGTTCTGCCTTCTTCTATAATTCTTTCTAGTTTTGGCTTGTGAGTTCCTCAATGTCTTTTGAGAGGGTTTCGAACTTTTTTGTAGAGCACCATTGTTGCCACAAAGGTTATGCAAAGCATTTGAACATTTGAAAACCACTATACTCATCTCTAATAGAGCTCTTAGAATCCTAGGCTTTCTGAAATCTAATTTTTTATAGTGTCTTTACTATAAAAATTTATGCTTCTATAATCTGGCCTTCTTACTATGACAAGGATAGAGCCCTTATTGAGAGGCTCCATCGAAGGCATTTAAATATTTAGTTAAGTTTAGTTTAAGACAGGGCATTCTTCTCTTTGAATATGACGATCTCTCAGCCTTTCAGTTGGAGTCTTACCCAAAGGCGAGGTCTGATATTTGTTTTTTGGATGGTGGGTGCTCAATCATCTTTGATGTCTGATATTTTGGACCGCCATAGTGTCCACACATAGAAGTCCATTTGTTTCAATTCATTTTTTACCTTCACTTGATCTATGATACCTAATCATTTTTCTATATGTTCAACATATAAGTGGACAAAATCCTACTCCCGTGTAGTGACTGGTTGTGGGAAGTTTGACTAGTATTATTTCTTGTGATTTAGTGCACTATCTATGCTTATTATCCATTGAAAAGGGGATCCCCACAAGCTGAGAACCTGGCATGTTTTAACCCTTTCTATGTATGAAATTGGTGGTGGTTGTTGGTTTCTCCCTTGCTAGGTGCATGTTTTATAGGACTATTAACATACTTTTCTTATTTTGTATGTCTTCTGTTTTATAGTGCACTTTATTGTGCATTTGTTTAATGTTTTTATTTAATTTTATTTTTTAAGTGGCGATTTGCAACAGCAGTGATCATATCAACCATTAGGGTGCTGGTGTATTTTTACGGTATACAAGCTGTAAAACCAACAGAATTTTTAAATTTATTTATTTTAAACAAGGGTATTTGAATTATGAGATCTGAACCCTTAGGGTGCCGGTTTAAAAAAAAGGTGAAATATAAACGCTGAAAGCTTGGCAAACTTATAAGAGGATCTAAATCAATTACAATTAAAAATTGCTAGTCCATAACTTCATCCTTACTGGTAAAGGTCCCTGGTTCAAATCCACCACCCTGGATTCGAACAAGTGACCTTTTACAGAGAAGAGCACCTGCCAACGCCACAATTGTTTTGGCTCCCAACGCCCCATGTTTTTTCTTTACTGAAATTTAATTAAATTGTTGCTAAATCGAGTAGACAATTCATAAGTCAATTTTTTAAATATACACAATTATTGGAAAAAAGTATAGAGGTGTTAGGGTTTAAAATTATGGCAAGAATTTACAATTAATAAAACTATGAACTTAAAATCTCATTTATTGATTATTCTTTTTTAATAGGCAAAAACAATGCAAAAGGTCCGACAAAATCAACACAAATAAAAGAAAAATTGGCAAAATCCATAGTTTCACCAACACTGAACGAAAAAAACAAATTCTATGAAAACACGGATTGAAAAAATGAAAATTAAACAGATTCTTGGACTGGAGGTTCGTAAGTGTCCGGTCTTGAGACTCTTACACCAGATTCATCAACCTTTCCATCCCCATGCAAGTCTAATAGTTTGCTCAATTCAAATCGTGGTTTTTTTAAGACTTTGACCTGGAAAAACACATAATTAAGTGGTAATTCTATACATGTAATTAAATAATTTATTACTTTGCGGATGTAGACATCGTGAAGAGGATAGATTCCTTGGCAGTTCTTTTCTATGTCTTTAGCAATTGAATCAGGAATTAATTTATTAACTACATCACGTAAATTACTATTAGTCACTGTCTTTGTTATGTTATAAATCATTTTTCCTCTAATTTCCTTGACCTAAAATTTATAGCAAGTAAATTAATTAGTTTGAAATGAGTGTTTTGATTTTTTCACCTGTTTTCGTTGAGCGTAGCAAGTCTTTCTTTGAGACATTTGGTCTTTGTTGGTGAAACCAATGCAGAATACTCTAAGAAGATAACCATCAGTTGTTCTAACATCCACATTCGCTTCAATTAAAGTCTAAAATTTTGAAAGTTTCTTCTGTTTATTATATTCAAACCAGATCAATCAAGGCGAGTTTCAATTTACCTGCCATTTCTTAACCATGCTCCTCAGTTTGTCTGTGGAAAAGTCCATCCCGTGGAAATTTGTGAGAACGTTCTTCGCTTGAACATCCTCGGCAATGAGACGAAATTTCCTATACAGTCTTTCGGTGTCTGTGTCCATTTGAAGGTCTGTGGTCGAAACTTCAAAAACCCTGCCTTTGAGGCCCTCGGATGCAATCTCTAAAAGAAAATCTCAGTGATAAATCTGAGTCTTGGCTGGACGCCCCATTCTACTTACTAGTTCCTTGAGTTCTGTTCACAAGTGTTTTCCCAATATGGAAATTTTTAAACATCAACGGGGCTTTAACATCATACCAATCTTTGCGTGTGAACGGGTCCACTCTATAAAAATTGGAAGAATGTTGGCAAAACAAAAAATTGTATTCATGTGCCAACTTGTGCTTCTATTTATTTTAAAATGTGCTGAGTGCATAAATAAAATAAAAAAATTCATCTCTTTCTACAGATCATCTAAAAAAATCTAATTTCAATGAAAATATCACCTTAAGGTTTTTCTGTGCTGTTTAAGCGCTGATATTTTCATAAATTATAATCAAATATGGTTGGAAGTTTAATTATTAAACCAATGAAACTAGTAAAATCATGCTAGTTTGTGAGATAGTGAAATCTGTAGATAAATTGTCTATCATCATCCCATTCTGTCAGTTGCATTTCATCATATTTAATGATTATGGTCTTAGACCAAAAATTACCCACAGTACAACCAGATATTGTACTGTGGGTAATACAAAAATTATCAAAATGCGTTTGACATACAAAACTAGCAGGAATAAATAACTAAGATGATTGAATACAATGTAAAAATAATCAAACCTACGACTTCTTGAGACCTGCCGGCAATTTGGGTAATTTACAGTAAATTACCGGCAAGCCGTGAGAATGACCTATCTTGGCTTTGATAGTCTGGTGTCAGACCTCAGTTTTATCCACCCTGCTGTCAAACATAGAGCTTCATGGACTGTTTGACAACTAGGTCATTTCAGCCCCCTACTCACCAGTTTTTAAATCTAAACACTCACAATTCAACCAATTATTTTCTATTTACAATTAGGATGTTTAGACAATATTCTTCTATCAGCCCTCTCACACAACACATTACCGCTAATAAATACATTTATTTAATGTACACAAAACAAGAAATTTACCAGTACAATATACTATAAAAGAACCCTGCTTCCTGCTTCTCCCAAAACTTGGAAAAGAGGACCAAAATATTGCTGGCAAGCATTTTTGATCCAGCATACTCTCATAACAGGTGGCCTACACTCTATATGGAGCCAAGGAATGATACCCATCAATTACGTGGAACATGTCGGACACCCTTTCTCTTCTTGCTGGACATATGGGCATGTTCTGGCCTGGAAGTAAGTGACCATGTTTCAATCTCGTATGACCTATTCTTAAACGAATGGGATAAGCTTTTAGAATTCAGATCCTCCAAGGATGCTCGATACATATGAGCTTTTGACAATCTGACGGTGGCGGCGCTGCCATTTCTTTTTGAACCTATTTTTTAATTAATTAAGGTTTTTAATTGAGATGAAAAAAAGTTAATGGCACGAGAGGGATTCGAACCCACGACCTTCAGCTAGATACGCCGCTGCTCTACCACCTGAGCTATCGTGACCTCATCCACTCGGACATCAACTCCCCATCTCAACCCCACCTTATGAGTTTTCCCTCCTTTTGCCATTTTTCAACTATTTTCACTATTTTTTAAATTAAAATGTAGAGAGATTATATTCAGCCAGATAAGAATTTGATGTTCTGTCACCTTTTTATTCTTTACACTCTAGGTTTCAGAGCGGTTTGCTCCTTTTTCAATAACTTTGTGTCTGGAGCTCAAAGTTAATAAAAATTTTCAAAATCAAATTTAAATATCTAAAATAAAAACCTTCGTCCAGCATAAACAATTGGTAAGACATAAACCATCCACACTTCAGGAAATTTTTAGTTTCTGCAAGCCGGATCATGATGATTAGGTGGGACAACCCAGCCTTAGCTGCTTTATTCTCTTATCATTACCATCCAGACTGTCTGGGGGCTTGGACAACCATCACTGTTTTAGCTAGATACTCCAACTCAAAATATAATAGCAGTAACTGTGCTGAGAGAATCGGTTGGCAGAGCCTTCAACATTTCAATTCACCCTGAGCGTGTTTCAAATTGTAGTACCATCATGTAAGCAGGAGCAACCAGGTTGTAGATGCACCGTCCCTATACCCAGCACACCACACCCTTGCCAGTCTATGAAAATAAGGTGAAAACCAGCATACATATATCTATCTAAGTTCCAAGAACTTAGCTTGGTAAAGACAACTTGGCTAACATGGCAACATTGCCCAACAGGCATAGCTGGTTCTCAAAATTGAGTACCATTCCCTGCCAGGCTTTGCCAAGGCGTCTTGTCAGGTAGACAATTGAACATGATCAAGCTCTGCAGATTTCATTTTGTACATAGGTTGCTCTCACTTAGTTATGTTGGATGTAATGACAATTATAAAAATTAAGACCAGGATGATCAGATAACCAAGCTGCTTCAAAACTACCGAATTTAAGCAAACTTGATAATGATAAAGTGGGAGGTTTATGGGATGACAAAAAGCTGAGGTCATCATCAGCCCTCTGCATGTTTCCCTTATTTTTCTTTTTCTTTAGTGCGTGTTTTGTTTTAAACTGCAGCCATTTGAGCATCTCGATCTGGTTACTAACTCTCTGCTTTTATACGTATACAATGACAATATTATAAAATGCTAGTTATTTATATAAAGTCATAAACAGATGTCTGGTCACATTCACACCCCCAGAGACTCGATATGCCTTGCAACAAGGTTGAACCCACTCCATTCTCGCCTAATAATTTACTTTTACTCTCCAGACGTCACACACTCACCCCAGAGTATTAGATATTCCTCGGTTAATTAATCCCTTCCTTTCATGCTAATAAATTACATTCATTTCAATAAACTGACATAAATCACAAACACTATATACGTTTAAAAATCCCTATAGCCCTGAAGTACTGGAACAGTGCCCGCTGCTTTTCCTCAAGACTACAGGTCTGAAAATGCCAAAATATTGTCTACATACTTCAAGACTTCTACAAAGGAAAAGGTGCGTTATTCTTGTATGGCCTATTCATAATCTTGTCAACAACTTAATTATTAATATTAATTTTATTCGTTAAATCTTAAGCATAACGTCAGTTTATTGTTTTTCAATAATTAGGTTGTAAAAGTAATAATGAGAAATAAATCGAAAAGTAATTAAAATAAAAGTTAGGGTTACTGAAAGATTAATTTATTATTAGGATCAAATTATGATTTTTCGGTTATTATTAATTGTAATTGCTGTACAAATATAAAACAATAAAAATACGTAATGCAAATTACAAAATAGTTGTGTGTAATAAATAATAAAAGTCGAGAAATGTTAAAGCTTAAAAGCCGGCATCTACCCGGGCAAAGGGTTAAATACTATCGGTGAAAAATAAGTTAAAAATTTAAGACAATCAAATTTAATTGATAAAAAGTAACACTTACACCTTCTTCTTCACTCCCTTTTTTCCTCCTTTGGAAAGTCCCTTGTTTTTCCCTACAGCCATAACTTTACAGCCTGATACGTTAGGAAATCGTATGCCGAATAAGGAACTTTTCAGTTGTAAACCTTATCCGCGATTTTCGGCAGAAACAGCAAACGGATATCCGGCAAAGTTCAGGTTTCAAACAAAACAGATTATGACGTGTTTTTACAATTTGGTTAAGCGTCGTAAACAATTGGATAATCTGGAAAACAATCGGTTAATGGTGTAGGAGAATGGTAGTTTTTTTTAATAAATTGATGTATGAAGTGCAACGGGGAGAGGGCTTTCGTTGGATAAATAAACAAACGAATTAAAAGAAAACGATTTTATTTAGTTAATGTACAAATACATTAAACAGATTCTTGCACAGGAGGTTCGTAGGTGTCCGTCCTCGAGACGGTATGACCCGACTCGTCCACGACGACACCTTCGGAATGAAGTTCCAATAGTTTGTTGATGTCAAACCTCGGCCTCTTCAAAACTTTAACCTGAAAGAACGAATAATTTAAATCCGATGTAAAAACTAAAAAAAAAGTCGATACCTTTCTTATATAAACGTCGTGCAGGGGATAAATCCCTTGGCAAGTTTTCTCGATGTCTTTTGCTATGGAATCCGGGATCAATTTGGCGACTACTTCACTCAGGGCAGAACCGCTGACTTCTTTTGTGATGCTAGCTACCATTTTACTTCTAATCGCTTTCACCTTAAAAATAGTTTAAATGTAAAAAAAATAATTCTTGTTGGTTTAAAAGACGTACTCTCATCCGCTGAGCGTAGCAAGTCTTCTTCTGAGACATCTGGTCCTTGGTGGTAAATCCAATACAGAAGACTCGAAGGAGGAAACCGTCTGTCGTCTTCACGTCTACGTTGGCTTCTATGAGGGTCTGCCACTTCTTCACCATGCTTTTCAGCTTGTCCGTCGTCAAGTCCATCCCGTGGAAGTTGGTGAGGACGTTCTTACCCTGGACGTCTTCGGCGACGAGGGCGAACTTCCTGAAAGAGTATTCGGCGTATTCGTCTCCTTGAAGATCAGAGCTGGACACTTGGAAGACACGACCTTTCAGGCCCTCCGATGCGATTTCTAAACATGGGCATCAATCTGGTTCACTAAATTGTTTTGTTTAGGCCGTTTTTTTATGGAAGTACTGACTTGTTCCTTGGGTTCGGTTGACGAGGGTCTTCCCGATCTGGCGGTTCTTGAACATTTTCGGGGCTTTGACGTCGTACCAATCTTTCCTCGTAAATGGGTCGACACTGGAATAAAAGACAGACAATTAGCCTGCTTTGATAAATGATTTGCACAATAACATATTATATATGGTCGGAGGTCGATTATTCGCAGACAAATCCATACAAGTATGGGTAACAGCCCTCGAGAAAGAGCTAATACTCTTGGAAGGAGCCAGGCTGCAAGCTGTAAAGGAAGAAGACCTCCGACGGCCGCAGATAGGGTGGATTCCCAAATTGCGATACAAAGCCAAGGGGTTTCTTAATCAAACAAACAAAATACCTCCAAGTAGATGCCTGAAAAGTGAAAGAAGAGTGAATAATGGTGATCCTTCTGATGATGGAATGCTAGGAAGTGGGGGTTTTGTATTCCCAAGCACTACATCCTTCTAGCTTATTGGATTGATTCGATCTTTCTCTTACGAAGTAGGTCATTGACTGATATTGCTACAATTATTTTTTTGGTTCTTCTTGGTGTCCTGATGTGGTGACCACCACAAGCTATCCACTAGGAGCTTCAACAATGGTCTCGCCTTCCATGCTGCAGCCAATGAGCTTGCAGCACCTCTGTACATAAGGTCAACGTGCTTATAGCTGGGAAAAATTAAATGAAACCTAGTTACCAACCATTGATAAATTCAATAGTAAATTGACGGCAACCGAGATTAATCAAGAAGAGTATCAGCGGGCTCAGAAAATCTGGAATCATTTCCAATGTAAAAATATAGGCGAATATAGCGATATTTATTTAAAAACGGACGTCGCTTTATTATCGCTTACCAAATCGCTTTACCTCTTTATTTCGGTTTTTGTTTTCTGTGGATCCATTCTTCGATGGAGGACATTCTATTAAGAGATGTTCTTATCTCAACTATAGATTCTGTGATAATGGTTGGTCTTCAAGTCCTGGTTAGTTTGTCTACTTTTTCATTACCCAGAACACCTTTGTTTCTTGGCACGCAAGATGTTGTTAAGTTTGTGTTTTCCTAGGTTTAGGAGATTTTGGATGCATTCACTGACAATTCTATAGATTGCTCATATTTTGAACTTTACGCCCCAACACGCCCGATCCGGTTCCTTCTTTTGCTTTGGAGCCATCTGTATACTATATCATTGAATCTGATGTCTTTCGGAATTCTTCTTCGACTTTGTAGTATGTTGAGATTTTTAGTATGTAGCAATGTTTCGGTGATCATATAGTCAGTCCCCATTTTTAGGGGGTAGATGTAGATATAGTTCCGGGGTGTAGTATGCTGCGCCCTTTAAGAGCTATTGTATCCCCCTGCTCTGCCTAAAGCAATCGGTGAGTCCTATCTCATCAAGAAACTTGATTAGTAGGCCCGGTTTCAATGGTTGAAGCTCTTCTATGGTCACATTATACATCCCAAAACATTTCCTCCTACGGGCTAGTGTAGCTCTTCTTTTGGTGGTTTCTCTTCTGCCTCTTTGCAGAATCTGCATGTGGTATCTTGGATTATTCAATTTTCTTTAAGTGTCCATTTAACTTGCTGTGCCGTGTTAGGAATCCTATTAGGATTCGCAGTTTGTTCCTGCTTCCCTTGACTCATTCTGTAATTTCTTTCCTTCCAAAATTGGTTAGAAGGTTCTTCGATTGTCTGTGTCCAATGAGTGAATTCCAAAGTTCCCTCATTTTCTTTTTGTCCTTCTGTCTGAGATACTCGTTAATGGTGTGGGTTCCTATGCCATAGAAGGGATGAGGTCCTATCAGCGGTGCAGGAGCCTCTTTTCTTGCAAGTGTGTCCGCTTTCTCGTTGCCTTCTACTCCCATGTGTCCTGGGACCCAGCAGAGGCTGACTTTATTCTACGTACCTAATATGTTTAGTTTGGTTTTCCTTGAACTAATGATATTTGAACTTAGTGCTTTGATGGCTGCTTGGCTATCAGACATGATAGCTATATTCTTGTTTTTGTACCCTTTACTTAGGTTGAGTTGGGTACATCTTCGATTGCATGAATCTCAGCTTGGAAGATACTGGTGTGTTTTCCCATGGGTTCTGAGTATTTGGTTCCAGGTGCAAATATTCCTGCCCCTGTACCTTCTTGTCCTAGATCCATCTGTGTACCAAAGGATGGTGCCATTCTTGAAAGAGTTGTTTCCCTCTCGTTCCCATTCTTTTTTGGTACCCAGGTTTATTCGGACGTTTTGGTTAAATTCAAACATCCAGTTCATGTCGTCTCTCGGAGCCACGAGTATCGGATGGTCTTTCTATAGTTTGTTGCTATCTCTCTATTTTAGTTTTATTCCTGTTGGGAGGTTTCTCTTTGGTTAAATTAATGATGGTTTTCTGCGCTGTCCTTATTACCATGTGGTGTAGGGGGATTAATCCCAGTACTTTTTCCATGCTAATTGTAGGACATGTTCTCATTGCTCCCGTTATGCAGATGCATGCAAGTCTCTGTATTTTTGTGAGTTCTTTCCTTTTAGTTACTTGTTCTGCTTTGTCAGCCCAGGTCTTACTATCACGGTGTACATCCATAGCAGGGTTTCCGGTCTGCATCCCCCAGTTCCTTCCTGCTGTTCTTCTGCACACCATCAAAGCTCGCGTCGCCTTCGTGATGGTAGAGCCGATGTGTTTCATAAATGTTAGTGTTTTATCTAGTATGATGCCCAGATATTTGGTATTTAAATCTGATGTCTTCCTGAATTCTTCTTCGACTTTGTAGTTTGTTGAGACTTTATAGTATGTAGAAATGTTTCCGTGATCATATAGACAGTCCCCATTTTTAGGGGGTGTCTGATCTTATTTATTTGTTGCTGAAATTTAATTGTTTTTGGCGTTTTCATAGCGCTTCTTTGTATAAATTTTAGCAATGGTTGTAGGTTTAGTTTTTCTAAGGCCGTGGGGTTGTTTTTATCGCCCCTGCTAAGCCCTTGCTCTTGTTTTTGTTTAGCTTTGATCCTCTCATGTGCCACAGGAGAGTCAACTTGTTAATTAGATTTGGTCCGTTTAGGCTCTAAACGAAATCCAAAAAAGGAAGAAGGATCGGACATAGCAACGTCTTTCTTTAATAAAATTATGAGCCGTTCAATAACGACTATCGATCATTGTAATTTACATTTATCAAATCTGACAGCCATGTGATGATAATTGACGCACATATGCACGCGTACCCACACACAAATATGCAGAAACGTGCATACGTTCATGCAACATAACATTTATTCTCTTACTATGCGCGTACTTTTCCGAATAGCTTCAAACAGTTATAAAGTTAATGAAATTGATAACTCAACGAAATATAATCCAATTAAGAAACGTTAAATACTTCAAAATGAAATACTTATATTTTTATTTTAAAAGTTTTCAAAGTGATTCATTTCATTCATTTTTTTTTTTTTAATTCATTTCATGATTTCCTTTTATCTTTAGATCTTGATAGAATTGACGCACCCGAATGTGCATATACATGCAACATAGCATATTTTCTTATGTTGTGCATATTTTTCCGAATGATTTCCAACGGATCTAATTTTAAGGTACATGAAGTTGGTTCCCCAATGAAGTATTTTTCAATTAAAAAGAAAAAAAAGTATAATTTAAATTTATGACTATATGGAATTATCGACCATGATATGTGTAAGATGTATTTGGTATATGGTCAAAAAAGAAGAATGAAACTGCAATCACTTGCCAAGCTTTCGGCTTTTAAAAGGGCATCCTCAGGGCATTTGCATCTTAGTTATATTTGTTGACTTAGTGTGGTTGTCAGCAGGTTTTCGGAATTGACAACCACATTGACTTAAGTCAACAAATGTCACACTTCTAAGGTGCAATACAGTCTACAATAATTACACTTAAACTTATAATTTAAAAGTTTTCAAAGTAATTTACTTTCATCTTACAATCGTATGGGTAGCTCTTGATAGAACTGACGCACACATGCACACACCCGAACATACACGCACATGCACGCACCCGAACATACATGCACATGCACGCACCCCGCATTCTCTTACGAAGCGCACATTTTTTACCGAAAGTCTTCAAAAGGATTTAGTTATAAAGTTCATGACGTTGATGACCAACGAAATATTTTCCAATTTAAAAAAAATTGAAGTGAACATATTTATTTTGTGCTTTATTAATTAATAAAGGTAATAATTAGCCAGATTCGTTTAAATTATTTAAATCTTAATTACTTATATATCAAAAAATCATAATACGAAAAAAGCCAGGCAGTTAATTTTTAATTTCTGGGTTATGATCCAGTATACTGATAGTAAAGTGCACCAAAAAATTATCACTTACATCTTCTTCTTAAGACCTTTCTTGCCTCCTTTCGAGAGACCCTTGTTCTTTCCGACAGCCATTTCAATCTAGTCTCGTGAAAATATCCACTTGGAAAAGACAAAAAAAAAGTTTTTAAATGAAAACCTGTACAAATGGTAAAATCACGTTTGAGAAATCCGAAAGAGAACGTGTGCCCTGGCGTGTGGCCTTCTTCTTCTCTTTTTCACTTCTCCCACCACTTGTTGAGTTCCAGCGAGGCTCCCTGGTCGTCCCGATGATTTCGCCCTCTTCTGGAAATTTGGAACCACAGTCGTCAAACGGAAATGACTTACGAAAAACACAACAATTATTCTGTTCCTTAGAATTTATTTTCATTAGATGCTTTATAGAACGCTGAGCATGTTTTATAAACAAAATTTGGGTTCCTATATACAAATTTTACATCCAATTTTCAATTTTTTTTTGGTCAGCAACTTTCAAGTTTGCCCAGTTGCAACAATCTTGCTTGACTTCCTGCCAAATTTTTGGTTATTGTCTCAAGGGCAAACTCTTAACTTGTACAAGGCTTAACTTGTATACAGGGTGATTCGATACTCCTACGACAAAGTTTATCGAGTGCTTCTACATATCAAATGCAAAAGAAAAAAAAAATGTATGATCTATGGTTCGATTTTAAACCCTTTCGCAGATATTCAACATTTTATGCCCCCCCCCCCACTAGCTACAGTTTTGGTCATAAATCTACTTGAAGCTCTTGAACTATTCATTGTTTTAGGGAAAAACATTGAAAAGGATGTTAAATTTCCTTTAATAATCCTTCTACGACTCTCAATTTAATTTTTGATAAAAAAAACTAAATCTTTCAAAAACTTAAATTGACAGGTAACGAACCAGCTTCTGTATATAATGTTACATTCAATTTTTGTTGGTCAGCAACTTTCAAGTTTGCACAGTTGCAACAATCTTGATGACTTCCTGCCAAATTTTTGGTAGTTGTCACAAGGGCAAACTCTTAAATTGTACACGGCTGATTCGGTACTTGTACGACAAAGTTTATCGGGTGCTTCTACACCTCAAATGCAAAACAAGTTTGGATGAACTATGGTCCAATTCTCAACTAAATTGTTAAATTAACTCTAAAAAGGCCCCCCTTCGACAACTTTCAATTTAATTTATAGTAAAAAACTAAATTTTTCAAAACTTAAATTTAAAATGAGTAAAAAAGCTAAATTAGCAACCTCGTTAGAAATTTTCACTGTACAGCTAAGCACATTCCATAACTACTTAGTTAAATAAGTTTGCTAGCATTGTACCATTTCCTTTAATTACATCGAACCAAAGTGCAGAAATTTTATACCAAATGGGAAAAAAGTCGTGACAGTGTGACAAAAGGAATGGGATTAATCTAGAATCCAACTTTTTGCCCTTGGCAAACTTTATTTCCAAACTTTAACCCAATAAAAAAGCACAAAAAGAGACTAAAATGAAACAGAACACATAAAAAATAAACAATAAATATAGCAAATAACCAAAGCATAAAAACTGGACAAAATATCTACAATAAACACGACAAAAATGACTCTGGGAGAGCAAAACAAGATTACCTTAAAACAGATTCTCAGACATGAAGGCATAGAAGGAAATGAACCAGCTTCTGTATATAAATGTTACAGCCAATTTTTTCAACTATGTTCAGTTATAACAATCTTGCTTGACTTCCTGCCAAATTTTTGGTTATTGTCTCCTGGGCAAACTCTTAACTTGTATACAGGGTGATTCGGAACTTGTACAACAAAGTTTATCGAGTGCTTCTACACATCAAATGCAAAAAAAAAAAAAAATTGTATATCTATGGTCCAATTTTTAACCCTTTAGCAGATATTCATTCAACATTTTATGCTTTTCTTTTCAACTAGCTACAGTCATAAATCACTTGTAGGTCTTGAACTATTCATTTTTTTGGGGGAAAAAACAATGAAAAGATAGTTAAATTTCCTCTAACAACCCTTCTACAACACTCAATATAATTTTTGATAAAAAAACTAAATCTTTCAAAAACTGTTAAATTTAAAATTTGTAAAAAGCTAAATTAGCAATCTCGTTAGAAAATTTCACTATTCACAGCTATAAAATTTAGTCACAAACCAGTCACAGGTACTGTTGCCCAACTTACTTTCGATCTGTTTCGTGAAAAACTCTTTCTGATTTTTATAATTCAGAAGGGAAGCGTTCCAAATTTTTGGTACATATCAAGGAACTCCAAGACTAAAGTTGTGCCAACAGAAATTATGCTATGCTGTTCTTTCATTATTAAAACATCTTTACTTGTTAGGAATTGTTTATTATTAAAAAATAAATAGCTGTAAATAATAAATGTTGATTGATTATTACAGTTGATTTCGAATTTTTGGATGCTTTGAGTTCGGCTATTTCATGAAAATTCGTGCACTTTGAAATGAACAAGAAAACTGACAATTAGCTGAACAAGGCAAGCACTGAATATTGTTGCTCGGTGAATAACCGAATCCTGCATCTTTAGATGAAACAGATGTTTTATTTAAGTATGTCCAGGACGGTGCATTCGCCAAGGGACTAGGATCATTATTAAAATGGAATTATGCCAATGCCCAATCCACAATAAGGAATTGTTGGATGGATGGTTGAATTCCTCAATTGATTTTGATTAAGTTCTGTTTTCAGTATTAGAAATATCAACCATTTTTTCATTCACAAACACTCTGCATCGGTACGGACTTGAAGAATAAAGCAAATTCAGTTGTTACTGCCAAGCTTTCAACCTATTTTAAGAAGTCATCAGGGCAAAACATAATAAGTCAACAGATTGTCATATTTAAGTTTTTTACAGGGGCTTTCAAATTCCTTGAAGACCGACTCAGTCCTAACATAGCCAAGGATTGTAACAATGACTGTCCATACCTTGATCCAGAGTGTTGTCGATTAATTTCTGCTTTTGTAGTGTACTTCGCAGAATGAAAATGTTTAAAATAGTATTATATTAAAATTTAATACATGAATGTTTTAAACATTGTTTTTATGTCCTAACATTATTTAATGTTATTACTAACTTATTTAGAAATAACAATTGCTTATATTAAGAATATAGCTCTTTTCCATATACAGATTGCTCTTCAACAACTCGTATCTATATTTTTTATTCTTTCTCCAATATTTCCATGTAGTTTCAAATTGCTCTCTGGCCATCCTATTAATACATATAAAAACAATTTTTGTCTTTATAGATTTATTAAAGTATGATACTCACCAAAGGTCTTTCCATTTTGATTTATTTGATGCACCCAAAATTTTTTTGTTGTAGAAAGGACAACAGCACATTCTACCTCAAATTCATCTGAGCTTGAGATCATGTTGCACTATTCTACAATAATAAACAGTTAAGAATAATTAACAATTCTGTTTGAGACCTTCAATTGATTCAGAGGCAATAAAGTGAATGGTCCAAGCATCCAAGCCAAATGCCTTTCCGTCCAAATGCACACAGCAATGTCTACATCCCACCACAACTCATCCTCCTGTCCAAATAGTATCCCTGGCTTAAAGCTAATATATTATTAAAGAATGCCAATTAACACCAAATTATGGACCTCTATCTAGAAAGAGGTAAGCCGTTGTTTTGTACACAATAAAACCACATGTGGTATACATTGCAAAGAGACAATCAGGAAATACCTTACCTATAATTAATTACATAAGAGGTAAGTTAAGGAAGTAGTGGGTCTCTGAATGGGAATTAAAATTTAGGATTTATCAATTTACCAAATATATTGGAAATAATAAGTCTTGCCATGGGTGAGTTCTTTTGACTATATTTTATATTTTTTATAAAATGTACAATGAAAAGTTTAAATAATTAAACAGATTCTTGTACAGGTGGTTCGTAGGTGTCCGATCTGGTGACAACGTTTCCAGAATCGTCGGTGTATTTGCCCTCACCGTGCATCTCGAGAAGTCTGCTCAACTCGAACCTCGGTCTCCTCAACACTTTTACCTGCACATTTTCATTATCATTTAGTGAAAAATCATTAAATTGAACAAAAAATAAATTAAAACAATTAATAATTTAAAAATAATTTTACACAAACTTAATTTAATTGAACAAAAAATATAGATTCTTGAAACAAATAAAAAATCCACTGTTTGTCTATTTCTCAGAAGCATATCTCAAATAAATTATGTATACACCCTTTAAATTAGACAGACTTCATCTTGCACGAGTTTTACGTTACTTCAACATTTTGAGGAGAAATAATGAGTAACTGTGCTTCAAAAAGTAGGTTCACCCTCTAGAAGTAACACACAGCAATTCTTGATTCAAATAGAAAATCCACTGTTTGTCTATTGCTCGGAAGCACGTCTCAATCAATATAGCAGCTCTCTTGAAATTCGACAAAATTTATTTTGCACAAGTTTTACGTTACTTCAACATTTTGAGGAGAAATAATGAGTCACTGTGCTTCTTTGGAAAAAAAGTAGGTTCACCCTATAGAGTAACTCAGCGATTCTTGATACAAATAAAAATCCTTTGTTTGTCCATTGCTCAGAAGCACACCTCATCAATCGATATGGCAGCTCCCTTGAAATTAGACAAAATTTATTTTGCACAAGTTTTACGTTACTTCAACATTTTGAGAAGAAGTAATGAGTAACTGTGCTTCTTTTGGGAAAAAATATACTTTCTCTCCAGAACTGCTTACAAAAAATTTTATAATCTATTAATCCATCTATGTTTAGCAGTCATAAATGACCTATTTAATTATTTCAATTAATTATTCTTTTTTATCTAGTGTTGGTTAAGATAAAAAAGTTAATGTCATGAAAGGGATTTGAACCCACAACCTTTGGCTCAATACGCCGCTGCTCTAATCACTTGAGCTATTGTGACTTCAAGTGAAGTCAAGCGTGTGTGTGAGTTCGAATCACCCTCATATAACACCAACTTTTTCATCTCAACCATGACATTAGATAAAAAGTAGTATAATGTACAACATACTACAATCAATTAAAAAACCATGGGCTTAGCTGGGATTCAGACACAGAACTGCTGCTACATGGCAAATACGAATCACACTCCCTAACTACTTAGCTATCGCCGTCTCTTACCAGTATTACTTTTTATCTATTGATTCTACTTTATGAAAATGAACACAGAGCCAATCAATTAACTACACATTACGCATGTGATGTTAATATCATAATCGATTTGGCATAATTATTTATTCTATTGGCAATAACTGTTTGTCTGCTAACAGAGGACAACATGAATAATCATGTCTTTCTTGTAAGAAACATTTTTAATATTGCAATGCACTGGCGTTTATTTAGTACATTCTCTAAAAAACGTGTTAACATTGCTTATTCTTAAGGTAAAGTTTTGAAATTAACCACAATGTTGAATAATTGCATGCTCCACCGATAAAAATGTAATTTACAATTGGACCAAATGCTACACACAGAGGACACATGCCATGAGAAACCAGCAATGCTGGCACTTGAGTGTGATGGGGACAAGGTCTCGATGCCATCACTGATTAAGATGATGTGATGGGTTCTCGGGATGGGAAAGTGTAAAAGGTAAATGATGGGGTTTGGTCTGCGAGTCAGTGAACTCTGTCTGTCTTCACTTGCGTTTTTTAAAATTTTTATTATTATTATTATGAAAGTGGGATAAGAATGTAGATCCACTTTTTGTAAATGATTAATCTGTGAGTAGAACCATAATTTACAAAAAGTGGAAAAATTCTAAGGTTGGTGTGAAACTTTTGTAATTGGGAAAATATCAGTTCATTGATGAAAGGAACGTTGAGGTCATTGTGGATAGTGAGCTTTGATGATTTGATAGAACTGCACAGTTCCACTCTGTATGCACAAACTGGTTGCATAATTCTTGTATAAGTTAAGTTTAGCTGTGGTGGTCAAGAAGGATTTCAGTCCTAGAAGGTCTTCGTAATTGTCTGTCTTCTGTTAAGTTGTCTCTTAAGTCTTGTGCAGGGATTCGATGTCTGTTTGCGGGCTAGGTATAGTCCTAAGTATTTGACATGAATGGAAATAGGTTTTGACACCGAGTACATTTTTCTACATTCAGTCCTCCAAGATGTTCTTGATGTTGGAGGGAGCTTGGGTAGGATTAGTTACAGGACAAAACTGCTTATCATAGATGGTGACCATGGTATTAGGATGAACAGGTAGGTCAGCACTATACTAATAAATATATAAAAGATGGGACCAAGAATATTTTCTTGTGGGACACACTGGATTGTATCGGTTTGATATTTGATAATTCATTGCCTCACTCGCAGTGGTTGGAAAGAATTTTAGGATAAGGTAAAGCCGGGAACACTTACCCGATGCCTTGCCATGTTTTGGTAGGTTGTGCACATCTGCCTGACACAAGCACACACCACATACAGTCACACACACAGCATGCATCATAATCGCAACGCCTCTTTTGTTCTTAAGGCATAATTTTGAGCACAACCATGTAATAAGATGTAGATAGTAAGAATGTTGTAATTAATATAATGACAAAATTACATATATATAGTTTGAAATAAACTACAAAAAATATGAGTGTCCTGGGGTCTGACGCTACTCGATGAAAATGGTGTAATTGTATGAGCAAAACCATGAAACAAATTTTTAGTTAAATTTTATAAGCATAACCATGTAATAAATTGTTAGTTAAATTCATTATATAAAAAAATGGTATTCTGGTGTTTTGATCAATTTTCCACCAAATCATTAAAATTAAGTTTTTTAAAAATAACTAATGAATTTTTTATCTCGAGGTTTATATTAAAATAAGTTTGTTGTAATTAATATAACGACAATAATACATGTAGTTTAAATAAAAATTTAAGTGTCCTGTTCTTTTGTCTTTGACTGCACTCGATGCGATCCGACAAAAATCTGGACAGTGGTGATCGCAGAGCATAGAGTAGGGCAGCGTTTGCATAGCATCGGGCAGATGTGCACGGGGTAATACAATCAAATGGAAAATTGGACTTTGGATTTGTGTCGGGTAGCATCGGGTAAGTATGTTCCTGGCTTAAGGAGTGGAAAAAAAAGTTTAATTTTATGAAGTATTCCTGAGTGCCAGGCTCTACCGAGAGCCTGTGCTACATCATGGGACGCATTCAAGCAATATCCTTTATTGTCTAGAACAAATGAGATGTGTTAACAACTCTGAAACCTTGCTGTACCATGGAATGATGAGGACAGAGATTGAATTGGTGAGAAGAAATAATTTTATGGGTATCTAGGGTGGGTATTAAAGATTAATTTAAGGATGATGGCTGTAATGGGCCTGAAATGTAATGGGTAATAAGAGGATATGTGGTTGGAAAGTTTGTAACTTTAGGAAAGATAATAACAATGGAATATTTACTTATGAGAGGAAAGTGAGTGATACTAAATATCACAGTAAATTATTTCAGGGTTGGTGAGCCCAGAGGCTGACACCATACTATTCACTCAGACCCACAATGAGTCTTTAAGGTTGCTTATTAATATTTGTTTATGATCAGAGGCCAACACAAAAAATGAAGCCTTCTTCTTTTAAACATGTTTAATATTGCAATGCACTGGCGTTAATTTAGTACATTCCCTAAAAACGTGATAACATTGCTAATTATTTATTCAAGAAAGAAAGCAAATTCTTGGCATTCAATTGGAATTATAAATATATATTTTTTATTGCTTTTATTTTATGTAAATCACTGTTTGTCAACGAACAAAAGACAACAAAATGAAGCCTTATTGTAAAGTTTACATGTTTCAATATTGCAATGCACTGGCGTTAATTTAGTTCATTCCCTAAAAAACGTGATAACATTGCTAATTATTTATTCAAGAAAGAAAGCAAATTCTTGGCATTCAATTGGAATTATAAATATATATATTTTTTTCTTTTATTTTATGTAAATCACTGTTTGTCAACCAACAAAAGACAACAAAAAATGATGCCTTATTGTAAAGTTTACATGTTTCAATATTGCAATGCACTGGCGTTAATTTAGTACATTCCCTAAAAAACGTGATAACATTGCTAATCATTACTAGGTGATACAAAGCAACATTATTCCTCTGAGTCAAAAATATTCAATTAAATATTTTTGAGTTTGTCTACTCTCACCGGTTTTGTTTATCGAACATATTTTGTAGTTGTCATGTTGGCCTAAAAATGGCTAAATAAAGAAACATGTGGTAGATAAAACCAGCAAAATTAAGCAGGCCAAGAGACTTGGAACCAACCAAAATAAAGATAAAATAAAGAAAGATCTCCATGGAGAAATTAAATGAATGATGTCAAGATAAGATAAGCAAACCTTGGTGGTATTGTTTCTCTTTTTATCAGTTCTCAATCGAATAAAACAACTCTGATCTTGTTCTATCCCATTCTTTTTTTCCTTCAAACGTTTTTGCTTAATCAGGAAAACTGTTTCAATTGCTATACAGTAGAAGCAAACTAAAGGGTGCAGAGACGTTTCTTATAATACAATTTTTTGGATAATCTACAGAGGCTGTTGGCACGCGGTAAAAAAAAACATAATTTCCAATTAAAACTGAACGATCCATACATTTCAAATACAAATACAAAGTCCAATATACTGTAGATGAAATGTAAACCAGAGAAAAAGAGCATCATCTTGTGGTTCGGCACTTAATAACTGCACACATTAAGTTTAGATTTTACCCTGCAATTACACACCATTTTTTTTTACTGAAATTGTATCAGTTTAACGTTTAATTAGTATATTCCTTAACAAATTGAATTACTTCAGAGATGAGTATATAGTCCAAAACTATACAAAAGGTTTTACTTAAAATTATTAATGAAAAAAACTTAATATACCACTTATTATTCACTATACTTATATATACCAACATACTTAAAAATATAAAAGAAATACTTAATGATGGAACTCAAACAGAAATATCAAAAATGAAAATGAATAGGACAAGTAAAAACTGGTTATAAGTAAAATTAGAATACCTTTCTGATGTAGACATCATGTAGAGGATAGATTCCTTGGCAATTTTTTTCAATGTCTTTGGCGATAGAATCTGGAATGAGTTTGCCTACTACATCCCTAAGATTGCAGGTGCTGATACTATTGGTAATGTTAGTCACCATCTTGTGCCTAATTTCTCTAACCTTAAAATGGGCAAAAATTGAAAATTAATATTAATTACCTTTGGGTAATATTTTCGTTAACCATACCTGTCTATGTTGGGCGTAACAAGTTTTTTTTGCGGACATTTGATCCTTGCTGGTAAAACCTATGCAGAACACTCTTAAAAGGTAACCATCAGTGGTTTTGACATCAACATTTGCTTCAATAAGAGTCTAAAGAAACATATATAAATATTTAAAAAATCAAATTTTACTGACAAGAAAGAGGGTTCTAACGGACCTGCCACTTTTTCACCATGCTCCTTAGCTTATCAGTGGTCAAATCCATCCCGTGGAAATTAGTCAAGACATTTGAAGCTTGTACATCCTCAGCCACAAGGCGGAATTTCCTGAAAGACCTTTCGGCATCAGGATCTCCTTGAAGATCAGAAATGGAGACTTCAAAAACACGACCTTTCAGACCCTCAGATGCAATTTCTATAAAACAAATTATAAGTTAACAAATGAAAAATCGCTTACCACACCATCAACAATGAAAAAATATGAATCCATACTTCAACAAAAATGATAACAGATTAATACAATAGAAATTTTCAAAAGTAGACAGACAATGCAAAAAGTTGAATTTTAAAATTAACTGCTGAGTACAAATCTTCAAGAAACTTAGAAGATACCAAGGGCTTAATTGAAGAAATTTAAGAAATATAGCAAAGATCATGTCATGGTAGAATTTAAAACATACTGGTTATACGGTATTGGGATCAATGTTGGAGTTATGCCGTTCTGTTTGGCTGATTGCAATTGATGACTTAAGCTTTTTGATAGATGCTATGACTAGTAGTCGGGTTAAGGCTTGGTATGACTGACTAGGAAGTTTTTTTGTTATTGCCATTTGGACATAAAATGAACAACAACCATCTTTTCTGGTTTCAATACTACGATTATCTAGAGGACTGATTTTTACTTTAACAACATTCAAATATTGACGGCAGTTGTAGGACCTCTGTCAGAAAATATTTGAAACCTTGTAAGTACAATCAAATACCAAACATAACCCGGTCATTTGGCAACCCCTTGAACCAAACTGTCTGATATTGCTCACCACATTCGTCATCTGATTTGGAGTACTCACCCTAGGTACACATGGACATTCTCTTCAAGCAGTCATCATTCTTCCCTTCAAATGCTAATATTTGGGTGAGGTTCATGGAAAATCAGCATACCAACGAGGTGTGGGCAAGTGTGGTTTCACTGTGAATACAACACAACCTTAACTGAGATTTGGAGTAAATAATACTGAATACATCCAGCACCACATTGATTTTAGCTAAGGCTGTACAATTACAGTGAAACCTCTACTAAAGGTCATGTAACTACTTTTATGGTTTCTTTTGGGGAAATGTCCGCTAAAGAGAGGTTTTTATAATATGATAACACAGTAGTCTCTACGTATCAAGCTTTACATGTGACACGTAGATTTGGAGGTATGGACAGTTTCAATGACTAGTTAAAAATTTTCCCTCCTAGCGTAATGCCCGAAAATGCCGATCAGAATTAAGATCATACCGCTCCATGAATTTTTGTTCTCAATGGCTTAATTGAAAAGGCTGATCTCAAATTTATTTGGAAAATATCAAAAGTATAAATTATTATTTGTGAGGCTGATAAATAAGTAATTAAAATATGATCAGTGGGGTAATACAGGGAAGGGGAGGCAGCACTACAATTCAAACGGTGTAAATCAGCAGCTTTTTCACTTTTCAGTACTAATATTATTGTTATTTTGTACTATATTTTATATTGTAATTTTTTTTAAATCACGCATTGTATTTTTTGTTATATTAATCAGTGGCCTGTGAGTAACCATATAACTGTTCAATTGTATTGAATTAGGGATTAAAATGTACTTATTTAATATATATTCACTATCTTTCAATTAATTAAGGGTTTTAGTTGAGATAAAAAAAAAATCAATGTCACGAGCAGGATTCGAACCCACGACTTTCAGCTAGATACACCGCTATCTACCACTTGAGCTATCGTGACTTTGATCCCTTCAGACACTAACTTCCCATCTCAACCCCACCTTTTGAATTTTTCAATCGAGTGGATCGAAGTCACGATAGCTCAAGTGGTCGAGTAGCAGCGTATCTAGCCCGCTTGTGACATTGACTTTTTTTATCTCAACAAAAAACCTTAATTGAAAGATATTAATTGGTCAAGCGGACCACGAAAACTAGTGAATTTAATACGATGAAATGAAGTATATCTTCACTAAAGCTCTCCATGGCCATTTCATTTGTCACTGAGAATCAAATAGATTACATGATATTTGAAAAATGGCAAAAAAGGAGGGAAAATGCTGGAGTTTTCGATTCTTCAGAAGGAGAACCGCGAGATCATCGACATATTGTGCACTATCTTCAAAGCGTCTAAAGTTAATTTTTGTCTTACGCCCTCATTGTTCCAGCCATGTTGTACCCACTGATCTATCCATGAGCCAGAATGGAACCCCAAACTGACCCATAACGGCTTGAAAAAACAAAATCATCGTGAATGACTAAGTTTGTTAGGTTGCTAGCTATTCGCACTCCCGTTTTCCCACGTTCAAAAATCATATCGCTCCATGATTCCGACTATAGAATGAGGCTACTGCCCAACACGACACTAGTTAAGTTTCAAAAGTTAAAATTACGAAGGATATAATTAACACACCCCAGCCACCCGGCTTAGCCCATTTTATACATGATTTGCACAGACTTACTAGTTCCTTGGGTACGGTTGACAAGAGTCTTTCCGACTTGACGGTTTTTGAACATAATCGGGGCTTTGACATCGTACCAGTCCTTCCTCGTGAAAGGGTCCACCCTGTAAACAAATACTAGGTTAGACCACGTGGAGGGATACCGTTTAACGGCTAATATTATCCCTAGTCAGGGTAAATCAACCTTGCAAACAAACGATATTTCATATTAAACAATAAACTGCATGTTTAATACATGCTACAATTGTATATATTACATTAGAGACGGAATGGTTTCAGGGAAGATATGGATGGTTTATTAAGCTGTAGAAGGGATTTAAATATTGAATTAAAAACTATCTACTTACACCTTCTTTTTTACTCCTTTCTTTCCACCTTTCGACAGTCCTTTGTTTTTTCCAACAGCCATGATTCCAAATTTGGAAGTAACAGACTAACGTTACTCCTGTATTACTTCAGAAGAAAGGGCTTACGAGGTACGAACTGAAATAAATGGCCGCCGTACCAAGACCAACGCTATGAATAGAATAATTTCCCTCCGGCTCACCGAAAAAAATCCCATTCCCTTTTTTTTTTTATTTTACTCTAATAGATCAACGATAAATAATTAACTTTTAAATAAGCACTTAATATAATAATGACAAAAAATACATACGAATAATAAGTAAAACTACACAAAACTAATTTGTTGTTCAACTTATTTTTGATACTTTTAGTTCAAATATTACATTTGTATAAATTACTTAAAATAAATTGATGAAAAATACAATTTTTACTGATAGAATATCGGAAAATATTGGATTTACATTTGACAGTCTTCAGGGGAAAAGTTCTTCCTTTATTTATTTATTTATCAGGCAACCACAGTTTTTTTAAATGTACAAGATGTAAAAATTGTATAACTAATATTTACAATAAAATATTAGAATAGAATATATACAATCAAGAAGAAATAATAATTAAAGAAATGAAAAAATAAAATATAAGGTACTAATTTAATGTGTAGTATTTATTGACCGTTAATTAATTATTATTTTGAGGTCGTGATGATCTCCAAACAATCACAATAATTTAAGACATGTTATTATTTGTATTGTATGTTGTTGACTATGTATTGCAGCATGGAATTTTATTTATTAACTGAATGTTTTCGACTTCATCACTTGATCCTCTCTAGTTAATTACATTTGTCTATCCTGGGACTTCTCAAACTATGGTCCACGGCGAACTTCAAGAAAAATTAATAATTACAAAAATAAACATAGAATGAATAAATAAAATTAAAAAAAAAACTAATAACGAAAGTTTTTTTATTTTGCAGCAGTATTCTTTGTTCTTCACAGACATGCCACCCTCTTTCAAGGAAATTTTAGATGAGTCAGCGCAAATTATTAATTATGTCAAGTCGTAGCCACTGTCTTGACATCATTTTTTTTCTTTTTTTTTACTTTTCACAATACTATGTGTCAATATGGGAAGCCTTCATCATTCGTTGCTTCACCATACTGAAGTGAGGTGGTTGTTTCATGGGAAAGCACTTTCACAATTACAGGAATTATGTTCTGAACTTTTATCACTGATGATGGACCACATTTCAAATAGGCAAACGGTTTCACTGATGAGAAATGACAATGTTTACTGTCATATTTATTTATAAAATTTATTATTCAAATGAATGAGTTGAGTCTTTCTTTGCACGGGAAGAGTATCACAACTTTTGACGCTAATGAAAAAATTCACGCGTTCAAAAGAAAAATCCAGTTTTGGGTTGAATCTGTTGAGAAGGAAGAAGTGGAGCGTTTTACTGTGTTAAATGAATTTTTAAAAGGAAACAAACTGGAGCTTGCGAACAGCATGGCACGTTGATTCATGAAATATGTGAACACAAAAAATTTCAACGTTCGTTGAAAAAGGAAAACGTGTTCTTCTATTTTCCACAACTTACCTATGGAATCTACATATTCTATCTATACAGTCACTAAAACTAAATACTGAAGCTGTCTAGGTGCTGAACCAGACATATATCTCTAGCTATCAAAAATTAAAAGTAACATATAGGCTAAAACAATCTCACTCTTCCCACTAATTAATTACTTTGATTTTTGTGTTCTTTCTTGGTAGAACTCCATAATCAAACGTTGAATATCAATGAAGCCTTTAGTTCCACCAATTTATTAGTTTATTTGGTAAGCTTTTCACGTTCATTGTAAGCACCTTGCAAGCTTTATCCTAATTTTATAATTTACTAGTTTGTTGCAAATCAGGGATGCGGTCACATACTTTGTGACTACATTCCTGATCCACACAAATTGGTGATATCTAGATTGTTGATTCATCTTACCTTTGTTCCTTATAATTTACATCTAATGAATTGAATGAAATAATTTAATGAAAAGAAAATAACATAACCAGCTAACATGAGGATGTACTCTGTTTTTTGTTATATTATACTATTTTTTATATATATTATTGTTATTATATCAAAATTGTACTTTCATACTTTTTAGGTACAGCTAAAGATTCCATGGTAGAAGAACCTTTATTGAATTTGTCATTTGGTTAAATCTGCATCCTCGGAGCAAAACTGGATGATTCAAAATTTGGCCAAATGAAATAAAATGCATATTCCAGTAAGTCTTTAGCCCTAACAAATTGTATATAATTAAGTCAAAAACTCTTACTTTTAAACACATTGTTACGTTTTAGACACATCGAAACATTTTGATAATTCTATTTGTACCAAAGGTCTAAACTTTAATCGCAATTCTGAAAAGTTAATTTTCAGTGGAATCTGTTGTTGAATTACCATTATTTGCATCAGTAAAGTGGGAATCGTAATTCTTTGAGGGTGACTCTGATAATTCATAATTGAAGTTTGTTGAATTTTCTTAATTTATTTTTGGCATTGTATATTGTTTGGTTCCAAAACTGTACTTTCAACTGATGGAATAAACGTTCCATGGCAGATGAATTAATATTGTTTCCAGAGGTAATGATGGGAATTGAACCCACGTATAGCATATGATCAGCATATGGCATCAATGCAATGTCAACATCCAATATAAAATTAAATATGCTGATTGTTTTATTTTAAAGTTGTATTTGTTTTGTTTAGAAATGTGTGGTGTTTGGTGACCATTAGTTAATGATTATTTGGATATCATGAGATGTGGTCTGGTGTGACGTAGGTTTTAGAAAAACATTTTCTTTATCATGCCAACATTTCGATCTTTATTTAGATCATCTTCACGGCTCAAAGAGTTTGTTTTCTGTGTAGATGTGTCATTCTTGTGAGTCGTGTTGAGAGTGCCAAGTTTGTTCTGTTTGTTGTAAAATTTTAATTGAAGAAAACAACTAGAGTCCTATAAATTCATACTTAATCCATTTTCCCAGCCTTATGAGCTTCTTCTTCAGAAGTTTTGAAATTGGTAATGATTCCATTAAGTTTATAAAGCTGAGTTGTTTTAATAGACAACATAAATAAAAAAATATCTTTAATTACATTTATTTGTATTAAAATATATTTATTACAAATACTTAACAACAGAATATATTTATATTCACATGTTATAATTTAGTTGTCAGAGTATGAACTTTATAAATTAGTTTTTGACAATTGGATTGCTATCAAATACGTAAGAAAGCAACATGTTTGAGTCAAAATATTTTAAACCAAAGTTAGATTTCGTTAATACAAATAAGATCTATTAAACTTAGATAAAAGAAATTATTATTTTAAAAATCCTGTTTTTAACATTTTATGTTTGTTTTCTTATGAATGAACAATAATTTTCTGTCAATATTCCTAATTATTCTACATGCTGATTATATAAAAAAAAAAATTAAATTAAATTGGCTTAAAAATTTTTAAATTTTAAATATTTGATTTATTGTTTACAGTGTTGGAATTACAAATTACAATGCACAATTGATTTAAGCCCAAGGCAGAACTGCTATTTCACTTGTTGGGGAAATGGTAGTTGTTTCGGCATCATCATAATGAAATGTAGTTGTCACAGCCATATTTTCATCATAATCAACATTGGAATAGTCTAAAGTTGTTGTAAAAGAAAATGGTGTTGTTGCTGTTCCAATTCCAATGGCAAATTCCTTAGAGTCTGGTGAAGTAGTTTCCAGGACTGTTGGGACAGGTGTTACGGTTATGGGTGTCTTAAACTCTCCCGATGTGTGATCTATTGTGACAACATTTGTAGTAAAATTACTTGTTTGAAAGTCTGGACTAAATGTAGATTCTGTTGTTGATTCTGTATTGTTATCATGCTCTTGTATTGTTGATTCATCTTTGCTCTGTGCACATGAATGTACTGTTTTTCTAGTAAGTAAGAATGCATCAATCCAAGGCAAAGTTAATAATGTATTGCTCATTGTTGTAGGTGAATTTTTCAAACCCACTTCTGTACTCGTACCTACATTAATTTCATTCTGTTCACAAATATTATCTTTTGTTACTACATTTTGTGTAGGTCTAGATGGTGGTAAATTTGTTTCAGAGGAAAATGTATAATTTTGAGGGTAATTACCTGTTGACCCAGTACTGTGACCATTTTGTGTGTCTGAGGTGTAATTAGGAGTAGGTGATGGTGATAACTCACTAAGGTGTGTAGTATTTTCAACTGATTTTTGAGTCGTATATTTTGTAGTTTTGAAGGAATGAGAAACTGTAATATCATCAGTTACTTTAGCAATGTCTTCTGTGGTAGATATATGTAAAGATTTGGTGGTAAATGAATCATCATTAGTATTTGGTGGAAGTGTTGAGTTTAATGTGGACGTATTGTAGTTTTGAGTGGAATCGACTGTTGACTCACCATTGTGTGTATTAACTCCATCTGAGGAGTAATTTATCGAGGGTGCTGCTATTGATTCTGTGGTAAAAGAACCATTATTGTAATTGGCATTTGATGGCAATGTTGAATTTAATGTGGAAGGGTAGTAAATTTGGGTATAAGTTGATCCATTGCTTATATCAGTTGAGTGTGAATTGTAATTTGTTGATGACTCTGACAATTCATTTTGATGGACGGAAGTAGTTTCTGCAGTTGTTGAACTTCCATATGTTGTATGTTCTGTACTTCTGAACTTATGTGAAACTGAACTTTTATTGATTACTTTAGCATCATCAACAGTTGTAGGTAACGCAAAAGATTCAGTGGTAGATGAGTCATTATTGGGTTGGTGTTTTGGTTGGAATGTTACATTAAATGTGGAAGTATTATAATGTTGGGTGGAATCTGTAGTTGAATCGTTATTATTTTTTGCATTAGTAGAGTGTGCATCGTAATTCGTTGAGGGTGACATTGACAATTCATTTTGACTGAAGGTGGTTTTAGAATTTTCTTCATTTGTTTCTGGTGGCGTATATTTTGTGGTTATAGTATACAAAATTGTAGTTTCATCTGTTATCTTATCTTCAGTTGTAGACACCCCTAAAAATTCTGTGGAAGATGAAGTGGATTTATCTTTTGGTGGAAGTGTTGAATTTAATGTGGACAAATTGTGGTTTTGGGTGGAATTGACGGTGGCATCACCATAGTTTGTATTTGCACCATCTGAGGGGTTATTTAGTGATGGTGTTGAAGGTGACTCAGACAACTCATTTTGATGGAAAGAAGTAGTTACGGAATTTTCCTTGTTCTTTCCATGTGTTGTATGTTCTGTACTTCCGAAGGTATATGAAACTGTGCTTTCATTTGTTACCCTCTCAGTTGTAGACACAGCCAAAGATTCTGGGGTAGATGAACTATTGTTCGATTTGTCATTTGATGGAACTGACGAGTTTAATGTGGACAAATTGTTGTTTTCGGTGGAATCCGTCATTGAATCACCATTGTCTGTATTAGCACCATCTGAGGGGTAATTTAGTGATGGTGTTGAAGGTGATACAGAAAATTCATTTTGATGGAAAGAAGTAGTTTCTGTAGTTACTGAATTTTCCTTATTCTTTCCATGTGTTGTATATTCTGTACTTCTGAAGGTATAAGAAACCGTACTTTTATCTGTTACTTTACCATCATTCTCCTTTGTAGGCAATGCCAAAGATTCAGTGGAAGTTGTGTCATTACTGGGTAGGTCTTTTGGTGGGGATGTCACATGAAAGGTGGAAGTGTAATAATTTTGCATTGAATCTGTCGTTGTATCACTATTATTACTTGCATTAATAGTGTGAGGCTCAGTTGAAATTTCTTCGTTGGTTTTTGGTGTTGCATTTTCTATGGTTGCATATGTATATGAAACTGAACTTTCATTTGTTACTTTTTCAGTTGTAGACACAGCCAAAGATTCCAGGGTAGATGAACTATTATTTGATTTGTCATTGGGTGAAATTGTTGAATTTACTGTGAACAAATTGTTTTTTTGGGTGGAATCTGTCGTTGAATCACCATAGTTTGTATTAACACCATCTGAGGGGTAATTTAGTGATGGTGTTGAAGGTGTCTCAGACAATTCATTTTGATGGAAAAAAGTAGTTTCTGTAGTTACTGAATTTTCCTTGTTTTTTCCATTGGTTGTATGTTCTGTACTTCTGAATGTATATGAAACTGTACTTTTATCTGCTGCTTTACCATCATCCTCCTTTGTAGGTAATGCCAAAGATTCAGTGGAAGTTGTGTCATTACTGGGTAGGTCTTTTGGTGGAGATGTTACATCAACTGTGGAAGTGAAATAATTTTGCATTGAATCTGTAGTCGAATCACCATTACTAGACTGTGGTTCAGTTGAAATTTCTTCGTTGGTTTTTGGTGTTGCATTTTCTATGGTTGCATATGTATATGAAACTGTACTTTCATTTGTTACCCTCTCAGTTGTAGACATAGTCAAATATTCCGGGTTAGATGAACAATTCGAACAATTCGATTTGTCGTTTGGTGGAAGTAATGAAGTTAACGTGGACAAATTGATGTTTTTGGTGGAATCCGTTGTTGAATCACCATTGTTTGAATTTTCCGTGTTTTTTCCATGGGTTGTATGTTCTGTACTTCCGAACGTATATGAAACTGTACTTTTATCTGTTGCTTTACCATCATCCTCCTTTGTAGGTAATGCCAAAGATTCGGTGGAAGATGTGTCATTACCATGTCGGTCTTTTTGTGGGGATGTTACTTGAAATGTGGAAGTGGAATAATTTTGCATTGAATCTGTCAGTGAATCACCATTACTAGACTGTGGTTCAGTTGAAATTTCTTCATTTGTTTTCGGTGTTGTATTTTCTGTGCTTGCATAAGTATATGAAACTGTATTTTCTTTTACCTTATTAACATCTTCAGTTGTGGACTCAGCCAAAGATTCCATGGCAGAAGAACTATTATTGGATTTGTCATTTGGTGAGAGTGTTGAGTTTAATGTGGACATATTGAAGTTTTGGGTGGAATCCGTTAATGAATCACCATTATTTTTATTAGCTCCATCTGGGGGATAATTCGTTGAGGGTGAGTCTGTCAATTCATTTTGATGGGAGGAAGAAGTTTCCACAATTGTTGTACTTTCCATGTTCTTTTCAGGTGTTGTATACTCAGCATTTGTATGGGAAACTGTACTTTTATTGGTTGCTTTACCATCATCCTTCAATGTAGATAATATTTCTAAAGATTCAGTGGTAGATGAACTATTATTGGTTTCGCTATTTGGTTGCAATTTCGAATTTACTATGGAAGCATCTTTACTTTGGGTATAATCTGAAGTTGATCCACTATTGGTAGCAACAGTAGAATGTAAATAATAATTAGTTGAGGTTGACTCTGACAATTCATTTTGATCGAAGGTGGTTGTTGAACTTGCTTCATTTTGTTGTTGTATTGTCTGTTCTGTTGTAAAAGTATACAAAATTGTACTTCCATATGTTACCTTATGAATGTCTTCAGTTGTAGATACAGATAAAGATTCCTTTGCAGATGAACTATTATTGGATTTGTCATTTGGTGGAAGTGTTGAATTTAATGTGGAAGTGTAGTAATTTTTGGTGTATTCCATAGTCGACCCATCATTATTTGTTTCAGTAGAGTGTGAATGGTAATTTGTTGATTCTGGCAATTCATTTTGATTGAATGTTGCAGTTTTTGTAGTTTTAGAAGTTTCTTCATTTCTTTTTGGTATTGTAGGTACTGATGTACTAAAAGAATGAGAAACTGCACTTTTATCAGTTACTTTAACAACGTCTTCTGTCGTAGACACAGTTAAAGTTTCAGTGGTTGATGATCCATTATTGGTTTTTATATTTGGTGGCAATGTTGAATTTGTTGTGGAAGGATAGTAATTTTGGATATAATTTTTAGTTGATCCATCATTGCTTACATCTGTAGCGAGTGAATTTGTTGATGGTTTCTCTGGCAATTCAGTTTGATTAAAGATTGAACTTTTTGAACTTTCTTCATTGGTTTCTGTGGTTCTGAAAAATTGTGAAACTGTACTTCTATCTGTTACTTTACTAATGTCATCATTTGTAGGTACAGGTAAAGATACAATTGTAGATGAACCACTGGTTTTGTCATTTGGTGGCTTTAGTGTATTTAATGTGAAAGTGTCATAATTATTAGTGTAATACAGATTTGAACCACCATTGCTTGTAACAGTAGAATGTTGATGGTAATGTGGAGTGGCTGAATCTGTCAATTCACTTGAATCAAAGTTCGTAGTGTATTTATTTTTACTACCTTTTTCATTTGTGTGTTTTATATTTAAAGTAGATGTGTCGTAATGCTGGGTTTGTTCCAAATTGTAGTCACTATCGGTCATATAAGAAGTGTGTTCAGGGTAATTTGTTGAGGGTAAATCTGACAATTCTTTCCGATCAAAGTTTGTCGTTTGTTTATTTTTAGCACTTTTTTCATTTCTCTTTAATTCTGTAGTTCTGAAATTAGGTGAATATGTACTTTCATCAGTTACTGTAGCTGGTTTTGTTGACACAACTAATGAATCTACTGTAGATGAACTGAAATTCACAGTTTCGCCGTTTATTTCTGATGTGATTTCAGTATTGAAATTTCCACTTTCTTCAGGTATTTCCACCTTCATTTTAAGGTCATCTGGTGTAGATAAAGCATTATTAGATTTGTTGTCTGGTCGTAGTATTATACTTAATGTGGAAGAGTAGTAATTTTGTTTGTAATTAATCACTGATCCACTATTTGTGTCAGTAGTGTGTCGATAGAAATTAGTGCCTGAATCTATCAAGTCACTTGGATCGTGGTGCTTTGTTTGATAAGTTGTTGATGTTTCATCTGTTTTAGGTGTTGTATACTCTGCGCTTTTTAAATAATAATCTGTAGAACTATCTTCTATTACATTAACATTGTTTTCTGTTGTGGAAGAACCTTTATTCAATCTATAATGTTTGGTTGCTTTAGAAACACTTAATTCTTGTGTGTTTTCACCTAATTTTAGCAATTCGTTATTTATTTGTACAGAGTCATTTTGTTCGATTGATACCTCCTGAATATCATTTTTCTTCTTTTTTCTCCACTTTTCTGGCCTCAGTGTAAACTGTTGGGTATTATGGATCGAAATGTGGTTTTTGGCAGCTGCACATTTTTCTATTTCGTTAATAGTACAGACCTTTTCTGTAGGGTGAAACCAGGATCTCGGCGGACACCTTCTTTTAATCCAAAAATTCTTAAAAAAATTATATGGACACTCGATGTACATAGTGCAGTCAAATGGATGTTGAACAATTCCAGCTTGTTGACATTTAAAAACACAAGTTTGTTTACTTTCATCAAAAATCAATCCCTCTTTGCAAAGTTTGATTGCTATTGCTTTTCCTTTATCACACAAAGAATAATATGAAGGATCACCCTCGTAGACAGCATATTTATGGTTTTTTGCGCAGTCAAACTTGTAACAGTTTTGGAGTTGTTTGAATTTCACACAAGATTTTGATTCAACGTCAAATACTTCTCTTTTTCCACAGTGGAAATGGAAAGGAAATCCTTGAAAACATCTTGTGTAAATTGTGCATGAGTCCAAGGAAGGATGGATGCCATCTGTTGGACAGGAATCAACACCGCCTGTTAAGACAACCTAATAAAACCCAATAATTAATTATAGATTGATACAATTTCAATGTATCACTTTTGTAGCTTGATTGTCTCTGATAATCCTTGACCATTCTTGCTGACTTTGTCTGTCAGATGTAAATATACATTTTAAACTTGGACCGACTATTGAAGAAGCCAAAATTTTGAAACATTCCTGACAAAATGGCACACCAGGATGATCAGAAATGATCCAGCATAAGCTCAATACCTTTCAGGCCCAAATCCATTTCAAAATATTGTTATTTAATATAATGATAAATGTAAAAAAAAAAGAATATTTTGAATCTTTGGTAATTTATTGATGCTAATGATTAATTTTAAAAATATAAGTAGCATAAGTTTTGTTAAAGTTGTACTACATACATCAATAAGGTTGATGAAGCTGATAGCTAAAGGTGTCAAGCACAAAATCATCTCCTATCTGACGGCCACCAAAAAACTGAGATCATACAAAAGAATACATTAGCTCATTATTTACCTGTGCAATGAAACAACACAGAAAAGAAGATAAGATTAATGCTAAGCTAACAGGATTAATTTTTACAGTTGGGCAAGAATGTTCACAATGTGGAATTGTGTTGGTAGACTTGAACTTGAACACTACAATTTATTACTGTGTGTAACTTAGACAAGTTTCACGAAACCAATTATCCCATCTTCAGTCAATTTGAAGTTTTTTCAGTGGTTTGAGTTCTACTTACGAAAGGAAATGATCTATTTATGTGCAAATTTTCGTGTTATTTGTGATAATTTCAGTAAAATAAATAAAATAAAGCATTATTCTTGATTCTCAGGGATTAAAATGTGATGTAAGGATATTTTTGAAAGGGTATGATTTCCTTAATCATGTAATTAGGAGAATAGACAATGGCTCTGTTGCAAATGAAAATGATTGATTTTGAATTTAGTGGCAGTGTGTGTTTAATGTGGTTGTATAATATTTTAGGTCGGATTCATAGTGGGATCATTTCAAATTTCATTTAGTTATTGCTGCTTGCATGTAGTAACATGAATGTAGAGCCTCAATTGAATCATTGTGCCTATCATCTTATTTTTCTTCAAATTTTTATGCTATTCAACAATTCTATATTTATTTTCAAAACATACAGCGAACTGAATGAAATCGAAGTAACCCAAAAATACTTAATTGTCTTTGTGCGAGTCTTCCAGAAAGATATTTTAGTTACACCAGCGAATCATTCCTAAATAGATTTAAAGGAGGTGCATTCGGCAAAGTATAGAGCAGACAGTAAATTTTTTCACACACCCAGTATCCCCAATACACACAGCAGAATTGATTGCTATAAGGGAGGCTATGAGTATGCAATTAGCAACTATTTTTCTAAATTTGTCATTTGTACTGTTTGTCTTCTAAAGAACACAAAATAATAATTACATGGATCAAAATCTATACAGGATTCAATCCAATGTTGTAATGGATCGGCTTGCCAAAGGTGCCACCACAACAGGCAATCCCTTATACTTAGAAAAGTTCAATATTAAAAGTGCAACAGCAGATGGATTGGCAAATAGAATATCTGCCAAATGATAAAGGCATGATTTATAAAAAATATTTTCCCATTTGCTTCTCAAAAGAAATTAATGCAGCCGAGGGTTTTTGCAAAATATCAATATGTCTACGATCAAATCACAGACTGTGTAATGGATAACTGAATAGAATTAATATAATCCCATCATCAAACTGTGAGTCATGTAGAACTTGTGAGGTCACACATCATTCACTGCAAGATACCCAAAAGAATACAATGTTATATTTGACAGACTCTCAAATGCCAAAGAGATGACATTTCAACTAGGGATGAGATCTAATTGCTTCAAGCAAATTAGCTGTGTACCAAGAATTATACAACTTAATTAGTAATATTAATGTAAGAGTGCAATGTCTGTATGTTGAGAGTTTGAGGGTTTCTGGTGTTATACGATGGAATATTAAGCTTAATGAAAGCTTGGCAGATGATCAGATTATTTAATAATTTATGGAGTAATAAATTTGTTTTAGGTGTGTTTATATTAATGCAATTAGAATTTTGTATTAATTTATGTAAAATTGTGGAAGAAAACAATAGGCATATATGAGAAACCTAAGCTGAACACCTTCAAGATAATGCTGCAGAAGTGATGATGTGGTGACCAAACTACAAAAGTGAACTCAAGGATGGGTTTAACTGAGGAATATATAAATAATTTCAACCTGAATATTCTAAAAAGCTTTTAAAAAAATTGTAAATCCCAAATGTCTTAGGGTTTTAGCAACTAAACATAAAATGTGGCTTTAGAAAGTTCAACTTGCTTTTGCATTTTATGTTCTATAATTGTGAATATATTTCGTACATATTTTTTTTCATCCACCTTCCCACATTCATGAGGAGACCCCATGGTGGACCATGGCCAATTTGTTACAAATTAAACCTATGGATGTCGGGGGGCAGTGCTACTTTAATTGCCTTTATGTGGCTATTTGATGTGATTGTAAGAATATGCACGTTCATGTAATAGCATATATTTAATGCAATTAGAATATTGTAGTAATTTATGTAAAATTGTGGAAGAAAACAATATGCATATCTGAGAAACCTAAGCTGAACATCTTCAAGGTAATGCTGCAGCTAGTGATGATGTGGTGACCAAACTACAAAAGTGAACTCAAGGATGGGTTTAACTGAGGGTACCATGGTATAAATCATTTCAACTCCTGAATATTCTAAAAATCTTTAAAATAAAGTTGTAAATCCCAAATGTCTTAGGGTTTTAGTAGATAAACTTAAAATGTGGTTTTTGAAAGTTAAACTTGTTTTTGCATTTTATATTCTATAATTGGAATATTTGATGCATATTTTTTCCCATCCACCTCCCCACATTCATGACAAGGCCCATGACAGACCATGGTCGATTTGTTGCAAATTAAATCTATGGATGGAGGTCGGTGCTTCTTATTATGTGGCTTATTTGATGTGTATGTAAGAACATGTACATTTATTTAATAGCTAAAGTTCATAATTATAGATAAAAATATTCGGAAAAGATAAAGATGGGTCAAATATTGGTGAAATTATTGTTCCAAAATTATCTGTAGATACAATGTTTCATTGTTGTGCATGTCAAATTATAAACTATTCTATTTAAAAAAAAATCTGTGTTGAGTTTAACAAAATGTGCAAATTAGCAGGTAATGCTAAACAATATGGTTTCTGTTCTGTTTATTTGAAAAATGCAAATCTTTTGTTATAAAAATATTAGGACAGTTTTATTTCAGTTTGTCAGAAGTAAAGCTAATTCAATTAATTATAGATCGTTAACCAAATTAGTCAATAAGTGACATTTGAAAGGGGAAGAATTGATCATGATTCTACAGAGACCTCTTAGTCTATTCGCTTATTACTGAAAGGCATAGTTGCGGTATTACACCCTACACTAGCCACATAACCTTTAGCCATGATATGATTATAAATACTGCACTTTTACATTTTAAGTTTAGATGATCTTCGAGCATTAACATGGTATTCCCTCGCAATGGGAGTAATACGAAATTCGTGTGTAGCAAATTGTCGAATTTAGCGACCAAGTTTCGTGTTACCTATTGCACAGCTTACACAAATAGCTTTTTAAAGTTGAATAAACCCGTTTGGAGGGGTGCTGGGCCCAGAGGATTTTCGAGATGTAACAATTTAAAGGTAAGCCACACCGTATATTCTTCTACCATTTCACTGTTTATAGGTTTTTAATTTTCTAGGGCTCTGCGCTAAGGAGCGAATTCAGAGCGGTCAGAGGCCTTTTCAACAGGTCAGGACTAAGCTATGTGGAACAGAACAAAATTTTGAGGCGTGGAATAAGGACCTCGTGCGCCCTGAGACAGGAGAAGCCACCACCGGACAAGAATGACAAAGACAAGGATAAAAAAAATGAAGACATGGAAAAGATGTCAGCACTCATGACAAAGGCATTCTTGTGGATGATTACAGCTTACATGCTACTTGCATTTCTTTCCTTGTTCATACCGAACAGTGGCAATCCAGAAGTAAGATAATCAGTGCTATTAACTTGTGTAAAGTTATTAATTTATTATCAGAGCTCAAGCTTATTTATTTTTAATTGGGCTCGTATATCCTCAGTTTTAGTCTGTCAGATACGTTTTGACTTTTTCGCGAAAAGATGGCAAAAAGCCAAGTTATACATTTTAAAACAGAGGGATAAATAGACAAAAATGATCGTTAAAGATCAGGCTACTGGTTCATCAACCTGCAGACCTCAAGACTTAAAACTAGACTAGTCACTAAAGATTGGATTCTCGTTGGCATCTTTTTTTGCTAATTTTGAAGACCAGTCAGATATTTGAAGCATGGAAAAGCCATTCTTTTGGCACTACATTAACACTGATGGACAAAATAAAGGCACCACCATTAAATTTTAATGTATTTAAGTTTATTCATATTTTGAATACGTTTCCAATTCTTCTAGGGTGTTAGGAACTGGGTTTTGTTGTCTTACTCATCGTTTAAGTTGGTCCCAAATCCGTTTGATAGAGTTCAAATCTGAACTTTGAGCTGACCGTAGCAGTACTCAATTCTCATCTCATTCAGGTAGACATCCACAATATGTGGCATTATCCTGCATTAGCAAGAATCTCTCACCGATGAGGGGGCAAATGGCAGTACGATTATGCCTTGATTATGTCTCAAAAGTACTTATGTGAAGTTAGAGATCTTCCTCGCATATCAGTCAATTACGATACAAAGATACGCCGTCCCAGAACATCAAAGACCGACCATGGAATGCTACCTTAAGGACCAACATGACGCATACCTTTCTCCGGAGCGTCTCCTTATGAAATTACACCCATCTGAAGATTTGAGGCCAACTCTCACCTGATCTGTAGAGAGAACTCATCTGCAATCTTATAATGAACAATTCACATGTTCCTGTGCGAATTGAAGCCTGGTCATTTTCTGAGCTGAGGTAAGAAGAGGTCCACGAGCCGGGTGCTATACCCTGAGTTTATTTTCATTGAGCCTTCTTACAGTCCTGGAGGAAATGGAAACATTTTGGACGTGTTTTATCAGAGTTCTTATCTCATTTTCCTTATTGCTGCGGTTTTGTAGAGCTTGATGTCGGATGAATCTATCGTCTTTCTCGTCTGTAGACTTAGATCAACCTTATCCTGCCTTCTAGTGGAAGCTCTGTTTCTCTGATGCACCGAAGAACCCTTCCTATTGTAGAATGATTTACCCTCAGTCTGTTATACTGACTCAATGCCTGACTGGTGCCATTGCAAAAGGTTTAAGAATATCAAATATAATCAATGAAGAAAAAAGATAGCCAAAAGGGATCTTTAGGCGTAGAATGAAAGGGCGTAATGGTACTTTTTGTGCAAATGGGATTAATCAGTACAAAAGTAAATAAAAGAAGTAAACAAGCATTATTTATTATTTATTTTGACTATGATAGCTCCTAATTACCTGTAACTAATGTTGAAAGTATGGATTTAATTTTAAAGTAAAAAATTGAGTGGTGCTTTAAATTTATCCATCAGTGTATTTGGCACAAAATTGCACAAGTTGGCAATATTGCCCAAAATTGCATGCTTTTCCATTTTTGACCTAAAGAACCGAATCAATCAAATAAAACAAAATATTTGATTGAGCAGACGGATCCTCCATGCTGTAAATTTACTTTAAATTATATAGTATGTAATGTTTATAACTCTTCTTTTTTTTGCAATTAAGTACATTATTATTATATGAAAAGGCCATCAAGGCCCCAAAACGAAACATACAATAAAAATTCTCAAAATAAAATAAATAAATTTTAAATATTGTAATGTTATCTCAACCCGTGTGCACGGTAAAATGCAGAAAACAAAGTATGATGTGATTTATTTTATTGATCTAAAAAATTTTAAATTAAAAATTAAAAAATGAATAAACAAAATAAAATTAATTAGGTGACGTTTCTCTAAAATGATAGAAATAAAATAAACTTCATGCATTATGTAAAATGCAATTATAATTACCAGCATGTTAAAATGCTTTGTAGTTCCCCCTCTGAATGTTGCACAACTTTATCTTTTTATTTTACTCATGTTTAGTCATTTGTAAACAGTCAGTGGTTGATGAATACTTCATTTTGGTGTACGGTCTTATGTGACAAATCACACCATTATATGTTTCTGTATCCAACATATTTTGATGTATGAGGCCATACTTAACTGCAACATGGCTTTCGATGGACTGGTTCTATTCATTGGGCTATTTGAAAGGGTCACATTATACATTTCTTGTTTTTCCAATTTATCTATTTTTGGAATTAAAAAAAAGAAAAAAAAAGAAAAGGTGTTTTGGCTTTTTTCTGGACTGCAGAAAATGAATCATTGGGGTCACAACCTTGCCAATAGCAGCATAGGATTTGGACAAAGGCATAGTATATGCTCTTTTTGTTTGCTAATTTTGTTGTTACAAAAAGCTTACCTCCTCATGTCTTCCATTGGGCATAACTTAGACTATCCTATCAAAATTTTCCTTTCAGTAAAAGTGGCAGAAAATAAACTCTAGAATCAAATTGTACAATAAAAGTATGAGATTCTTTTTTAAAATAAATGTAGTGTTATTTCCCAGCTAGATGAGAACCAGAAACAGAGCTATATCAAATCTGTTACCACTACGCGATATCTAGTCAAAATTAACTTGGAGTTTGTATAAGACCATTTTTGCTAAAGTTAATCATTTCCGAATTAAATGAGTGGACTATAGAAGTTGATACACCCTGTATAATAAACTGTTATTATATTATTCTTTTATTATTTTATTATATTATATATGGTTATCCTTTTGTATAAATGTCAACACTTTAGAATCCTCTTCCAAAGAAGAATGTTTGTTTATCTTAGTAGCATTTCGTTACTTGGAAATAATTTAGTCTTACTAAGATGTCAATGTGTGATTTTCATGTTATTTCGTTTTATTAGTTTAAACTTGGTTGGAACAGTGCATTAATGAAGTCTGGAGCGATAGCAGTGTGAGTGAGAGCACCGTACAGAATGGTTTCAAAAATTTCGAGAGTGAGGCTTTTTTGACGAGAAGGTCGTGAAAGGATTTCTTCCCTAGATGATATGTTCTGTGAGCTTTGGTTGGAAAAAATCCTAGTACTGTTTGAGTGCAGTGAATCTTTCAGTTGACAAATCAACTGTTGCTGACCACCTTAAGGAAATTGAACAAAAAAAAAAAAAAATAAATTATGAAGTTTGCACAACACTTCTTTGCAGAAACAGAAACGAACCTATTCTGGATAGAATTGTTACTTGGATGAATAGTGGATTCTCTATGATTATGGCAGACATTCTGGACAGGGGCTGGACAAAGGAGAAACCACCACATTTTCCAAAGCTCCAACTCACCAAAAAAAGGGGATGGTGGCTTTTTGGTGGACATCAGTTGGGCTGATTTACTACATGAAGCCATCTTTGGTTATCCGGAAAAGGCCGATTCTGTTACATAACAACACTCTACCCCATGTCAAGTGACAACATGAAAACTGTTGAACTTGGTTATGAAGTTCTGCCTCACCCTCCCTAGTCTCCAGACCTCTCACCAATAACATTTTTTCAGAACCTGAACAACTTTTTACAACATAAACAATTTCATACAGTTCATGTCATTCAAATAACATCATTGGAAAATGTGTTTACAGAATTTGTGTACAATAAAGAGGAAAGTCTATTCTGAGGGTATAGTGAAATTTCAATGTGTGGGAGAAGTGTATTGAGTATGATGGAGGGTATTTTAATTGCTAAAAAATATTTAAAATCATTTATTTAATTATTTTTATTTTATTACCATAAACCTGCATTATTTTCCGGAAAAACCAAATACCTGTGGTTTTCCTGTTAAAATTATTTTCTCACTCTTTAACTATAAATGTTTTAAATTTTGTTTCTTATCAAATATACATGCACATTTTTAAAACTGAAAAGTATTTGTAAATTTATGCATTTAAATATTTTCTAGTTGGTGAAGTTTGTCTCTTGGAATGAATTTCTTCATCATATGCTGTCAAAAGGAGAAGTGGAAGAAATAATAGTGCGCCCTGATCTTGACATGGTTACCATTGTTCTACACGAAGGGGCAATCATCAAAGGAAAAAGAGTAAATTGATTTAGTCTATGCTACATTATGGAGAAATTAACTTTAAATTTTTTTTAAGGTAGAGCAAAATACTTATCACATGAACATCGTTGACACAGCAAAATTTGAAGCAAAATTGAGAGAAGCTGAAGCATCACTTGGTATCAGCCTGGGCCATGGCGTTCAAATTGTTTATGAAAGAGGAAGCGATACAGCTGGGAAGCTGCTTATGTCAATTATATTAGCAAGCATATTGTTGTCTTTACTATCTAGAGCAAGGACTGTGAAAAATCCACTTTCCATTGACAAAATTGTAAGCGTACGTACTGCTTTACATATAACACTTTCTTTTATTTTGTTTTTAAACAGTCCCAATTAGGAAGAGCAAAGTTTACATTAATCGATCCACACACTGGCCAAGGAAAAGGGGTTAAATTTACAGATGTCGCTGGCTTAACTGAAGTCAAAATGGAAGTGATGGAAATTGTTGATTATCTAAAAAAGCCTGAACTGTATAAACAGCTTGGTGCCAAGGTTTATACAATATAAAATATTGTAAAGTATTATTACGAAATCTTAATACATGGTAATATCAGGTACCAAAAGGTGCCCTTCTCCTCGGACCGCCTGGGTGTGGGAAAACTCTTCTTGCCAAAGCTGTTGCAACTGAGGCAGAAATCCCTTTCTTGTCGATGAACGGTTCCGAGTTCATGGAGATGATCGGAGGATTGGGTGCTGCAAGAGTTAGGTGATTATAAATATTTTAACATGTTCAGTGCGGTATTTCAATTTTCATCCTCTCAGGGGGCAAAAGATTTCTTATTCCTAGAAATGTTTAGCTCTTTGTATTTAGAAACTAACAATACTGGCAAAAGACTAAAATTTGTTGAAATAGGATGGAAAATTACAAAGCTCCATGATCTGATGGTCATTTGCCGGGTGGGTGTAAGTGGCCTTCAAGCGGATCACCAGCACTGAACATGTTAAATAAAATATTTTGCCTGTTTTTACACTGAAATTAAATTTTGATATTCTAGGGATCTTTTCAAAGAAGGGAGAAAAAGAGCACCTTGCATCATTTACATTGATGAAATTGATGCTATGGGGAGAAAGAGGAGTGGTAGCAATTTAGGAGGTGGTTTTGAAGGTGGTACTGGAGAAGGAGAGCAGACTTTGAATCAGCTTCTTGTTGAAATGGATGGAATGGCTTCAAAGGAGGGCGTTCTAGTCCTTGCTTCAACCAATAGAGCTGACGTACTCGACAAGGTGTTTATTAATTTATTTACATTGATTTCTGACCAATAAAAAAAAATTAAATTATGTTTATAGGCTTTGTTAAGACCAGGAAGATTTGATAGGCATATTCTAATTGATTTACCCACGGTGAAAGAAAGAGTTGATATTTTTGAACACCATCTTAAGGGTATAGCTTTATCCAACCCCCCACATACATATTCTAAAAGATTGGCATATCTCACACCAGGATTTAGTGGTATGGTTACTTTAAAAAGCTGAAAAATATTTTTAAAAATACTGTTTTTGACTGTAAAAATTGTTGTAGGTGCTGATATTGCTAATGTTGTGAACGAAGCTGCCCTTCATGCAGCAAGATATCTTAAAAAGAAGGTAGTTGATATTTATTTTTGTTATTATATACTCAGTGATTAAAAAATTTGCATTTTTATCGTAAACGAAATATAAATCAATGAATTTTAATACAAATTATTGAACTATGGTGATTTGAAAGGAAATTCACCAAAATGACAGAAAATCATTTAGTGCTAGATCAAAATTGAACTAACAATTTTATAATATAATTTAACCTGGCTTTGTTCTTATTAATACATGTTATTTTACACCAATAAAAAAATTAATTTAATATTAAATTATGTTTATAGACTTTGTTAAGACCTTAAGTCTCTTAAGCATCGAGTAAATAAGCGATGGGATTTCATCTCATGAAACAGAATCCCATTTTTTAACAAGAGCAGTTTTAAGATTTTCAATGCTTGTTGGACATGGAGAACGATGTCTAACTCGTCTCTTTATCATGTCTCATAATGTTCTTGGGATTAATGCCAGGAGAACATGTTGCCTAATTTATTGTGGTAATCCATACATCCAACAAAAGGGTGACAACTCAAGCTACATGAGGTTGAACATTATCATGCAATAATCCGAAATTGTCCCATTCATTAGAGCTAATGGGACTACAGCATCCAGAAGAATTGTTCAGTGTACCTTAGTGCAGTCAAAGTTCCATTTTATATGATATTCAGCTATACCTGACTGTCATTAAGCACTGGAAGTAAGCGTTCTCCATGTCTTCTCCAAACATCCGGTCATCTGATGGCCACAAACCAAACCGGCACTCAGTGAATAGAACAATCTTCCATTGTTCAAGTGTCCAAAATGAGATGCTGCTTTGCGAGACTGTTTGGAATTGACTACCTATAAGGAAGTCATTAAATGACGGTTCTGTAAGAGCAATAAAATGATCACTCTAGCCGTCATTCACTATTGACACTACCTTCTCTTCGATTAAGACTTTCTGAGGCCTTAAACGGCTGTAGACCATCATGGATGGTACAGAGCAGCACACCAGGACTCGGGCTTCGATGCTACATCTGTTCATATGCCTGGGCGAGATCTCTATTTGAAACAATAATTAATTTTGTTCCCACGTTAATTGCTTTATAAGAGAAAACACTTTAAAAACAACTTAACTCACTCGACAAGTTAGCTCTAGACTGGATGAAATTGAACTGATTTTCTTTAGCTTTAATCTAAAGTTAAACACCAAGTTATTAATGTGGTATTTACGTTTTTAGTAAACTGATCATCTTAATACCTAATTATTATGGAAAATAAACAATATGTCTTTTATTTTGCTTTGAGTGTATTTTTCAGTATTATTTATTTTTCAATCAATCAGGTTGAAAAAGAAGATCTTGAATATGCGGTCGAGCGAGTGGTTGGTGGGACTGAAAAAAGAAATCATGCGATGTCTGAGGAGGAAAAAGAGACTGTTGCAGTTCACGAATCTGGGCATGCTTTAGTCGGGTGGCTTTTGCCATTTGCAGATATATTACTTAAAGTCACAATCGTACCGAGAACAAATTTGGCATTAGGGTTTGCTCAGTACACACCTTCCGATCAAAAACTCTACACTAAGGAAGAGGTAATTGAAAATAGTTTCATATTCTTTGTTTTTATTTACTTTTTTATTTGTTAAAATGCAGATGTTTGCAAAAATGTGTATGGCACTGGGTGGCAGAGTCGCAGAATCACTGGTTTTCAATAAGATTACAACTGGTGCTCAAAACGATCTTAAAAAAGTAACAGATATGGCATATTCTATGGTGAGTAGATAAGGCTGTTTTTATAATATAAGGGTTTTTTTTCTCATTTTTTTAACTAGTTTCAAAAATTTATATTTCGGTAGGTCAGAGTTTACGGTATGGATGAAAAAGTAGGCCTGATTTCTTTCACAGAAGGTACAGAAGGAAGAAAACCATATAGTAAAAAATTGAATGCCTTAATTGATCACCAGGCCAGACAGCTGACAGCTGACGCGTACAAAGAAACTGAAAGAATTTTACTCGAAAACCGCCCACTGCTGGATAAAGTGAGTAAAAGCACATCCCCCCCAAAGGTTCTTAAATTAAAGTTCATAATTTTTCCAGCTTTCTTCAGAACTGCTTAAAAAGGAAACGTTGAGTTACAACGATGTTGAAGCGCTCATCGGACCCCCTAAACACGGCAACAAAAAAATGATTGAACCTGTTGAGTTCGAGGCTTCACTGAATAGCTTGACAAAAAAAGAAAGTGATGAAAACTCAGTCCCTGAGCGGGTCAGTCCTAAAAGTGATAGTCAATAAATAGTTAAAATTATATAAATATTTGTAAAATACATTTTATAAACAGTTTTCTGTTTGTTTTATTTTTTAATGTAGTATTTGGCTACATTAATCTGTTGTCAGCAAAAATAGAAAACTTGTTAATGCATATTTTAAAATCTAAGTTCCTAGGATCTAAATTCCTTTTCCTTTTGGTTTTACTATTTTCATAGAAGAGATAAAAAAGAAAAAAAAATAGCCAACTTGAGACCAGTGCCCCATTGTACTCCCTGGAAGTTATCACAACATAAATTTTTAATTGAAAAAAAAGTATTACGCTCCACTTTTTTCTCCACTAGATGACTTGCCAAAAGAGGGTGTCTAGAAGAGCTTGCAGTCTGAAGGTATGAAGTCAGGACTATAGCTAGGTCTTGGGTGTTGCAGAGTTGAAACAATTTTTTTAAATTCACTAAACTTGATTATAATACCTACTAAGGCCTTTTAAATATCTGGTCATAAAATAACTCTTTAGCGCTTTTTGGCTTTTCAAATTCAATGAAATTTATAAGAAATGTGTGGTGTTTAGTGACCATTAGTTAATGATTATCTGGAGATAGATGCAGTCTGTTGTGACGTAGGTTTTAAAAAAAACATTTTCTTTATCGTGCCAGCATTTCGATCTTTATTGAGACCTTCATGGCCTGGGATTTATACACATTGTTTAAATTTTACAAATACATGTAGGATGTGAAAAAGAAAAAAAAAACGAATTCAATGCTAGAAATTTTTTATTCAATCAAAGTACTTGCACTCACTTGATGTGTGTTTCTGTGTAATTGTATCGTCATTCTTGTGTGTCGTACTAGTAGATTATTGTAAAAGTTAGTGATTATTTATTCAGAAATCGTGAGATGCGGTGATTAATGAAAATTTTTATAGCGTGTACAAACAGGATGTGCAGGTCATTATGAATAATGTAATTTGAAACATAAAAAAGAACATTTATAATTTGATGTAGCATTTTAGACTGAATTGATTGCAATTCTTGGCAGAGCTCACACTTCACAGAGGTCAATGTCTTAAATTAAAAATTGTCTAAGTTGGATTGAGAGTCAAGTAGTCGTTTTAATAATTTGTAATGTTGGTTTTTTAATTGCCTTTTCACTCTTGTGTAGGGATTCCTAGTCAGTCATTTATTCATGAAAAGTCCAAGATAACACAAGGCCAGTGGCAGGCAATGGCGGTCCATTTACGCTTGCTGAGGGAGAGATCTTTTCCACAGTGTTGGTCCTTCATTTAAACTGTGTAAAGGGTCAGATAGTACAATGAGGGAGGTTGTTCTTCAATTTCCAAAGCAAGCCTGAGTGCCAAACTTGAAATCAGGAGGATGAAAAATAATTTAAAAAATCCCTTCCTCCCCCGACAAAAAGATTAACAGAGTGGGATAAAAACTTAATAAATATTAAGAAAAGTGGTTTAAACCCCCAAGGGTGGATAGTCATTTCTTTTAATTATGGTAGAAATGGTGAGTTGAGCTGGGATTATTAAAATAAATAAGGAATTTCCATTTCCAGGACAATATTGTTCACGTAAAATTTGTTTTATTCAAATTTTAAATGACAATTTAGATCAGATGTTATAAAGAAATAACCCAGTATATTTTTATATTTTTTTATTGACTGACAAAACATGGTGCAATTTATACATCTATCTATTAGAATAAATAATAAAAACCTACAAAATGTGCAATATTAAAAAAAAAATAAAAAAAAAATAAAAAATCAGACAAACAATAATAATAAAAAATACATATATGACTTGAATTGAATAATACAATGATACGATAAAATGAACACAATCTACAAAAGGATATGTAGAATTCTCAGTCAGTCGCCTTTTATACAAAATATATATTGTTTACAAATATACAATGCCTAGACTTCAAGACTAAGTTCTAATTACTAGGAGAAATAAATGTTCACAGCCACAAATAAAACAAATTGTTTAAATTACAATGCAAAATAATAAAAGGAGAAATTTCACTTGAGGACTCCTGACTAGAACACATTTGGATTTAAATAGAAAACAAGTGTACATTTTGAGTATGTTTGTAATCCCATTAGAAGCAAAACATTCCCATTTGTAAAAAAAATACAAAAATAACCAAAAATTCTTTTGTTTGAAATGATTTTTCTTTCTGATGCAAAGAGAAATGGAATTAGTCTAAAACTGAAGATTGTGCGTTGCTTTTTTGTTTGGTTTAAGGTGATAACGAACAAATTAAGTTATGAGTAAAGAAGGGTACATAACATACTCCTTGGAGGCAGTTTTTTAAATCTAAAGTAGAATTTAATGTTGAAATGTAAATTTTAAAGGTATATAATTAATTATTGATTTTTTGAAAATAATCATGATATGACTGAAGGATATGCGATGCTTCATAATTTTGTACACATTATTTTTATAACATAATTTGTTCCGAATCATAATCTCAGCGAGATAATCACGAAAGAAACACCTTATAAATACATAATTACAATAGATTCAACTATGATGGCATTTACAAAAACTGATTTTTTTTTTCAACTAGGATTGTACAAATTTACATTATTCCTTCAATAGCTACACACAAAACAATCCACCTCTTGTTCAAGAATATCAAGTTCTTGGCATTCCTTGGAGGATTATCAAAAATCGTTCACCCTTCAAAATTAAATAGAAAAAGTTTTTTTTTGTTTCAAATCTGAGATTTGTTGGTAAATCGGGCCAGTTAGTCTAGCCTGAGTTTCATAGTTGATTCGGCGACTGCGATCCACTCGTTTTTGGCAGCGTGGAACCACGTCAGGCCCAAGTTGTACCTCCCGTTCAGATTCGCATGCTGGCAATGGGAAAACCACCAACCACCCTCGTAGTTAGCTGCGCAGTGGGTGTTGCTGATGTCTCTGTCCGAATCACGGGCACTGAACTGCATACCGTTCTGGTAGTCCATTGCATCGCTGGCGTTACCGCTGAATCCTGAGACGTTCAGTTTGAAACCCGAATCCCTGTCGCCGACTTTGAAAAACGAATAATCGGCCGACCAGAGTTTCCCGTATATATCGATCATGTCCACTTTCAGCCTTGTGTTGTTGTCTTTCGACAAATGGTGAAGTCCTTCGTTTCCGATCCAAAACTCTCCTAAACAACAAAAACAAAAAATTATACTACTTAAGTTTTACATTAATTTCATCGAAGTTACAGATGATTCTATCTCTTGTCCCGTCTGCCCTCGCCCTTTATCCATGACAGGACACATCCAAACATAAGCAAACTCAAATAAGTATGGATAAAAACTGCTGATAATTGATCGAAACACACACCAACAAAGATGCTTTCCTAATTATAAACATTGAGAAAAAATCTACTTCCATTGATTTCTGAGCAGCATTCAGCGAGACAAGGCGTACCAGGCTGTTCGGGGACGATCAATCAATGAACGGTCAAAACTGATTTACGATTATGCCAAAAGTAATCGTATATTTGAAAATGTGTGGTGATTAGTGACCGTTAATCGATAATTATTCAGAAATCGTGAGATGCGGTCGGGTGTGATGTAGGTTTCCGAAAAACATTTTCTTTATCGTACCAACGTTTCGATCTTTATTGAGATCATCTTCAGGGCTCAAAGTGTTTGTCTTCTGTGTAATTGTGCCATTCTTGCGTGTCGTGTTGAGAGTTTCTCAATAAAGATCGAAACGTTGGCACGATAAAGGAAATGTTTTTCTGAAACCTACATCACTCCAGACCGCATCTCACGATTTCTGAATAAATATTTGAAAAAATTAAAAACAAAGTTTATCTTATTGAAAATAAAGTTAAGAAGCTACAAACTATCCAAAAACATAAAAAAATAATATCCAGCAAAACTGTAAACTATAAAAGAAAACAGGCTAATCAAATCCTCACATTTTAACTTACATACTCTGATTTATAATACAATTTTTAAAAATATAATTTTAACGATGTTTAATAATGCGTGGTATTTAATGACCGTTAATTAATGATTATTTTGAGGTCTTATATTGAGCCCTGAAGATGATCTCAATAAAGGTCGAAACGTGACGCGACAAAGAAAATGTTTTTCTAAACCTACGTCACACCAGACAGCATCTCACGATCTCCAAATAATATTTAATAAATTAATCTTTATATAAGGTGTTGGTTGAAATGAAAAAGTTACTGTCATGAGCAGGATACAAACCCACGATCTTCGGCTAAATACGCCGCTGCTCTACCACTTGAGCTATCGTGCCTTTGATCCACTCGGACACCAACTTATTTAGCCGAAAATAGTGGGTTCGAATCCCACTCGTGTCACTAACTTTTTCATTTCAACCAATACCTTACATAAAGAATAACTGATTGAAAGAAGTTAATTGGTCAATCGGACCACGAAATATAATGGATTTAATATTTAAAAAATTGAAACCGTTCTGACCAAAATCACGAATAGATACACAAACAATTTGTTTTTTTATTTTTACAAATATCTGTACGGTCAAATTATAAATTCTAATTTTCAGGACTGATTGATCGTACGTAGAACCGGCACTGGACCACTTAATGGATTTATACTCGAATGTTTTGATAGAAATACCCAAGAATAATCTGGATCTTGGTACGGTCTTGATGAAAAAACAAATTCAATTGTTACTGCAAGCTTTCGAGCTGTTTTAAGATCATCAGGGCAAAACAATCTTACAAGCGTCTACACATTGATATAATTAAGTTTCTAATAGATGGTTTCAAATTTCTGACTGTGCCATATGCAACAGTGTTTTGTCCTGATGATGGCCTGAAAATAGGTGAAAGTTTGTAATAATCAAATTTGTTTTATGTCATTTATTGCCATCAAGACAATACCGAGATCCAGTTTATACGCGAGTAAAAGATGGTCGCTACATTTAACACTTTAAACAGAAATTTTGATTGAAATAATTAAAGTGTGAGTGAGTACATCAATAATTCTACCACAAACTGTGAGTGTTACAGTACAGAACCAAGTTTGTAGCCGATCGCGGTTTTAATGTAGCTCAAAATGTTTCGGCCTTATGATAGCTTCAGTGAAGCACTGTCAATCGTCCGTGTAAGGTACAAGCTGTCAAAGTACCAGTGACATCAAAACACGCGGTTGTAGACGAACCCAATAAGTGACCTAGTGCCGGTTCAACATGTGTTCACAGATTCGATCCATCATCAATATTGAAATTGAGCGCTTTAAATCTACCAGTAATCTAAGTGTTACTGTAAAAAAAACATTTCAGTCTGTAAAAATCTTGTTTCATTTTATCGCTGGAAAAAAAACCTTTCTTCGTTTGGAAAAATATTAGTTTTGTCAGAAGTAACGGAAGAAAACATGGTTTAGCACTACAGTAGACTGTCGTTATCCGCGCTTTTACTCATCCCATGATGCCATATGCAACATAAATCCCGTATAGAAGTCGTTAAACTTAACAATAAAATAAGTTGGCTCAAATACTCAAAAACTGCGAAAATTCGCTCTTGTGATTCATCAACGCATCAAATTTCGAAATCGGTTACGTTAGTTCGCGATACTTGTGATACCATGTCGTGGATAGGTCCATACCTATTAATGCATGGACATATTGTTTTCCTGCACGGAACTTTATGTATTTTACCATGTATTGTATTTTCTTATTGGAAAAAAAGGAAATAAATATACATGCTGAAATTCGACGGGTTTCCTATCATCCGTGGTTATGCTTGGTAAGTATATCCCACGGATAACAAGAGTCTGCTTACTAATTAATCGTATTTTCAAGCAATGTAATAATGACTGTAATAGCAATTTTCGTCTGTAAAATATCAGAAAGCTAAGTTCTTTTGTAGTGTCGACAAAAACAACGTAAAATTTAAGCAGTAAATATTTTAATAAATACATTTTCAAGTAATGAACGATGTAGTGGCCATTTTGGTCAGAACCAAGCTTGAGCTTCTGTAGGCAAAGGTTTTTGAAGTATTTTTGTTCCTTATGTATTTTCATTTTCTCATATTAAATTTTTAAGAGATGAAATGTTTTTGCTATTTATATTTGAGAAGACTTATGTTAGACTACTTTAATGTTGGAAAATTTGAGTGAGGACGTTTACCTTGTGGATTTCCGAAGCCTTTGGCGTATTCCTCCCAATCTCTATTAAACTGTATGGATCCGTCTTTGCGTTTCTGTACAATAATCCAACCGTCATCACAAGTCACCAATCTCGGGTCTTCTCCGACTTTGATCATGACGATTTTCCTCCCTTGGACCCCTTTGCAATCTGAGGACAAAAACAAACAAACAATTGAAATGTAAACGTCTTGTTATTTTGCGACTCTTTGGGCATAAACGAGAGAAGGATCTATTGAATTATTCATTAAAACGCTGAAGGCTGTGTTAACAAACGTTTCTCTCTCAGGTGTTAATTAAATCATCAACGACGTTACAAAAGACAAAGGTGGACTTAAAAAAATATCCAGCAAAAATTGTTACCCAGGTTTTTTAAATTGTTGGCTGCCTTATTTCAACACGGAGTAGATAATGTATTTGTAAGTCTTTGTTTTCGAGAAAGAAAAACCTGGGTAACAATTTAGTTATATAAATCGATAAAGTTATATAAATCTGACGGGACTGAGGGAGGAATCTCCCAAGGGACGAAAAGTGGTGTAATCGATAAACAACAATATAATTACAAAAGGATTTGTATACATAATACGAGTCGGGTGTGCTCTTCCAAGTATCACCTATTCTAAAGTACGGCAATAAAAAATAAATCTGATAGCCTTAGTTATAACGCTCTAAATAAAGAAACGTCCCTATTCCCTTTTCTAATTAAAATAAATTCTCCCGATTCTCCAGCTAGACTTCAATTGGTATCTTATTAAGGGACTGTTCTTTCCGAACAGCTTCAATATCGCTTACGTTTATTTGTTCTATTTTCTCATCAGTCCCAGGCTTTTTAAACTTATAACTTTCAAAATTTAAATTAAAAAAAAAATGACGATACGATTAAATACACTGAGAGGCTAAAAAGTGGCCATCCTCGTTTCTTTAAGTAAATACTTGCAATCGTTATAATTTTTATTTTTTGTTGTTTACTGGATATTTAAAAATCAAATAAAAAATTAATCTGAGTAGAACAGTTTTGCCAAAATTGTTGGCAGGAAACAACGAATATTCAATACAGCTTGCTTTGGACGTGGCTTCGATTTTATGAGATTTTGAATATAATGCTGTGGATTATTTTTATCCTCCTACAACAGCGCCATTCTTAATTCCTGCAAGTTCTTTGGCATCACTGGGCGACTTTTTACCCTTTTTGATAACTTTGATAACAAAACTAGCAGGACTATATGCTGGCTATTACAGACATTGAAATGAAGCCCGTTCCAAGTAGTCACCAACGATCCTAGATATGTGGAGTATTGTCCATACATAAAAATAAAACCGTCGCCAATTAGTATGTAAGGAACAACTTCTTATGATAACACATCTTAAATGTATCGCGCAGCGGTTAGGGAACCGTCAATGATGATCATGTTTGCGCGTCTTTCCATAGATATGCCTGCCCAAACCATATCACTGCCACCTCCATAGCTTCTCCGGAGTGAAAATGTTGCGGGGATATATCGCTCTCCTGTACTTCTCCAAACCCTCTCTCGGCCGTCAGAAGACCTCAAACAAAACCTGGATTCATCCGAAACCAGATTTTAGCCCACTATTGCTCAATTTATATGACTTTTTGCGAAACTTAACCGAGCTGTTCTGTTACTTGAACGAAGTCTTCTCGCACGTAATCCAGCTTCTGAAAGTCTTCGGTCCGTAAACTGACATTATTATTTCTAACTTGTTAAAGTCGTCGCTTTGTCTACCACAGAGGTAGAATGACGATTTCCGAGTACATTCAAAACAATAAAACGATTATCTCTCTGAGATGTGTCTGCAACTTCTGGTGTGCCGGTGTTTTGAAAAAAAAAAATCAAAATAAAACCATTCGAAATGTCGATCCGAAGAAGCGGCCCTGCATTCGAACCCAGGACCTTTGCCTTACCACTGACACCCCTAAATGCCTGAAGTGCCCTTAAGTATAAACCCTCGTCAACGAAATAGAAATGAAACAATCGATAAAAAAAATTTCTTTTCCATTTAGAAAATATATTATTACCTCGCAATATACTTATGCATAGGGAGGGGCTGATGATAACGCCCTAATTTATGACATTTGACTATTATAAAATTTAATAAAGGAAAAACAGTTTAGTAGGAAAAGTAAAAAACTAAAAAATATACAGACTGTACAGTAAATTGGATTTTTCTCTGCGGCTAAACATCACACTTAGAATAATGGAGCTTCGCAATAATTTATTACGTCTGTGGTAGGAAAAAGAGGTAAAGATAGGTTGATAAAATTGGCCGTTTGGCTTAAGAAACGAGGCGCAATTAATATCGCCGGGGTATCATTTACATCGTATTTACCAGGGATTTAGGCAAACAATACATCAACCTTAGAAAGCTTGAGGGAAATTGAGGGGAACGTCTGGTTTTTCAGCCTATCGTTTATTTATGGTTATCGATTATTTAAAAGAAAATTGAACGATTTTTAATTGGCTACACCTTGCTTGCAACTGCCTAGTTTGTTTATTTATTGAAATATTAAACTAAACCCAAGATTAATGTGCTTGGTTTATTTATGTACGGAGGGGGGGTGGGCCTGGAAAAGTCCCTTAGCAAAACCCCTTTTCTCCTATATTACAGGCACAACGGGCAAACAGAACGTGTTTGAGTAATTTATTAAGTTGGAATTTCATTATTAGTTAATTTTCTTTTATATTATGTTGTTTAATCAAAGAGTGGTATTTTAACAGGTTGAAGTAAACACGTTTTAAATAATATAACTGCGCGTTATTTGATTAATATGTATTATAAAAACCGTCATGTTGCTGTTATTTAATTTCGTTAAAAATTGTACACAAGGAACGGTTTAAAAAAAAATTCCTGCCATTTTCCGTGTTTGTTTAACTCTCACAATGATTTAAATATTGATTAATAATTTTCAGAGGAGGTTTTCCATCCTGAAATAATCAATTATTCTGAATAATTGAACATTGGCTTGGAATTGAAACTTAAAACCTTTTAATTTATTAATAGGGCAATTTAAAACAAATTCTATCCAAAATGTTATACTTAACCCTCGCCATTGAAACGTTGGGGTGTAATTTAATTTAATCCGAGAGTTTTGATAATTCAACGCGATGAGAGATGAAATTTCAGTTGAGGGAAAAGAGAGAGAGAGAGAAAGAAAACAGAAAACAACAGAAAAACAAAGTAAAACCCGCCGTGGCGAGGTTTGGCCCGTTTTGTTTTCAGGAACAGCAAAAGGGTTTGCACACGTCAGCCAGAATGACAAAAGGCGTCGTCGGTACCATTTGGAATGTAGAAAAACATATTCTTTTGTCTTCGGGATGTATAGGAGAAGAGAATGGGCGTGAAATGAGATGAAAAACTATCTTTCAGTCATCCGAAAATTTACCGACGCGTAAACCGGCTGAAATGCCGAATTGTCGTTCGCTGGGATGCCAGGAATTCAAGTATTAAAATGATCGGTTTTCGACCCAAATTATTCCCATTTCATACTTTTCCCCGTCTCTCGTGGCCCAAAATAACGCTTTGAATATCACATTAATTTATTAAATGTTCCTTATTTTACAATTGTTTACCCTATTTTGTCACCATACAAAAGGCAAGACAAAAAATACATAAAATTTTAATTAGTTCATGTTTTATTGAGTTGCGAAAGAATACAGTTTTATGATTTGTAATGGAGAGCTTTCATTGTGAAGCAGTGTTGTCTGGGCAACATTTTCAAGTGACCCAACCTACTCAATCAGTATAAGAAAATATTTACTTAATGCAATCTTTGTAGCTATTGGGTTGTCCGGAAAATAATGCAGGATTTTGGTATTAAACAAAAAAAAAGAAACTAGTTACTTTAAAGCAATGTTCTTTAATCAAAATAATTTCCCATACTCTCAATACATTTCTCCCAACGTGTTGGTAACTTATTAATTCCGTCTGAGTAGAATTCAGAATTTTTAGAATTGATAAAGTCAATAAATGCATTTTCCAGTTCCGTTTGATTTTTGAATATTATGTGTTGTAAGTAGTGGTCCAGGTGTCTAAAAAAATGGTAGTCAGTAGGCGAGAGGTCCGGAGAGTAGGGTGGGTGAGGCAAAGTTTCATAGCCAAGCTCCAATAATTTTTGTGACGTTACACGTGACACATGTGGTCGAGCGTTGTCATGCAACAAAATGGGCCCTTTCCGATTGACCAAAGAGGGCTTCATTACTGCCAATTTCTGATGCATGGTATTAATTTGGTTACAGTATGATTCAGCATTGATGGTTTCGCCAGGATTTAAGAAGCTGTAGTGTATTAAACCAAATGAAGCCCACCATACCGTAACCATTACCTTTTTTTGATGAGTTGGGGGCTTTGGAAAATGTATTGGAGCTTCTCCTTTGTCGAGCCACTGTCCAGAATCCACTTTTCGTCACATGTAACAATTCTGGCCAGAAATGGGTCATTTTTGTTTCGACAAAGAAGTGATGCACAAACATCAAAGCGCTGATTTTTTTGGCGATCGTTTAATGAGTGTGGAACCCAATTTTCGAGTTTTTTCACTTTTCCAATCGCCTTGAGGTGGTCAGCGACGGTCGTTTTACTGACTTTGAGTTGCTCTGCAAGTTCTCGAACAGTTGTTTTGGGGTTTTCTTCCACCACTGATCGCAGAACATCATCATTAAGAGAGGAAGGCCTTCCACGACCTTCTTCATCTTCAAGGCTGAAATCTCCCTCCCGAAATTTTTTAAACCACCTTTGCACAGTGCACTCATTAACACAACCCTCGCCCCAGACTTGGTTAATGTTTCTAGCCGTTTGGGCTCCGCTTCGGCCGAGTTTAAACTCGTAAAAGAAAATCGTACGAAATTCTCGCTTTGACATTATAAGGATGACTGAATTATTTCCAAGTAGCGGAATGCTACAGAGGTAAACAAACAATATCATTTGGAAGAGGATTAATAAGTGTTGACATTCATACAAATGAGTAATCCTGTAAACGTAAACAGAATATTTTATATAGATTTTTTTTAATGAAAACTTAAAATCCTGCATTATTTTCCGGACAACCCAATATAAATAGCAAATACATAAAAGTAAAATTTTCTTTCTCACCACTGAAATGTTAGCATTTTTTAAAAATATTTTATGAATTTTATATTTCTTCTTTCATTTATTTGCTTATTTATTTTTATATTTCATCTCACCTTCCAATTAAATTTTATTGCCTCCACCTCTTAAAGGACACAATCATCCACTGTCCTTCGCCTAGGGTTTGTTTATTATTTTTTTTTTCGCCAACATGTAGTTCAGGCAAACCCTATCGAAAACTTTTGGGACGAGTTATCAAAGAGGGTAAAATTCGCCCAGTGGTGACAGAGAATTTGCAGTAATTAAGAATGGCGCTGTTGGAGGATTATGGAAATATTCCACAGCACTAACAAAACCTCATAAAATCGATGCCACAACGAATGCAAGCGGTGATCAACGCTTTTCTTTAAAAATATCCACTAAACAACAGAACATAAAAATTATAACGATTGCAAGTATTAACTAAAACAAATAAGTAAAAAAAAAATTTAAAAAAAAGAAGGGGCCATTATTTTGCCACTGTTTTCATTCCAAATTTCTTTAAATTTCTGAGCCAGATTAAACTAGATTTTGTTATTTTTTTTGTGTTATAGTTTTTTACAGTTATTGAAACACTTCATTTTTGTTTATCGTCTGTGTTCATAAACGAGATTTTGATTTCTTATGTCTTATAGTAGTTCATCTTTGGCTTTTTATTCGTGGTCTTTAAGCTTTTTTTTTATTTTATACAGATCTGTCCTTCATTTTCATTCTTAAATTTTGTTTATATTCTGTGTTAAATAGACTAATTTTTATGTTTTATATTTCTATAACTTTGGCTTTTTATTCAAGGTCTACAGGAAATTATTGAAGTTTGCTTATGATTTTTACATATCGTTGTAGCGCCAGCGTTTTACTTTTTAATTTGGTTTATAACCTGCGTTAAATCGACTATATTTTATTATTTTTGTCATTGGCAATTTATAAAAAGTTATTGAAACTTTCTTTTGATTTTTACCGATCAGTGTATCAGTTAGAGTTTTCCTTCTTTAATTGGTCTTTTTTGTCCGTATTGTATGTTAAACACAATGAGTTGTTTTTTTGTCTTTTAGTTGGCTTGATTCATGGTCTTCAGGATGTTTTTGAAAATTATTTTTGATTTTTTACTGATTATTCTAGCATTTAATGTTTTCCTTTTTTAATTTTTTTATTAAATCTTTTGTCTTAAATAGACTATTTTGTTATTTTTGTCTTTTACACTTTTATCATTGGCTGTTTATTCATGGTCTACAGAAAGTTATTTATTATTTATTATTTAGAAAAATAATTAATTATAAAATCAAAAATAAAATGTCGTAGAAAAAAGGAGTTCCTCTTTTTAGGCGATTGAAGTTGTTTTTAAATCGTAGTATCGAGATTATAATAATTTAAATTCGGCATGGGAAAATAACAAGCGATGTTGGGTAAACTAGATGTGAGGCTCTCGGTTTAATTTTATGTGAATAGGTCCGACGATAAAAGTTGCCAGTTACTCACTGGTGTACCTTCCTAATTAAACTAGAGCTGATAAACTAGAAAGGACCTATTCGACTGCGTGCGATGAATGACAGAGGGAAAATTACACCAGCGGGTGTACGAAAATCTCATACTTCTCCATTCATTCCATTTTTTAAAATAAAAATTCCTTTGGTATCAGTCAGAATTTGAAAACTCCAACAAACAATTCAAGGTTAATTGGGGTGAAAATAAATTGAGGCATCTTCAGTTCAAACTTGGGAAGGCCATTTTTGTTTATTAAATTAATTAGCCGGCGTGTTAAATTGTATTTGACCTAATTAAATTTTGTATTATACCGACAAAATGTAAATTTTTATTAACATGCTTTTTCTTTTCCGGGTTGTTATCGATTCAGCTTAGCTTATTCCATATGCAGTCGAAGTTTGCGCCCTAAAAACCCACCGGTCATGTAATTCTAAACATTACGAACGGAAGTCGTACGACCGGTGGAAAAAGGGAGAGCGAAAGGCCGGAAATGATACTCGGCCACATGTTTCCAGAAAAAATATACCAAACGGTCGCTACTTCCTCCTACACATCTGCATGTGAGTTATCTGGCGATCTATCCCTCTTCGACAACCAGCTCTAATAACGTGATGAGACTTTTAAATTAAAAAAAAAAAGGCTAAGGGAAATCCTGTATAATTTTTAACGTGAAGATAATTACCTCTGGGAAGAGAATCGACGACCCTCTTGAAATCCGATATGACTGTGTTCAGCTCTGAGACCACTTCAGTAGTGCTTTTGCTTCCAATCTGTAAACAATCAGTAGTTAATAGGGTAAAGAAAATATTCTTTTGAATGAGATGGTTAGTTCTGTCATATACCGATGAAACCAGCTAAGAAAAAAATACACTCCACATTTTGAAATTTATGTGATGTAGTTAGTTATTTGATGGACCTTTTTCAGAAATATTGTATCGAATCAAAAGGATTGGATAATAAATAATAGAACCGTAAAAACAAATTTTACAACTGATAATACCATAAATTACTTAACTTCGATTGTAAAAATCATGTTTTTTAATATCATTTCGAATATCACAATATATTAGTCGACAGATAGGGTAAAATAATTTTTCTAGCCTTCAACAATTAAGGGTTGTTTAGGAAATAAAATGTTTAAATAATACAAAAATATTTCGTTTACTTAGAAAATAGTATTTCATATCGGCTGTATAATAATTTCCATAAATTAAAAGTTTAAATAATAACACTGCCTTTATGAAGGCATTAAGGATTTCATTTATTTTGTATTAATCAACAATGATAAATAAAGGGCTTAATCTAAATATTTACCTTGGCGTGGTTCAAGTGGATTGTTGTATTTTCCGTTGTAGCAGGCGCTGATGACATTGAGGCCAACTTATCCTGCATCGACGACAAACCAGCGCTAATTGCCTTCAAGGATATTTTTTGGTTTTCCTGCCAAAAGAAAAACGTTTTTCGTTTAGCTTTAGTCAAAATTGTCGGCCTTTTATAAGAGATGGTGTAGGAAAACCGAACTTCTTTGTCAAATTAAGGGAGGAGATTCGTGTAAATATGTGTAAATGGTGTGTATATCTCGAGTGTTTGCATCCTATTTGGTATAAATGTGAGTTTAATAATTAATTTAACGTCATTAAATAATTTTACTCTATTTACTATTTGTTTGCAGGGGCAAAGACAAGCCGCCTTAGAAATACTATTAAACCTACTTCCATTTGAAAACAAGATGAAGCTCAGACAGATTCCAGGTACAAATAAATTTTGATGGGGGATTAACAATTTCAGACATAATCAGATACCATTCCTGAAAATTGTGACTATACTATCCCTATAATGTGTTTTTAGTGACCTATTGTTGCATAATTTGTCGAAGTCGTGAGGAGAGGTCAAGAATGAGGTAGTTTATAAAAAACATTTTTCATTTGTTTGCCGATGTTTCGACCTTTATTCGGGTCATCTTCAGAGCATAAAGTGCAGTGCGATTCTTGAGGTGTCGTATTGGTTTTGTGTGAGCCCAACACTTTCACACAAAATTAATATGACACCACAAAAATAGCACCACACTTTATGTCCTGAAGATGACTCTAATAAAGGTCGAAACATCGGCAAACAAATGAAAAATGTTTTTTATAAACTACCTCATTCTTGACCTTCCTCATGATTTCAACAAATCCGTGTATGTTTCATCAGACTACAAAGAAAAAGAAGAAATTAGAAGAAAATCCATTACATTTATATGGTATACAGATGGCCCCAAAATCAGCACTTTTGTAGGGAACTCAGTAGGAAAGTTTCTTAAGCTATGAATCATAATAGTAAAAAAATCCTCATAAAATCAGACAGTCAAACATCCCTAAAAGCATTAGCACATAAAAGTCACATCCAAAATAGTCGGTGAATGTATGCAAACCGACCAAAACCGAGGAAAACTACAACTTGACAATATCTTGAGGACAAGGATGCAAAGGAATTATAGAACATGAACAAGCAGACAAACTGGTCAGGAGCTAAAGGTTAAACCTATAGGAAGATAACAAAAATAAACAGAAGGTGCTCCATCTCAGAATGGGTACCACAGAAAACAAAAGAAGAAATGGATGAAGTAAAGGGGTACCAGACATAGTAAACCCATGGTTAAATTACTCTTAGCAAAACTGGCAAACACATTGCTACTAAAAATCCTCATAAATTCAGACAGTCAAGCAACCCTAAAAGCATTAGGACATACAAAGATCACATCCAAAACGGTTGGTGAGTGCATCTAATCCCTCCACAACCTGGGAAAAACATCAACAACCTGACAATATCTCGGGTATTTGGTCACAAAGGAATTGTAGAAAATGAACGAACAGACAAACCGGCCAGTAACGGTTTAGGCTTTGACACACTATAAGGTAAAGATCCCGGGTTCGAATCCAGCGAACGACGTACTCACAATTGGGCTTAAAAACACAGGTAACCCGAGGGTCCATTTAAACTCGTAGTTGATAACGACAATCAATTTCATGATTTATGTAGGGTGAAAGGTGGTTTCCTTATAAAATTGAGTGAATCGAGAAATAAGACTCCTCTAACTTAATTAGCTTTTTGCTATTTATCAGTTTACTCTGAAACGACCGTCTCCACCGAATACTGTTGCCATTTCGCCTTGCGAAATGTAGCTATCGAGAAAAAAACGGCCTGCATTAGTAAACAGTTACTCAATGACATTGATCGTTGAACCAAATAGAATTGGAAATTTTTTAAGCCGAAAAACTTCGTAAAAATCCATCGAAAATCAAAGGAATTATTAACAAAGGAAAACTCCCTTTTTCCCAAAATTTTCTTTTCTTACTTTATAATAAATATGTAATGTCAACTTTTGTTACTTGACGATGTGAACAAGAGATCAATTCGGACCGGATCTTAATTGTGTACGGTTCTTTTTCAGTTCACACACCCGAATCAAAGGTAGCTAAATTGATTTTCAATCGTATTTGACTGTCCGATGTAATAAAGTGTCGATAAAAGCCCAAAAGCTGGATATACCCTCAAAAGTATACATGCCTATAGCCGGGGTTCGATTGAAACGCTTTCCGATAAAAGGGAAATGTTAAAACAGTGAAAACTGTTTCCAAAGGGAAAAATCCTTATCGAGATGAGCCCAAGTTTGGCACGGCAGTTAATTGAAAGATTGTCGAAGGAGATATTTCCGAATCCTATTGTTTTACGCCTTATTTATTGCCTTATGATTTGAGTCAATGGCTTTGGCTAGTTCCCTCGTAATAAAGTGAGCCGATTTATAAAGTAAATTATTTCTTCTTTCAATTTCAATCAATGAAATTCTCACTGTCGAAGGTTGAAAATAATTTCTTAAGTTTTTTAAAAATAATTGTACTTTTATCCAATGCATATTAGTACATAACACAATTATGTAATGTCGTCACAAAATCTATTTTTCTCATGTCAGCGCTGCACCCAAAGTCCAGGCAATGCAGGCACTCAGGGTGAAGGAATAAGGGGCAAGGAGGTCCTCGAGGACCTTAAGACGTCGATAGGCGATGCGGCGAGTTCTCGGGAGAGAAATGCATGAGAGAACTCGAGCGATTGAGTTAGGCTTGATCGACTGTTGGAATTGGGAACAGATAAGTTGATAGAAGGAATGCAGAGGTCGTTGTGGATAGTGAGTTTAGTGAAGTAGTAAGGAAATTTGACAATTTGTCTGCGGACTTTTGATCGGAAGGATTGGATGGTATAGAAGAACCGCACAGTTCCACTTCGTTTGTCCAATGTGGTTTTATATAAAGTTGACGGTCATGATGGATTTCGGTCCTAGAAGTCTTCGTAACTGTCAAAGTCTTTTGTTAAGCTTAGTCTTGCGTCGGGATTCAATGTCAATCTGTTTTCTAGGTAAATTCATAAATATTTCACTTGAATGGAAATTGGTACTCTTTGTTCTTGATATACAGTGGATGGCAAGACTGTTTTTTTTTTCAATGTGAACATACACTGAGTATGTTTTCCTTCATTCAGTAAGGCTCAGCCTAGGTGTTCTTAGATGTTGGAAGTAGCTTAGATAGGATTAGGGTTGGAGGACGAAATGCGTTATTTTCCGAGTAGGTGACGGGAATGGTATTAGGTCAGCGGTATAAACGATAGCTACTTAGATATCGTGAGATGCGATCGGGTGTGATGTAGGTTTCAAAAAAACATTTTCTTTATCGTGCCAACGTTTCGATCTTTTATTGAGATCATCTTCAGGGCCTGGGATTTACAATGTTAACAATGTTTACATTTAACAAATACATTTAGGATGTGGAAAAGTGAATTTATACAATGCAAAATATATTTTATATTCAAACAAAGTATTTCTACTCACCCAAAGTGTTTGTCTTCTGTGTAATTGTGCCATCCTTGCGTGTCGTGTTGAGAGTTCCAGTGAGATTTTGCTGTTTTATGTTGATATATGTTTGGTTTTGAAGGGGTGGGGAAGGAAGTCGGTATATAAAAGACAATTTTGTGTAAGGCGTCGGCTTCTTTGAAGTGAAAAGAGCCGACAAAGGGAAACAATGCGTTGGTAATAGTTCGTCCAGATTATCATTTCAGGATTATATAGAAAGGGGATAAATAGGAAAAGGAAAGCTAAATTGTTGGAAAATTAGACTATGTGAAAAGTATTTGATGTGTGGAATGTAATGTGATGATATATGTATGTTATCTATATTGAATTTGATACTTTACAATTAATTAAGGTTTTTAGTTGAGATGAAAAAAAGTTAATGGCACGAGAGGGATTCGAACCCACGACCTTCGGCTAGATACGCCGCTGCTCTACAACTTGAGCTATCGTGATCTCGATCCACTCGGACATCAACAACCCATCTCAACCCCACCTTATGAGTTTTCCCTCCTTTTGCTATTTTTCAACTTTTTTCATCTCAACTAAAAACTTTAATTAATTGTAAAGTATTAATTGGTCAAGCGGACCACGAAATTAGTGATTTTATTGAATTTGATTAATGATATTGGCGTAGCTGCGACTGAGTTTACATGTATCTGTTCTGTAATTGATGCTGTGTTTAACTCTGCTGATATAAACCATTTCTAAGAAATTACGTTTATATTTGTTTTGTTCTGTATGTAATATTTTTGGATTTTTGAAGTCAAAATTGTGTTGGTGTTCAAAGTGGTGGGTAGCGAGTGCTGTAGGATTTTGCTTGGGTTTTTTGCAATCATAGATATGTTGCTTTACTCTCTTGTCCAGATATTGGTATGTAAGACCGATGTAAGAAGACGAGAGAAATGTGTTTAATTTATGTGATAGGCCTTGAATAAATGGCATGGAAATGTATGCTTGTTTGTTTGTTTTTGATATACTTAATGTAGTATTGTTAGTAATAGTGGAATGTGTTAGTGTTGAGTTGTAATTGTTGATTATTCTGTTAATTATGTGCTTAGGGTAGAGATTGTTATGGAGGATCTGTTTGTATATCTTTATGTTCTTGTGGTGAAATGATTCATGGCTCAGGGTAATCATTCTGTGAAGTAACCCTTTGGCCGTGTTTATTATTGTATGAAGAGGATGGTAAGATTTAAAGTTGAGGTAGCGATCTGTGTTTCTTGATTTTTGATACCAATCTGTGATTAATGTGCCATCTGGTTGTTTTATTACAAGTGTATCTAAAAATGGTATTTTTTTGTTGTTTTCGATTTCGTGTGTAAATTGTAGGCGTGGGTGAAAGCTATTAAATGTATCTAATGTAGTTTGAATTTGATCTGTGGGAACTGCTGTCAATATATCATCTACGAATTTAGTGAGGAAGGGTAATGTGAAAGGAAGTTGTGGTATGACTGCATTTAGTAGATGTGTCATGATTATGTTTGCCAGTATCGGACCTAGGTTGCTACCCATGGCTATACCAAAAAGTTGTTTGTAAAAGTGATTGTCGTATGTAAAG